GAACGCGCCCAAAAACGCCGACATTCACCTGGATTGTGCACGACAACCGGCCCTTTGTCCCTCCGCCATCGTTTCGTGCTCGCTACTCATTCGGGGCCACCTACGCCACGACGTGGGGTCCCGTCTTCGTGGGCCTACCCGGCCCGAGATCTTCCCCAGCAAGATCCGCGCCAAGGCCGTGTCGCTGTCGACGGCGACCAACTGGTTCTGGAACATGGTGCTGGCCTTTGGCGTCCCGCCCCTGCTGTGGAATATCTCGTACAAGATGTACTACATCTTTGGCGCGTTCAATGCGGCCGCCTTTGTGCATATGACGCTGATGGCGCCCGAGACGAAGGGGTTCACGCTCGAGGAGATGGATGATGTGTTTAATTCGGGTTTGCCGGCGTGGAAACGGTATAAGAAGGCGAGCAGGTTGGAGGAGTTGGAGAGGGAGATTGAGGCGGGTAATTTGAAGGTGCGTGGTGCGTGGTGATTTGTTTTGCTGGTGGGCTGTGTGCTGACATTTGATGCAGGTTGCTGTTCCCGTGGGTGGTCAGACTACAGCTGCGAGTACTGCTCCGCAGGCGACTGAGTCTGAGAAGAAGGCGGAGCCGACGACCACGACGGCTTAGGTTGCCCTGGGGTTTGAGGTCTTGGTGAGATTGTTGCAGTGGATAGTCTACGACTTACTTGAGAGGAAGGGGATTTTGCCAGGTGCAGGTGCCTTAACGGTCCAACTGTTAGATTGGCAACTAGCTGTAGTTAATACACACATCCTACCTGCACAAAACTCCCGGTTGGCGTGACGTTTACAGCGCAAAGATATGTTGAATGATTACCTCAATCATTTTCAGACGACGTTCACACAACACCTAAGATCAATATGTAACTCGACATACAGACATCGTGCAATGTATGTAACTCTGGCGTATGTACCTGATAGGGAGAACTTCCATGAGCAACAGCACCGTAAGTCACAATCATGCTCAAGACCGAATAGCCAAACAGTAGAACATCGAAGATGAAACTAGTTAATCGGAAACACAGAAATAAAACCCAGGCACACGAGAACTTGGTGAGACAAGAAGCCAAAACCAAGTGGGAAGATAAGAGAGAGGACAAAAAACGGAGAAAACCAAAACACCCCAACCACACATCTACATATACCCCTCACCAAGTCGACGCACCAAGAGACTCCGGAACCAGCTTGCTCTTCGCACACACCGTCTTCGCCAGCGTCTGAATCGACCCACTCGACAAAAACTCCAGCACCTGCAAATTCGCCTCAAACTCACGCGTAATAAAATTCCGAATCTCAATCGCCACGAGCGAGTCCAGCGGATAATGCGACAGCGAGCGCGTGACGTCCAGCTCCTCCGGATCCATCATCAGCACCGTGGCAATCCGATCCACCAGCCCCCGGCAGACAGCGTCCTCCGCCTCAGCGCGCGTCTTGGCCGCGCGTAGCGCCGCGTTGAACGACACCACGGCCGCGTTGAGCGAGGCGTCTGCGGCGGCGGCCTCCTCGGCCGCGAGCCGCATCGCCTTGAACTTGGCGTCGTCGGTCCAGAACGGCCGCATGCTGGCCGTGATGCGCATGCCCGTGATGGTGTGGCTGTTGCAGGTTGACGCCAGGGTGCCGTCGATGGCGGCGTTGAGGAGGGCCAGCACCTCGCTCTCGCAGATGCTGTCGCTGCCGAGATTGCGCGCGACTTCGGCGGCCTTTTCGAGGTCCTCGGCGAGGTAGCCCGAGTCGGAGACGGCGGTTAGGTCGAGGGAAGAGGCGGGCAGGCCCTGCGCGAGACGGTGCTGGACGAGGGCGTTGAGGAAGCAGTTGGCTGCGCTGTAGGCTGCCTGGCCGCGGTTGCCGACGGCGCCGGCGGCGGATGAGATGGCGACAAAGAAGTCGAGCGGGTGGCTTGTGAGGGCGTGGTGGAAGTTCCACCCACCTTGCACTTTGCCTTCGATGACCTGGTTGTATTCTTCCCATGTCATCTTTTCGAACAGCACGTCCTAAGGATTGGTTAGCGTTGCTCCGCTGGGTTGTGTAGTTTGGAGGGTTAGTTCATACCTTGAGCACCATCGTGCCGTGCACCACGCCGCGGATGGGAGGCAGGCCCTCTAGTCCAGTCTTGATGAGCTCCTCCACCTCGGCTTTGTTGACCACGTTGCAGGGGCGGACAACAATGTTGGCTCCAACAGCTTCAAGCTCGTCGACGAGTTCCTTTACGCGGCCTGTCACAGAACCGCTTCTGGACACCAAAACAATGGTTCTGGCACCCTTGGCCACCATCCAGCGCGCCATGCTTCGGCCAAGGCCTCCGGTCCCGCCAACAAGGATGTAAGTCGCGTCGGGGCGGAGAAGAGGCTTTATTTTCTTTGATTTCGCTGCCTGTGGTTCGAGTATCAGTAAGTCGTTCGAAGAAACGCCAAATGCGGTCCAAATAAACATACCTTGACAACATCGGTCGCTCTGGGCACAACGACAAGCTTCCCCGTCATGTTTCCGGTCTGCTGCGCCTTCAACGCAGATTCAACATCCGAGATTGAAAACTGCATTACAGGAGTCACAGGGCGGATCTTCCCATACTTCAATATCTGGGCAACATCCGCAAGAAGGCGCTTGACGACCTTTGGCCTCTCAGCAATCAGCATGAACATGTCTAGGGACATGAAGCTGGCGTTGCTGTCCATGCTGTCGACATCCAAACGATATTTTGAGCCGCTTTCGCGCTTGCCAATCTCGATGAAGCGGCCGAATTTGTTGAGGCACTTCCAGGACTCGCGGAGCCCGTCGCCGGTGAGGGAATTGAGGATGACATCTATGCCCTGGCCATCCGTGGCATGGCGGATCACGTCGCCAAAGGAGCTGTTGCGGCTGTAGAAGATATGATCCTCTTGTAGCCCATACTCTTTCAACAGCAGCGTCTTCTTCTTGGCGTTTCCGACAGTAACAAACACCTCGGCGCCAATCATCTGCGCGACGCAAATGGCGGCTTGGCCGACGGCGCCGGCGGCGGAGTGGATAAGAACCGTTTCCCCTTCGCCGAGCCGGCCAAGCTCAACCAGGCTGTAGTACGCCGTGGCGTATGCGAGTGGCAGACTGGCGGCGGCTTCCAAGGAAAGATATCTGGGGATCTTGAAAGCAAACGGTGCCTTTGCCCTTGCTCGCGTAGCAAAAGCACCTTGGGTAAATGCTGCCACCCGGTCGCCAGCCTGGAACCCAGTCACTTTGGACCCGACTGCTAAGACAATTCCGCTTGCCTCGAGGCCGCTGCTAGCGAGAGGTATCAAGCCCTTGGCAGCCATGCCATCCTTGAAATTGAGCCCAATGGCCTTGACCTCGATTTCGATTTCATCGTTCTCCAATGGTTGCTCAGTAGACGAATCGTCGACGAAGTGAATGGTGTCCAAGGCGCCTGGTGTTGACATCTCCATCTTCAACGCTCGGTTACCGTCCCCGAATTGGGTCGACTCGAGAACAGAAGGGTTTGTTTGGTTGTGTACGTATGCGTTCATGTCTGGATCAAGAACGATTCGTGGGGTAAAAAAGCTACCGGCCTTCTCCTTGAACTCCAGTTCTCCGGTGGCCGATGAACTCGAGCCAAACACGAAGTTGAAGACACGCAAGATAGCGTCGACGGTATCAGGCTCAGATGGGTTGGACTCGCCGTCGAGATCAAGAGTCGCAAACTTCATGGCAGTCTCCGACCGTATGGTTCTACTCAAGCCAGTCACCATGTTGGCATCCGGATTTGTGGACTTGTCGTAAGCCCCACGGACAACCCACAACACGCCCTCGACAGATGTCAAAAGTCTTTGCAGGCTCTCAAACTGAGATGGTGTGAGTGTTGCAAGGAACGGTTGATGTAGCTCGTTCAAGAAAACACAGATCTTTCCTGCAGTGTTCACGGAATCCAGGGTGCCAAAGTCGGGAAGTCTTCCTGTGGCTTGCTCCAAGGCGCTGGCCACACAGACCGCCACGATGCTCTGAGAGCTGGAGCCGTCATGGATAATGACGATTTCGGTGCCGCCGGAGAAGGGTGGGTGCTCATCTTTGGTCTGGAGAATTGGGTCCCATTCCAATTTGTAACACAGGTCTCTGGGAGCGTTGATGTCGGTCTCCGTCTCGCCATCCAGGACCGGAGAAATCGTAAGGCCATCAACGGAGATGATTGCCTGAAGGTTGTCCTCGCCCGCCACAGCAGTCATGCTGACTTTTGTTGGCTTTGGGGCGCCTGTGGCTATCTCCCCTTCGCAGACGGCGCGCACAGCGCTGCCAGGCGCTTTGGTGAAACGCCCAACGTTGAACGAGACTGTCATTCGATCTACCGAAGACGGTAGGTAGATGGTGTTGATGGCTCGGCGACCGGCGCCCACGATGGGCCAATACATCTCGATGAGGGATTCCAAAAACGCAGGCTGGATCACCGCATCCGTCAGATAACCGTTCGGCATCTCCTTTGCGACATCTGGCACAACAATATCCCCCACGGCATGAGTGTCGGATGCGCGGCAGTTGGTGACACCCTGGAAAAGGGATCCATATGCCACACCCAGCTCGGCTAGGCTGTCGTACATGGCATTGGGGCTAAGTGAGGAGGCTTCCGGCCGTCCGGTTCTAGAAAGTGCAGACCTGAGGCGAGACTCGGTATCGCAGGCTTGCCTTGCGCCGTCCACATCATTCTCGTCCGCCTCCAGGGCGGCAATGAGACCGATGCAGTGTTCTGTCCAGCCCTGATCGGATGACCATGAGCAGATTCGGAACTCATCCCAAGTGTCCGAGATTGGTTCCTGACGGGGCCTCAGGGTGATGGTCATCTCGATGTCCTTGTCTAGGATAACCAGGGGCTTGGTAATGGAAACCCCCTTCAGCTCAAACCTGTCAAGCGAAGTGGTTTTTGTAGCCGCTCTCTGAGCCGCAGCCTCGAGTGCCATCGCAATAAACCCGGCCATGGGAAATATGGTCAATGACTGGATTTTGTGGTGTTGTAACCATGGGAGATCATCGAGCCGGACAATGTTGCGCCAGGTGGGCTCCAAGTCGTTGGAGTAGTTAGCCAGGGCACCTAGGATATCATTTCTACCCCCTGGGGCATGTTTGTGCATTTTAGTCATCCGAGACTCCTGCCAGTACTTGGATGAATAATTCCACGGGTACCGAGGCAAGTCGGTCAGCAGCACAGGCGCCTTCGTTGGGGCGGGGAAGTTGATGGCGCCAAAGTCAAGGTTTGCACCCTTGGCGAACAAGCTTGCCGCGAGTTCCAACGCCGTCTCTACGGCATCCCGTTTTCGAATGAGGGCGGAGGCGTAAGGGATCTTCACGGCGCTACCGCCGAGCTCCTTCAAGACCTGCTTGATCGGCCCCTGCAGTCCCGAATGAGGTCCGAGTTCCACCAGCATGTTGACGCCATGCTTGTGCTCTCCGGTTGGCTCGAGCATGCTCTGGAGTGCCTCCGAGAAACGCACGGCGCACGTCAAGTTATCCACCCAATAGTTGGATTGCAGTTCGGTGCCGTCAACTAGATGGCCATACAGAGATGAATGGAATCTGATGTCTGTGGGAACGGGAGACCGAGCGTGGGCCAGGGATGCTCGGTACTCCTTGGCTACCAGGTTCATGTGGTGCGAGTGGTAAGCGACGTCGACCACAAGGCGCCTGTTGAAGACTTGCTTCTCCTGGCAGATGGCTTCAAGCTCGGCAATAGCGGGTTCATCCCCAGAGATGGTGAGACTGGAGGGGCTGTTATAGCAAGCAATGCGCGCTTCCTTCTCTTTCAAACCGTCGAGAATTGGCTGAAACTCTTCTTTGCTGCCACCAACAGCCATCATGCGGCCCCGAAGGTCCGGGTTTCTTAGCTTGAGAATTGGGATGAGTCTTCCGCGGTGGTATGCAATGGTCATGGCGGTCTCGAAATCGATGATCTCGGCGGCGTACGCTGCTGCAATCTCACCGCTCGAATGGCCGGCGACGGCTGTTGGGCGGATACTCCAAGACCGCAAAAGGTCAACCAGCGCCAGCTGGATAGCGGTACACGACGGCTGGCTGATATGTGCCTCGCTGACTTGGCTATCCTTTGCGCCCTTGTTTAACTCGTCTACAAAGAAAGTCAGCCAATTATCTTGGGGAGGGACCAGAGTCCTTACCTATGAGAGACCACTCCGCGCCGTTATCGATCAAGCATTTATCGGCTCGGTGAATGCTACTGGAAAAGATCGGGTACTGTTCATAGAGCTCTCGCCCCATGGCATGCCACTGTGCGCCTTGTCCTGTGAAAATGAAGCCGATCCTCAACGGCTCGATCTCCTTTCCGGGAGTGAACTTCTCGCCATTGATCGCCTCGATGAGCTCAAAAGAGTTGAGGGCGGGAATCGCAACTCTCCATTGTAGAAGAGATCGACGCTGGCCTAAGGTGTAGGCCAAGTTCGCAGGAAGGTCCTTTTGGAAGATCTCTGGGCGCTGTTCGAGGTAGATGACAATATTTTTCGTCACTTGCGAGAGTGCGGTCTTGTCATTGGCCGTGACCACAAAGAGCTTCCGTCCGTGGCTTGGGTCCTCGGGAGTATCGTTTCCAGCTGTTGGCGAAGGCCTCTGTTTGCGAAACGGGGGGGCTTCGAGGACGACGTGCCCATTCGTTCCGCCAAAGCCGAAGTTGTTGACGCTGATGTATTTCTTCCCCTTAGGCCACGGCCGTTGGGAAACAGGCACTTTAAGGTTCCACTCCTTCCACGGAATCTTTGGGTTTGGTCGCTTGAAGTCGTAGTTGGGCAAGATGAAGCCACGCTCGAGCATCAAAGCGGCTTTGATGATCCCGGCAATTCCTTTCTAATGTCAGCGAGAGTTTTTGGAAAACGAGTTCTCCGTCTTCATACCTGAAGCACCCTCGAGATGACCGATGTTGGATTTTACAGAACCAATCCACAATGGATCACGTACTGTCCTCTTCAAACCCAGCACGTTGCGAATAGCAGTGGCTTCGATCGGATCCCCGACTCTCGTGCCTGTTCCATGCGCCTCGACAAAACCGCAGGCATGAGGATCTAGCCCAGCATTTCTGTACACTTGCCTCATAAGGTCCTCTGTGACACCAAGTTAGCTCAACTCATATTTCAACACAAAGGGGTGGTGTAAGCTAGGTACCTTGGGCTGCCCCGTTAGGCATGGTGATGCCGGGCGTCTTTCCATCCTGGTTCAGCCCGGTTCCAGCAATGACAGCCCGAATGGTATCATTGTCCCTGATCGCTTGATCCAGCGGTTTCAGCACGAGCATGCCGCAGCCTTCGCCACGCCCAAACCCGGTACCCCGATCATCGAAGGCAAAAGAGCGGCCCGTGTCTGAGAGTAACCTGAACCGCTTGTTAGCCGCAAAACCAGTTGCGGAAACGCCTCCCCGCACGCCTCTTACCTGCAAGTGGAAAACGAGACCCAAAACTCGGGCAGCATGTTCAGATGGCAAGCGCCGACCAAGGCGCAATTCGTCTCACCAGATCGTAGGCTTTGGCATGCTAAATGTACGGCAACCATGCTAGACGAGCATGCCGTATCTGAAGTGAAGCTTGGCCCTCGCAGATCAAAGAAGTGTGAGATCCGGTTAGACTGCATGGCATATGCACATCCTGGCGGGCCCAATCCGTCAGTGATCTTACTTGACAACCTACCTGGGCGCGTACGGGGGTCACTTACCGGTCGCCTGATGCATGGGGATGGTATCGGAATCCCGGAATAAATGTGACTCGTACTCGGGGAAAGAACCGCCGACGAAGACGCCTACGTTCTGCCCAACAACGTCATGTTTCGGAATCCCAGCGTTTTCAAGCGCCTCAAATGTACACTCAAGAAGGAGGCGTTGTTGGGGGTCCATAGAAATGGCTTCCTTCTCTGTAAGCCCGAAGAAGGGGGCATCGAATGCAGCGAGGTCGACGTTGAGAAAGCTGCCACCAACCGGGTTCGCGGCACCGCCCTTGCCCGGGTTCGGGTGGTAGAACCGAGCGTTGTCGAACCTTTTCTTGGGTATCTCGGTCCATCCTGACCGGGCACGGGTGCAGAGCTCCCAGAATTCGGCGGGAGTGGCAACATTCCCCGGCATGCGGCAAGCCATGCCCACGATCGCGACGGGCATCGTTTTGTGGGGCCTCGAGATCCCATCGGGGACACCGTTGGCGCCGTTGGTAAAACCATTGGTTGTTCCATTTGAATATCCGTTTGAGTGTCCATTTGTATACCCATTGGTATGCCCGTTGGTATGCCCGTTGGTGTGCCCGTTGGTGTGTCCATTGGTGTACCCGTTGGTGTACCCGTTGGCGTGCCCGTTGGTGTAGCTGTTGTCATAGCCGTTTACTTGATAATAGCCGTTGACACTCTCTCCAGAAGGGCTGGCAATGGAGCTAGAGTCTGTGGTGACGGCGGTAGGCGCCATGGCGAGGAGCTTTGCAGGAGCGAGGCCGTGGACGGCGTTTGCACGGGTGTTCCAACCACAGCAATGGTTCAACGCCTGGCAGTTGTGTGGAACATAGGACAACTAGAGACACTAAGAGGGGACGGCTTGCTCATTGACCGGACCAGAAGTATCTAGGAGAGCCAGGCTAGCACATGTCCTTTTTATGCGAGAGAGATATCCAGAAAGACCTGGCCACTTGAGCCAGCGGAGTGGCCAAACAAGTCAACGACCCTGATCGCCTCCTCGCTTCGAAAAACATATTGAAGGCTACGCGCAAGCCCTTCATCCGAACGACGTGTCGATTTGATAGTCACCGGCCCCCCGGTGACGGACTGACAGTCGCATTGTGCTATATGGGGTTGCAACGTCCGATCCGGCAGCGCCAACAATAATGCGCGGTAATATGGTCCGTGTTAGACGACACTATCGGCTAACAGTCACGGCTCACGCGTTTGTTCGCCGCCATGGGGCATGGGCCTCGAATCTTTCCAGGTTGCCCTCTTCTACCCCACCAAAGGTAAGCCTCAGGATCCCTGACACGGGATAATGGAAGCATATCCTCAGATAGCGGGAGCCACACCCCCACCACTCTGCCAAAATACATTTTGCGCAGTTGGTACCCTTAGGGGGGGCGTACGGGGAGTCGTAAATTTCCATCTCCCTGGGAAAGCAGCTCGGAGCATGGGGGCCGCCTCCCCCTTCTTTCCCGTACCTTCGCGTGAGGTTCCGCGGCAACGACCTAACGCTGGGGTCCTACGGCTGGGGCCTGGGGACATACAGCGACGATCGGTCACGAACAGTCAAATTGGGGAAGAAAAATGACAATCCGGGGACGACAATTTGGTACACATGTGAGCTTGAGATTTCCCGAACCACTGGGTTCCCAGTAGCCTCACCACGCAGCCAGGCATGCCAGGCATGCCAGGCCAGCTGCTGGTGGATTGGGTCTGAGACAATGAGCTGGGGCGGATAGATCGACAGCGGCTAATGTCGTCGATAGTGATTCGTTGTCGTGAAAGAAGGTCAGTCGATGGCGGCGAAGGGAGGAAAGAAAGTATGTCAATGTAGCAATCGATCGGCGCTTGCCGAGAAAAGAGGGCAGTGGCAGTGGCATCACAACAAGTACCGATAATTGGGAAGGAACGGTTGACGTTCAGCGGCGCTCCTTATCGATAACTACCAGCCAATAAGCGTGTTTATCGCTCCCCTGCAAAGAGGTGCAGGGGAGTTATCGGTACTTGGGCCGGGTGCTGATCCCCACTGCTAGCGCCAGTACCCGCCCTGAGCCGCCCCGAGCTGTGTGGGGAAGCTGTGTGGGGAAGGAGACGCATGACAACGGCAAAAGTCCCGATTAATCTAACTCAATCCTCCATGTCGATACTTGGAGCTTCCTATGGAGCTATGCTATAAAGTTTTTTGTGGTGAGCAAGTAAACACGCCCGGGCAGGCCATGAGCTATTATCAATTGCAAGCCGCCCAATTCTCAACCCATCGCGCAGGCACCGGGAAACATGGGCATCTCTACCGATGAAAAGATGATGGAAGGCACGACGGACCTACCACATCTCCATCCATATCAATCAAGCTTTTCACCGGGCCCTCTTTTGACAGTTCTTCGGAAGGTACCTAGGTACGTATGAATAAATGCCCGCACACTTTACGTTTTATCCCCGAAGCCTAGTGTCCCTCGGGAGATCAGGTTCTCCACCCCCACTTTCCGCTGTCTAAGGTACTCAATCACCTAGAGGCAACAGGCCAACAGCACAACCCAGTTGGTCCATACTGTGGGATCACGGCTACATGTCACACATGCCGACATACGTAGCCGTCCAGCAAGGATACTGCCCCCGATCCGGCACGGCTGATCAACTCGGATCAACATGACATGCCCTTGAACAAAAGAATAAGATATTAGGTGCATGTACGTGCAATTATCATATATCTCAGACGGGAAAGCCGATCAGCCAAACTTTATAGTATTCGCCAGCTTCCCATTTCAGCATCTCATTTCGGGTCGCGGCCGAAGAGGCTGCCATCATCACTTTGTAATTCGGAGCTTCATCCCGAACCCGATCCAAGGCTCTCCTTGTCACATGCTTGCGCGTCCACAGGTTTCGTCTACCATTGATATGTAGGTTTTGCTTCCAGAAGAACGTTTAATCTAGCCGTGTCTTGGTATTTTGCCTCAACCTGGTCTCGTGGTAACTTCTTCGCGCTGCTTCCCAGTTTCGAGTTGAATATGTGCAATTTTACCCCTACCCAAGCGCCCGTTTCTGTCCGCTACCACAGCATTCCGGGTTATTGTGTCCGGTTCAACAGAGTGATGAGTGACGCATTCCCGAGTTTACGTTGCATGGCGATGAAATCCAATTGCCGAGCTCGAGTACCAAGTGGCAACCCGAGAAGACCAAGCTCAACGTATTCGGATCTGAGAAACTACCACTTAGAGCCACACAGTTCCTCCCTAAGATCATCACCCTCTTTACATTCTCCAATTCAAGCGCAAACCGAGCCAAGGCCACACTGCCTATATTCGTTCGCCCGGAGACTCCAGTATCTCCCAACATGAAGATATTGTGCCTTCCTGGCGCCTATGGCAGCTCTGATGTCAGTAGCACAAGCGCCCATTCGACCTTCTCAATGATGCCGTTAGCTAACAGCCACACAGAAGTTTCAGGTGCAGTTGGGTGAGTCCCACCCATCTACAACCACAGGTTCTCCCTCCCCCTTGGTCACTAACCGCTATGTGAAGCACCTCTCGTCAAGGAACTAACCGAAGACGGAACGGCAACGTTCCACTTCATCCACGGGCCGTGCAAAGCTGTTCCCCCAGAGGGATTCGAAGATTACTTTGGAAACCCGCCGTACTTCCGTTTTATCGAGCCAGACAAGGACGTGGAGCAGACGGATGAAGATGACATCTTGATGAGGATCCGGGATTTCCCCGACTGCGAGACGCCTGAGGACACTATGCGCGAGCTGACGCGGGACGGTATCGCGACGACACACCGCAGCACCGACAACGCGATGAAGTACCTGCTCAAGATTATGCACGAGCAGGGCCCATTTGACGCCATCATCGGGTACTCGGAAGGCGCAACAGTGGCTGCCACACTCCTGCTTCATGAGCAGCGAAGGTTCAAGAAGAAGAATATTCCACCAATGTTCAAGTACGCCATCTTCTTTGCGGGGTGGCCTCCAATGGACCCGGACCGCCACAGCATGATTCTAAGCGACGAGTCGGACGCCATGATCGATATCCCAACTTGCCACATCAGTAAGTGCCAATCCGCCTCCAGGACGTATCACAAAGTCGGCAGGGCATGCTGACAAGAATTCAGTTGGTTCGCTTGACCCCTATGTCCACGGGTCCATGGCCCTCTTCAACGTCTGTGACCCAGACACTGCCTACATGTTTGATCACGCAAAAGGTCACACTTTACCGCGGGATAAAGATACCGTCAGGGAACTCGGGGATGTTGTCCGGGAAGCAATCCAAACGTACGGAATCGGCATCCGCTGACCCGATGCTACGTTTATTTCCTTGGTCATGCATTGCCGATTGTCAGGTTTCTCGCCCATTTTACTCGGTAGACATCGTTTTCCCTCTAAAGCTACACGCCATTATTCTCCATTATTCTAGCCCATACAAACGGAATTGCTGCCGCTTGCCGTCCACTTTGAAAAAAGTCCATGGTTGAAACGTTGAATGTCAAGTGCGGTCCGAGACAGTTCTAAATCGAAGATATTACCGAAGTCACGAATCATGTCGGTTGCGCTTCTAGTTCGAGTCTGGAACGTTACCTTGGCTCCAGCGGCCCGGATTCAATAGCACGTTCATGAAAAGCCACTGCTACTTTCGTCATCAGGCGTTCTGTCTTGGTCTAGAAGAACGGGTTCACTCTAATATTCTGCAGCGCGTACGGCAAATCCGGGATACTGCTGATGATGCCATCGCTTCCCATGAGATAAGGCTACCCGAAAACGCCCGCGGTAATCCACTGCAGCCCGCCTTGATTGCGAGGGCACGATACATAGGTGGGGGGTTCAGATTGAGTCTGGCCGCACCCGTGAGGTTGACGTACCTGCAGACAAGGAGGGTTACGGGCGCGGCAGAGAACCCCTGACACAGGGTCCCTCTCAGTTGCGGGCATTAGGGGGGGTTAGAAAGATTGCGTCACCCCCCCCTCCTGTCTTTCAGACTCGTCTAGACTTGCGAGTCTTCCAGAGTGCTTCTGCCGTCGCATCAACAGTCTTGAGTTCACGGCTAAATCAGCCCCATAACGGATGTCGTTATGTGACCGCTGTCTATAGAGCCGGGGAAGGTTTAAGGCACAGGGGGAGTGCCGGTTTATTATCCGAAAGCCGAAACGCAGTCAAAAGCCGGTACCAGGGCAATACCGCCGCATTTATTCTGACACATCTGCTTCCTAATTCAGCCGGATCGACGAATCGCCTTGAGCAGATCTTCCATCTTATACGTTACTTGTGAAGCAACACCCAGGCGATGGCAGTGTTTTCAGTGGCTCTTTTACCTTCCATCTTCGGGTATTCAGCAGCCTTCATCGTAAGCGTAATGCACCCCAGATGGTCGGGAAGTGGATGGTCTCGGTGGTCTATCTTGACACGGGAAAGATCACCTTGAACCAGACCCCAATGAAGGGAAGATATGCCTCTTACAGCCCCCGGGGGTGATGGACTGCAATCACAGCACTCGACCCATTCCAGCCAGTTGGCAAAATCCCGTCTGAAATCCCCCCTTGCACCGGACGCCAACAACGAGCCGTGGCGGCTCGGATCTGTCCCCGAATAGCGCGATACTATCAGCCCATGCCCATTTCCCCCCAGGCAGCAGAGAGCCATAGCTCCATGGTACTCCTTTTCTTTTCGCTTTCACCGCTTTCGACCCCTGAATCTTGCGACCCCCTGCGAGTTGGACATTGCCTATCGCGGGCGATGCGCTTAGCAAATCGGTACTCTCCCCCTCGGGTCCCTTGGCACCATACCCTAGGCCAAATTACACTTTGATTGCCGGCATATTGGCCTCGTCATGGAAGCGGAACCGGTAGTGAGTTCTATACGGCCACACTCCCGTCACGACTCCCGCTCAATCGCTTATTTCTCTGTCAGTCTAGCGGAGGCAGCTGTCACCCACCAGGAACATTATGTCACGCCGCCCTTTTTCCTCGTGGTTGCGGCTCCGGAGTCTGAAGTCCCGCCTGCCGTTAACTGGTGTGCTCAGGGGGTGACTTGGGGACACCCATGACGGTTACTGCGCTTAGAGGGACAACTTGGTCTTTTGCCATTCTCGCTGCTCCCCTCCCATACTCCAGACTCGACACTGCGATACAAGTTTGCGTAGTACTGGGACCCAACGTTCTACTTTCATCTTGCCGTCAGGCACACATGAGGGCGTTCTAACGATCTCGAGCCGGTGGTGGCTCTAGCCCGTCTGTCTTGGTTATTTCCAGGTTCTGGGCACCCCCCATTCACAGTCCACCCCCAAGGCGACTCGTCCTGGACCACTCAACGTAGCCCCCATGTTGAACCCTGCTTGGCTCACCAAGAACGCCAACTGTATATCCGGTTTCTACTCTCAACCGAGGCCTGTGAGAGAGCATGCTAACCTCATGTAATACAGTGTCTAGTACAACACTCATGAGAAACGTCGGCTTAGATTCAAAATCTCACAGATACTGAGACAATGGCTCATTCATCTCCCCCGGCCACAGAGGAGAAACGGCCATCCCTTCCAGGATCTCAGCGCAAAACGGCATTGAGAGATTTTATTGTAAGGTTTCTATTTGTATTCCATACCATCACTGATCGTATGCACTTACCAAATAAGCGCATCTTCTCGTTTTCGACATGGCTGGACAAAGCAATCTTCGTCGTTGCTCTGGTATCCTCCCTAGGGGTTGGCGCCACCATGCCCGCTATGAACATCATTTTCGGTATGCACCTTGCAGAAAACGATCACCTCGAGTCTTGGGCCCTACTAAGCATAATGCAGGTCGGATGGTGGGTTCATTCACCGGATACTTCAGCGCGGATCCTTCAACGACTTATGAAATGTTCAACGACGCCATTAATACATGCGCGTAAGCATCATGGCCCTGCCCAAAGTCAAAGGCACCCTGACTCAAATTATCTAGGCTATATCTTGTCGGCCTATTTGGTATCCGACTCGCTCTTGACTACGTAGCCTATGTAAGTGCTATGAGCTTCACGAATTTTCATTGTTCTAACGGATTTACCATTCAAGATTGGCTTCCGGACATGTAGCATGAGGATTTCAGCGGCGATCAGACTTGAATACTTGAAGTCACTCTTCGCACAGCCTGTCTCCACTCTCGATGTCCTCCCGCCCGGGCAGACGGCCGCCATCATTACCCTCACAGCAAGCACGCTACAGTCTGGGATATCTCAGAAGCTCTCGGCTCTACTTCAGGCGGTATCAACCGTTGTTTCTGCCTTCATCATCGCCATGTGCTACAGCTGGTCACTTGCCTTGATCACCAGCAGTGGTCTGGTCTTGATTATCGCGACCTATGTGACAACCACCCCTCCTCTAGTCAAGCGACTGAACGAGGTACAACACGCGGACATCCAAGCTTCCACCGCCGCGAATGAAGTTTTCAGTTCCGTCAGAATGGTTGCTGCTTGTGGGGCAGAAGAGAAAATGCTGAGAAGATATGCGAAGTGGGTGGATGAATCTCGCCGCCGTGGTCTGAAGATGTCTCCCATCATCGCAATACAGCAAGCTCCAAGTAAGTTCCATGGCCCGAATAATGTTAACTAGTTGTGTCCAGCGGATACTAACCAACTAAAACCTTGTTACAGTCCAGTTCGCCGTGTACAGGTAGGCTTTAGCTGTGATCATTGCCCGTATCAGTGACCTTGACAAGAAGTTTCTTTCTTTTCAATATTCTCAACTCATAAACTAACAATTTGCAGCACATTCGGTCTCTCGTTTTGGTACTCTCTCAAGATGCACATGGACCTACAAATCAGCAGTGCGGAAACCCTGATCGTGTGAGTCTGAATACCTTTACCCCTGACTAACCACTTCCCCGGCCAAAACTAACGAGTTTTTTTCACAATGGCTAGTGTCCTCATGTCCGTCATGCTCATGACCACCGCCATCAGCGGCATCACAGCTCCGTTGTCCGCCGCCGCACGAGCTGCGGGAGCAGCCACGATATTCTACAGTATCATTGACGCTCCGAAGCCTGACAAGTCTGGCGTTAAGCACCCTGAGGTGTCCGCATCGGCCGACATTGTTCTTGATCATGTCAACTTTGCTTACCCCACCAGGCCAGGTCTTAAAGTCCTGGATGAGCTATGCCTTCGCTTCCCCGCTGGCAAGGTGACTGCAATTGCTGGGCCATCCGGTTCTGGAAAGAGCACCATTGTCGGGCTGTTGGAACGGTGGTATGAGATCGAATCGCCAGACAGCGGTCACAAGGTATACGCCTATTTTCTCTTTCTATCAACCCATCGTTTTGCCTCAACTGACATCAAGAACCAATATTACAGAGCCTATCCTGGCGTAACGGCTCCATTACTATCGGTGGCCGGCCGCTAAGAGAGATTGATCTGAAATGGTGGAGGAACCAAATTGGCCTTGTCCAACAAGAGCCATGTCTCTTCAACAACACTATCTACGCCAATGTCGAGTTTGGCCTCATCGGTACTGAATGGGAGAGCTCGGATACAGAGACGAAGGAACATCTTGTGAAGCAAGCATGCATTGAAGCCTTCGCAGACGAGTTTATCAACCGCTTGCCTGATGTAGGTCTACTCGCCTCCCCCATCGCAACCTCAACCGGTGCTGACACACATCAGGGATATTCCACCACAGTAGGAGACGCCGGGATCAAACTCAGCGGTGGTCAGCGCCAGCGGCTGGCCATCGCGAGAAGCATTGTCAAGCGGCCGAAGATTCTGATTCTAGACGAGGCAACAAGCAGCATTGATGTTCGAGGAGAGCAGGTTGTTCAAGCTGCTCTGGATAAGGTGTCAAAAAACAGAACAACGCTCGTCATTGCACACCGCCTAGCTACTATTAGAAAAGCAGACAACATTATTGTCCTTCGGAAGGGCGTAGCGGTACAACAAGGCACCCATGATGATCTCATGGCGCAGACAGGGGGCGCATATTTCGCCTTGGCCACCGCTCAGCAACTCGCGACGGCATCCGAAGAGCAAGAGGCCGATATCTTACCGACTGGGAATGTTGAGGTTACCGAGAAGAAGAGCATGGCAACAATCGCAACCGAGACGACATTGGTCGAGTCAGCCTCTGACAGGGGGGGCGATTCGGAAGCCCAGTCCAAGGCCCGTGGGTTCTGGAGGACCTTCTTTTTGCTCCTTGGCGAGCAAAAACATCGAAGGATGTGGTACACAATACTTCTTCTCAGTGCCATAGGTGGGGGTTGTAAGTTCATGCAATTTTTTGATGTTGGCTCTGTCCAGTCCGTTAGGACACTAACAGAACTTGCTATTCAGCCAGCCAACCCATCCAAGCATACCTGTTCGCAACCGAGCTTACACTCTTCCAGTTCTGGGGGGATTGGCTCCCCGCTGCCGCAAATTTCTGGAGCTTGATGTTTGTTATGCTCGCTCTCTTTGTGGCGGCTAGCTACTTTGCATTGGGATGGTCTTCATCCACCATCGCCTTCGTAAGCAGCCCCGACTCCCTCCTGACTCAAGATAAAAAGCTGATTCAAACAGCACATTACCCACTACTACCGCGGGGAATACTTCAGCAACATCCTTTCCAAGTCGGTAGCCTTCTTCGATACCGACGCCCACTCCGTCGGCGCTCTCACGGCTCAGCTGGCCACTGATCCGAGCCAGCTCCAGGAGCTTCTTGGTACAAACATGGCGTTTGTCGCCATCTCCATTCTCAACATCGTTGGTTGTTCAGCGATTGCGTTCTATTTTGGCTGGAAACTCACCATAGTAACCCTCTGCTCTTCGATGCCCCTGATTATTGGCGCGGCGTTTTTCAGGATCCGACATGAAAGGCAGTTCGAGAAGATGAACGACGAAGTCTTTGCAGAAAGTGCAAAGTTTGCTACTGAGTCTATCGGGGCGTTCAGGACTGTCTCGGCCTTGACGCTTGAGGATACCATCACTCGGCGTTACAAGACCCTCCTCCGAGAACATATCAACAAGGCATTTTGGAAATCAAGTTGGACAACCCTCGTATTTGCCGCGGCAGACAGTGTTGTTTTGCTTTGCATGGCTTTTGTGCTCTGGTAGGTTTGGAACTAGACTGAGTTTGAACCATCGGTTGATCTTTTGAAGGTACGGAGGCGGGCTCATGTTGAAGGGCGAGTATACCTCATTTCAGTACATGGTTGTTTACATCGCGGTGATGCAGGTAAATCCCCCTCCCCCATACATCGTTACACGGCCACTAATCTGTTCAGGGGGCTCTCGGTACAGGGCGATGGCTCAGCCATTCGCCGAGTATGTCTCCTCGCTCTGTTCGTTGGATTCAAAACTGACGGCGGAAACAGACCTTGCAAAAGCCTCGCTATCGGCAAACCGAATCATAAGCATGAGGGGCACTGATCAGGTTAACGGGAAGCTCATTTCTCTTGATGTTGGAAACATTGGAGAGGATGACATGGGGGTCAAAGTCCAGTTTCAGAACGTGTGGTTCAGATACCCCACTCGAGATGTGCCCATCTTGAATGGTCTCAACTTGACGGTAAGCAAATCACGCTTTCCGACGAATTAAGCCCACTGACAGTCCTATAATAGATCGAGAAAGGGCAATTCGCGGCCATTGTCGGCCCTTCAGGTACACCACTCACCATCTTACTATTACAATCCTCAGCTGATGATGACAAGGATCTGGGAAAACCACCGTCATCTCATTGCTCGAGCGGTGCGTAGCAATAATCCCAAAACATTATGACCTGAAAAACTAAAAAGACCGGTCCCAGATTTTACACCGCGAACGCCGGCCGAGTTGCCTACAATGGTCTGGATATTTCTGATCTTGACCTGAGGAGTTACCGCACAGACATTTCGCTTGTGTCTCAAGAGCCGAATCTGTTCGACGGAACCCTCCGAGAAAACATTCTCTTGGGAGTTGATGAAGAGACGGTAAGTGAAGAACAACTCCAGCAAGCGTGCCGTGACGCAGAGATCCACGACTTTATTGCATCACTTCCAGACGGCTACAATACACAAGTGGGCACGAAAGGGGTGACGCTATCTGGCGGACAGAAGCAACGCCTCGCAATCGCCAGAGCACTAATACGGAACCCTCGCCTACTACTCCTGGATGAAGCTACTTCCAACTTGGACGCCGAAACCGAAAGATCAGTACAGGAGGTTTTCGAAAAGAACAAGAAGAACAGGACGATGGTGGTGGTGGCTCATAGGTTGGCGACGGTGCAGAACGCCGACGTGATCTTTGTCCTTGCGGATGGCCGGGTGGTAGAAAAGGGAGATCATTCTTCGTTGCTAAACAAGCGGGGGATATATTATCAAATGGTAAGTCTCCCCAGTACTTATCCCGGTTGGCTTTCGTTCTTGACATGGAGTCTAACACTTTACGGTGCCAGTGCCAATCACAGGCCTTGGACAGGTAGTGGCCAAGGTTCATATTATTATTTATTATTATTTCCTACACCGATATGCCCGTGGGCGCGCCGGTCCTTCTACCGCTATTTACAGAGAAAACCGTACTCTATGGGCCGGACAAAAACCTCTGCCTACCCCTTCGCGACTACAATGTATGAATCCATCTTACTACGAAAAGAAAGGAGGCCATTTGCCGGCCTCCGGACTCTCTAGCCCTCTCCCTCCACTGTTTCTAGCTCTAGCCTTCTGGCTAGACTGTACTCCAGTAGCCGGCCAGAGTCCATCAGCCAGCCCAGGACCTTCCTAACAAGCCTAACGCTCCGGGCACCTACTTCCCGTAGTACGGTTTGTAAGTCCCCATGTGACCGAATCTCCCGGTGCTCCCACGGTCTCTGTAACGTTGGGTCAGGGCACCAAACCACCAAGTGCTCCACTGTCTCCCTGCCTTCCCCGCACCCGCAGTAGGGGGTACGGACCTCTGGAACCTTAACCCTGAATAGGTAGTCCTTAAGGCCTATATCCCCTATACAGGCCTGGGAAAGAAGGGTACTCTAGGCCTTCGTAAGGCCCTCGTACCTCTGTAGGGCTTTTTTCGGGAAAAGGAGAGCTGGGGGGTCTTCATCGGCCATCCTTCTACCAACCCCCTCTTGCCTTGGTCTCTGTTGCTCCCACCGGGCCTGCCAGGCTAGTTCCATCACTTCGTCGGTTTTCAACTTCTTGCCTCTGTTTTCTCCTGTCTTCCACCTCTGGCTAGCCCACCGGCCCACTACAGTAGTGGCTTGCTCGGTGGGTATTGGGGCTGCGGGCCATGACGGGGCTTCTGTCCTCGGCCCTTCTTCTTCTTTCTAAACCTACGGTAGACTCTGTTGCAAGCCTCTGTGGTCAAGTGCCCCGGGGTAGTCTTTGGGGCTTCTGGTCCCGCCCCTGTTTGTAGGGTCTCTTTGCGTTAGCCGGTCTTCGAAGTCGGCAAGCCGTTTGTTGAGGTAGAGGTCCAGTGGTGGCACCCAAGCCTCCGTCTCTAGGCACCTAATAGGGGCCGATTTATAAGCTCCAACCACTATGCGGAGGCTCCTGTTCTGAGCTTTCGACAGAACCTTTGCGATCCCTTTTGGCTTGTTGGGCCCCCCTGGAGCTGTTGGCTGGTGGTAGCTAGAGGCTCCGTAGGCTATAGCACTGCGAATGCACTTGGTGTACACCTCTCGGGCCCGGGCAAGGCCCTCGGGCCCCAAGTCTTGGCCGCAATCCTTGACAGGGCAAAGTCCTGGGTCCTTAGCTTCCGTTCAACTGCCTGGCAGTGAGCCCTCCATGATAGCTTCCAGTCTAGCCAGACCCCTAAGAACCGGGCCGAGCCCACTGGCTTAACCGTACTATAGCCTCCGTTGCCCCCTGGGTGGGCGAGAGCTACAAGGTCCTCCCACTGCTTCCGGCCTTTGTTGAAGTGAATTAGCTCGCACTTCTGGGCTGCGAAGGCCATGCCCCGAGTGCTTGCCCACTGTAGGCAGGTCTTCCAGGCTTTTTCTAGCTGTTGAGTGTTGGCTGTTGAGTTCTTTCCAAAGGCTAGAAGGTTTGTATCATCGGCAAAGCCCACTATGCTGACCAGTGGGTGGTCTTTCTTTAGAGCCTTATACAGCGATGCGATATAGAGGATAAAGAGGACCGGAGACAGCGGAGAGCCCTGGGGGACCCCTGCAACCACTGGAATGTCCTCCGTCTGTTGGCCGTCGAAGTGGAGGATCGCCACTCTGTTGCTTAGCCACGCTCGCACCCACAGTGCCACCCATCGTGGGAAGCCCTGTTGCCGGAGGGTGGTTAGTAGCCGGGTGTGGTTGACGGTGTCAAAGGCCCCTTGGCCAAGGTTCATAACCTAGATCAAAACTTGCTTGGTAATCCCTTTTTACTTTGGAATGTTCTTCTCAAGTATACCGAGGCAAATTTTCTCCATTGATGACCAACCGCCTTTCTTTGCCGTTCCATCACCGGAGTTAAGGTCTTGAGGAGAGTCATCGGCGAGATCTCTCGGGCTCGTACCCGCCATCTCATGAGAATCACCTGGTTCGGAAGCGAGAGCCCGGCTCGGCATGGACGGAGCTAACTCCACACACCGGTTACATCAGGGCCCATCGTAGTCCATAAGACGCACGGAAGTATCAACCCGAGTCCATACCATACCCCCACTTCCCACTCATCTTAACTCCTTAACACCTGTTATCCCCGCTGCGGGGTAGCATCGATGACTACATGCCCATGAAGCCAGAAACTTGGCGACAGTGTATATATTGAAGTTCCTTGTCCCTTCTTGTCGAGTGGCTTGATCACCCGCAATTGCAGCTGAGACAAAAGTTGTCACCAGACACACCACAAGTAACAGCCCACCAAACCAGCAAGCCAGTCGGAACCATGGCTCCTACTATGACCCCCGGCCTCCAGGCGTCGATTGAAAACTCCAAATGCGAGTATCGACGCCTAGGAAACAGTGGCCTCCGCGTCTCGGTCCCCATCTTCGGCTGCATGAGCTTCGGCGACCCGAGGACTCTCGATTGGGCCATCGGCGAGGAGGAGGCACTCCCCCTTCTCAAGGCCGCTTACGACAGAGGCCTCAACACTTGGGACACGGCCAACATGTACTCCAACGGCGCATCCGAGATCATCGTCGGCAAGGCGCTCAAGAAGTACGAAATCCCGCGCGAGAAGGTCGTCATTATGACCAAGTGCTACTTTGCCGTCGGCGAGGAACCCGAACTGCGCGCCTTCTTTTTCAAGGACCAGCTCAACGCCTCCAAGGACTATATCAACAACTTTGGTCTGTCTCGCACAGCCATCTTCAACCAGGTGGAGGCGTCCCTGAAGCGCCTGGACACGCCATACATCGACCTGCTCCAGATCCACCGCTTCGACCCAAACACGCCCATCGAGGAGACCATGAAGGCGCTCCACGACCTCGTCCAGTCGGGCAAGGTTCGCTACATCGGCGCCAGCAGCATGTGGGGGACCCAGTTTGCCCGCATGCAGTTTTGCGCCGAGCGTAACGGGTGGACCAAGTTCGTCAGCATGCAGAACCAGTACAACCTGCTCTACCGGGAGGAGGAGCGCGAGATGAACCGATTCTGCAATGACACTGGCGTGGGCTTGGTTCCCTGGGCTCCGCTGTGCAGAGGACATCTAGCTCGCCGACCGGAGCAATACGGCACCACCGCTCGCAGCAAGGGGGAGAAGGATAACCAGCCCGGGGCGCATGGGACAGTTGAGCCGGACTTGACCATCATCAACCGTGCGGTGGAACTTGCGGATAAACATGAGTGGCCGGTGAGTTTCTTCTCTCCCACCCTGGGTACTCTGCCATTGTGTCCCCTGAGCAAGCACTAACATATACCCAGATCTCACATGTTGCCCTGGCATGGATCAACAAGCGTGTCACAAGCCCCATCATCGGCTTTAGCAAAGTAGAAAGACTAGACGAGGCCATCTCTGCGAGAGGGAAAGTTTTGACGGAGGAAGAGGAGAAATACCTCGAGGAGCTTTACCAGCCGAAGGCTATCAATGGCCACTCGTAAATTCCTAGCCCAACCAAGAATGGCAGTCATTGCATTGCCCAACGGTCAATATAAGTAGGAGATAACAATACCAAACTTTTAACGACCAACAAATGTCCATCCTAACTCATCATCCCCTCCATTCTCAACCTGTACCAATCTTGGCTCATCGCCGGGTAAAAGATCAAATCCGTTGTCACTGAGCTTAACGCCCTGTCTCTCGAAAAAGACAAACCCCTTGACCGGCTTCTCAGCGGAGACTTCAATGAGCCCCTGGCCACGATCCTTCACCGTGACACCCCTGTCCGGAAAGTCGAGATACTTGATAGGGTCGGGCCAGGACGTGTCGCCGCTCACCTGGGTTCCGTCCACCCACAAGGCTGCCTGGATGACAAAGTGCTCAGGTTCGGCCACCGTCGCCTTGGCCCAGTCAAACTTGTACCCAGTCAACACCTCTGTACACCCGTTAGGCTGCACTTCAACCTCTTCCTCAATCCTCTCCCTCACCTCCTCCCCGGTTCTAACCGACACAAACCGCACCACCACCTTCCCCTTGGCAGCCTCCAGCTTCGAGCTCGCAACCCACACATCCAACTCAATATCCGTCAACATCTTGCGCGAGTCAACATGCCCCGTGTTCCTCCGCCAGAGCTCGTCCGCCGGCCTCGCCGTCCAATCATGAAACTTGCGCGTCACAGCCACCGCCAACGGCGCCATCGCCCGCTTGATAGCATAAAAAACCGGCTTCCTCACCAAATAATAATCCACAACCGCCCACGACACCACCGGCCAACAATCATTCAACTGCCAGACCAACACCCCCCCACACCTCCGTTGCCCCTGCCCACCCCACCCCCTCCGCCAGGCCTTATACCCCAAGCCGACCGCATCCGCCTGCATGACCTGCGTCAGGTGCGCAAACGCCCCCAGATCCCGGCCCCACGCCTGCAGCCGGAAATTCTCCCCCACGTACCCCAGCATGCGCCGCTCGTGCACCACCGCCTTGTTGTGGAAGTCCATCGTGCGGCTGCCGACGTGGCGCTCGGCCGGGTCGGTGACGAAGCCGTGGAGCGTCTCCTCGGCCGGGTACCCCATCATGCCGAACTCGCTGACAAAGCGCCCGCCCATCTGTGGCAGCGCCTGCCAGGGGCGGGCCTCGCCGTTCCAGAGGTCCCATTGGTGGATGTCGCCGACGGTGGGGTCGACTTTGAGCGTGGTGCTCGTGCCGTTGCCCCAGGGGCTGCTGGGGTGGTAGGGGGTGGAGGGGGTTTCGGCGTGGATGAGGTTGGGGAGGAGGTGCTCGTAGATGTAGCGGGCGGGGAAGGTGGATTTGAGCCAGGATTGGGGGTCTTTGTCCGTGGTGAAGTTGTATTCGAGGTGGTAGCGCTCGACGAGCTGGTAGTCTTCGTTGTTGCCGCACCAGAGGATGATGGAGGGGTGGTGGCGGAGGCGGCGGATGTTTTGGCGCGCTTCGGTGGTGATGGAGGTGAGGTAGTCCGGGTAGGTTGGGTACGATGCGCAGGCGAACATGAAGTCTTGCCAGACGAGGATTCCCAGTTCGTCACAGGCGGCGTAGAAGACTTCGGGCTCGTAGATGCCGCCGCCCCAGACCCTGATCATGTTTTGGTTGCCGTCGGCGAGGAGTTGTATCCAGTCTTGGTAGCGTTTAGGGGGTATTTGGGGGAGGAAGCTGTCGGCGGGAATCCAGCACGAGCCGCCCGAGAAGATGTCCACGCCGTTGACGCGGAAGTAGAACGACTGTCCAAACTGGTCTTTCTCCTGGACCAACTGGGCCTTGCGGAAGCCAATCTTCTGGTGCTCCTCGGCTAGGACTGTTGACCCATCGCTGGCAATTGCCCGGACTCGCACATCGCATAAGTTCTGCGGGCCATAGCCTCGCGGCCACCACAGATCTGGGTCCTCGATGCTGAACTTGGTGGATGAGTACCTCCACGACGGTGCCGCGGGGGTGGCATTGCGGTCCCTGAGAGTAACGACGCGTCCTCCAGGGAATTGCAGATCCGCCTTGAGCTCTGCCACAGGACCCAAGACATGGGCGTGGATGGTGGCTTCCAGAACTGGAGGTACCCCCCGGTTCTTGTGAATCTCATAATCCACTTTGATCTCTTCTATCCTGCTGACGTAGCACTCGAGCCTCACGGGCTTCCAGGGTCCACATGTCAACAAGATCGGACCCCAATCCCAACCCCAATGATACTGGGCCTTCCGGACTGGCCCCCGGCTGACCTCGGTCTGGTGCACAATGAAATCGTGTTCAGGGTGAGCTTTGACGAGTTCCAGCCCGCGATCCCGTGCAGGCTCAAACGTGATCTCTAGAGTGTTCTCGGTGACATCCGCGAGAAGGTTGCTGATATCGACTCGATGCTCAACAAACATGTTGTCCGCCTGCAGGATAACCTTGCCATTCAGCCTCGCCGTCGCAAAAGTGTCGAGCCCTTCAAACACCAGGTCGGTCTTGGAGCCCTGCACTCGCCCATTGCTCGGCGTCACGAAGCGGGTTCGGTAGGACCATGTCCGTTCGGCAACCCATGAAACTTCCAGCCCGTTCACATCTTTAAAGGGATCTGGAATCAAACCGTGGTTCAGAAGCTCGGTGTGGACGTTGCTGGGGACCTGCGAGACGGGGAGCCATCTTTCATCTGTTTCGCACCTGAACTCCCATCCAGAGGAAAGAACTTGGATTGCACCTTGCGTCATGTTGGAATCCTGTTGGTGATTCTATACATGCACGTAGACTTACATGAGAGGAAATAGGGAATGGGGTTTCCGATGTCGGGGAAGTTTGATCAAATCAAGAGTATTTAAGTTGGTCGACTCCTCATTCCTCCAAGTCCACACTGGGCCATCTATGGCCCGAGAATCGGGGTGATGTTACCCGAATCGCCAATCAATTGCTCGGAACTCCACCACCAGGATGCGCTTGTGAGGTAGCAACTAGCGTGATTTGAGGAGAAGAACTTGTTTACATCAACAAAGGAGGAAGAAGTTTATTTGTCATTTGTTACATTCTTATGATGCAATCAACGCCTTGGCGGTTGCTCGCTAGGGACACGAGTTGCATCATTTCTAGGGGCACGGCGTATGCATTGGTTAGCTGTGATTTTCTCTTGTTGGCTCAAGCATTCCTGGAAGCAACAAAGGCTGGAAATGAACACATGAATGCGCCCGAGGCTTTGTTGCTTGCAAGGCTCAGCGTCTCTTTTGAGAGCCAATGTTGGTCACGAGCCACTTGGTCCAAAATTGGCAATGCATCAATGGACAAAGGCTGGCGTGTATTTAAAGACTACCTAGGTTTTCTTCATGCCGAGTGTAAGTAAATCCAGGCTACCTTACTTCTCCCTGCACACGCGGATCTTGATATCGCTCGACACCATGGGAAAGTTTACAGCATATTACTGGCGGCACATATGCCCCGCAGAGTCGCCGGAAGACGGGGACGTCATTTACCAAGGCGATGATGACGTTTACCATTACGACAAGATCGACTTGGTGGAGCGGAATTTCAAAGATGTGTCGAAATTAGAGGGGAGGGGGTGTTCCGTGAATGGCTGCAACTACAAGGTCAGCGAGGAGACAGTCCTTCTCAACGAAGATAAGAAAGAGATCCGGACGCTGGGCGGGAAGAATCTATACCCCGACCGAATTAGAGCCGACAGAATGAAATGCTGCGGGCTGTTTTGCCGTAACAAAAGCACTTCCGGCCATAGTGTTGACAACCCGACCCACAGGGAGTTTGGGAATCACCGCTGCCCCCACGCATTCGAATACAAATACGCTATTCACGACCTTCACATCAAGCAGCGGCTAGAAAAATGCACATGCGTCATGATCAACCGATACGGCGAGGAAATCGCGAGCTGGGAGCCTGACGGTCAAGAAAGAGTGCCGGTCCCCGGTGGCCCATTGGACTTGGACAACGAATATCACGAGAAAAAGGAAAGAAAGAGAGGGATTCAGCGGCAGTAGACAAATGGGAGCATATGCTTTCTTGTCACGGAGATTAGGACCCGTACGGTCTTAGCTTGCAGGACGCGGGACGACTCGTCCAATCATTCACGGAAACATAGGACCAATCATAACGCCAGAAGGGAGTGCTCCCGGCGCTCCCTTCAGGGTCCGGGAGCACGGGGAGCATCTACACTTCCAACGCTCCCAATGCTCATCGGGAGCACAGGGAGCACTGGGACCAACAACTCAGATAGCAGTATATAGCCACTCGTCCTGGGGAGCTCTGGGAGTTCTCCAGTTAGCAATCACAACTACAGTTCGCTACCAGCTCGAGGGCCTACGGTTGAGACAAGTCTTTGTTGTGCGCCCTTTGGCTGCACCGAACCTAAGCACCCTTGCAAGATTACCTTCGACCGAAGCTGAACCCTAACAGGACAGGGTCCTGAAGTAGGTTCGTCACATTTCTCTCTTACCCCTCAAATGTACAACGTACTCGACTGATAATGCCCACGCTGTTTTTCAACGCCGTCGGAAAGGGTGGGTTTCGCTCATGCTGCCCACATATGATGCGTAGAAGACTGGTAAATATGTTGAAAGCTATTGGGGAGGGTATTATACAAATCTCAAGCGCTCGTTGCTAAGATGGGCAGTCCCTCACCAGCGGCAACGTAGATGCTCGACCCGAGTCTATCGGTTTCGATGACACCGCCCACTTCCCAAGTCTGGTGACCCAGCCCATCCAACCGAAAGCAATCCATCCAGGTATCACCACCACCAAAACCCAACCTACACACCTTAGCCGTGTCCTCACCGTGACCCCAACTCGACTGGATCCGTGTTCATGTGTTCCCCTCCCCAAGCAACCGAGCGATCAAGACATACATGAATATAGCCCCGCCGATCAGCAAGAGTTTGTTCTGGAACAACCAGCCCCGCCCAGCGTCCCTCTGTTGAATCACCGCATCCACGACGACGTGGGCCTGGTGGCCACTAGACGCGGGAATGCCAAGCTGGGGTACGCATGAAGGTCCGCCATTCTCGGCCGCCTTGTTCCCTGTTGCCGTGTCGATATCGTTCTCTTGCATCCACTTCCAGTTCTCCTGGTCTATTTCGGGCCATTCTGACTTGAACTTGGCCCCGCCATCACCAGCCTTGATGTTCCCCTTGCCCGCGCCTTTCTCGGCCTTGAGGTGCGACCCGCCGCCCGTCGAGTTCCACCACCGTGAACGCGCCGCAAGAAACTTTCGTTCTGCTTGGCTGGCCGACACCGAGCCCGTCGTCATTTCCTCGGATGTCATGAATGAAAGCAGGCCGATGAGGATTGTTGACACCTCCCAGGCTGGGTTGAACGATCGAGGGTGAAAGTCGGATATCGAGAGGCACAGGCGGGTGGACGGCTGGAATCTACCGGAAGGGGTGTGCATTCGGATCGCCGGCGGCGCGAAGGGGTAGTTCGGAGGGAAGATGAGCGTGCCCCAGTACTGACCCTTGTGGTAAGGTGTGTTCTCGGGGCCCGTGATGATATAGTGCCATCTTCGAATACCCAGGTCAGTACGCAAACTGATACGGCTAGTTTTATATTGGCTTTGTTTCTTCCTTACTCTAATATGTTTGTTTCCGAGGGGTGTGCCGTGATGTACGGTGGGGGGTTTTCGGAGATGCTCTTATACTCGCGCGTCAACTGTGAAGGCCGAAAACAATCATTAGCCAAATGCTCTCCCGGAAGACCTATCAGCGGGGTGCGAATACGCACGCGCTTCTGCGCTGCCCTACTAGCCATGTCTAGGGACCGCCGGATCGATAGCTGAGAAAGAAGCTGCAAACGGCGAGGGCGTGGGAGTGAACGACGAAGGTGACGGGTCAAAGGAACGAAGGAGCAACGCGGAAATCGCTCTAGGTTAACGATGTCAATCGTCGGTTGTTGAAACGAAAGTCTATGACGTGCGGGGAATTTATGAAGAGGAATGTAGGAGGAGGATAGAGTTGCAAGTTCGGCCCGGATGACGATGGCGGGCCCCCCGACACCCTGTTGGCCGTCAGCTGAAAGAAACGACGCTCTGACCAGCGGGCTCGCCAGGTTCAACATCCGCCCCATTCCACTCTGTGGAAGAATTGTAGAGCCGACTGCCAGAGTCTGAGGAACAACTTCGGCTGTGATGCAAGCACCACCAAGAAGTCCTCCCACCCGAAATCGTGACCATTGTTGACGCCGAGAGAAGCAGCAATGTCCGCCTCTCTTGGCTTGGGCGGTAGCCATGTGAGTTATATTTTGCTAAACGCGGATTTCCCAGTTACCGGTCCACAACCAAGTGGGAATCTAACCCCCCCGCCCGTCACAATCCAATCTCGAAACAGAAATATGCTTCAAACCATAAACAGCTCCAATTCTAGCTCAGCAAGTTGACATCTCTCGCAGGCCGCCGACAAGGCCAGCGCTGCCGTTAACACAAGTACGGAGCAACCTTCCAATGCCGCTTTAGCGCAGATGGTAATCCCAAACCCGAATCAGTCCATCAACTCCCTCAACCACCGTTGCTGACCCGAGTGCCGTTCCACAGCTCAACGAGCACGCCCTGGCGCCGGCCTCCATAAGCGCCCTCGAGGTCCATGGCGCCACCAACACCAGAAAGAGCTTGCTCGACCATGTCTTCCAGCCTGTTATCGAGGACACTGCCCCCCCTGGAACTACAATGGGCCAGGTCCTCGACCGCATTACTGCAGCCACCAAAAAGCTCTCTCGATTCGGTGCGCGATATCCTTGCTCACTTTGTCCGTTGCGTCACCAGAGGATATTTTTGCTGACACAACAGCGATCTGAAAGATATCTTCAAGGAGGAAGGGTTCGGCGTGTTTCTGTCCGAAGCCCCGCGCCCCGAGTCAGCGCCGCCGAGCGACAGAACCGAGCTCGACGTGTCGATCCGTGTGAAAGAGAAGTCACGCCTAGTGTTCAGCGCCGGCACCGACTTTGGTAATGCCGAAGGCTCTGCGTACACCAATGCCGTAGCACGCAACATCTTTGGCGGCGCCGAAACCCTTTCGGTCAACGCGAGTGCCGGAACCCGGACGAGATCTGCCTACAACGCTACCCTCTCGGCCCCGGTCAACGGCAATCCCGATCTACGGCTCTCCGTGGAAGCGCTTCGCTCGATGACACAGAAGCCGTGGGCATCGCACGAAGAACAACTCACGGGAGGGAACATCCGGCTTGCGTGGCTGTCGGAAAACAACGACACTCATGCTCTTGCATACTCAGCTGCCTGGAGGCAACTCACCGGTTTGGCCGCTACAGCCTCGCCCACCGTCCGTGCTGATGCCGGTGACACCCTCAAGAGCTCACTAACACACACCTTCACGCGTGATCGCCGCGACAACCCGATGTTGCCACAAAACGGCTATCTACTCCGCTCCATCTCTGAGCTGGCCGGTTGGGGCCCCCTGAACGGCGATGTCTCTTTCGCCAAGACCGAAGTCGAAGCGTCTGGTGCGCTACCGCTGACGATCCCTGGCCGCCAGGGCAAGTCGGGCGTTTCCATCGGCGGCGGCCTTCGTCTCGGCCTCCTGTACCCCCTCCCGTTGGCCTATTCGCTCACCGGCGCCACCCAGCCGAGTCGCATCAACGACCGCTTCCAGCTCGGTGGCCCCACCGATGTCCGCGGTTTCAAGGTCGGCGGTATTGGTCCTCACGACGGCGCTGACGCGGTTGGCGGGGACGTCTTCGCCGCAGGGAGCGTCAACGCGCTCTTCCCGCTGCCCCGCACGGGGCCGGACTCGCCGCTCAGGCTGCAGCTTTTTGCAAATGCCGGACGGTTGGTGGCGCTCAATACCAAGGGCACGGAAAAGAAGGGGAGGGAGGGGCTGGCTATGGACTCGGCGACCGTCTTCAGGGGCGTCAGGTCTGCTGTCGGCGAACTCACAAACGGGCTGCCGAGCCTAGCGGCTGGTGTCGGGTTGGTGTATGCCCACCCCGTGGCACGCTTTGAGCTGAACTTTAGCCTGCCGCTCGTCCTGCGGAGGGGAGAGGAAGGGCGGAAGGGGTTACAGGTTGGTGTGGGCATCAACTTCTTGTAATCCTAATAAATCTACGTGACGGGGCATGGGACCCGACCGATTTGTATAGAACTGTAACACTACATTCCGCCCTTTGATTGCCCGGCATCGTCCGCCGATGTGCGATATCAGATATCTGATCCCGGCCCCAGTCTTGTTCGAGCACCAAGTTTCAAGGACAGGGGGAACACCAATGCTCAGACATTTGTCGTCTGTGGCCGCTTACGCCATGGTGTTGCCAGACTCATCCCCCACCTTGTGAGTATGGCATGTAAAATGGCTCCAGTAATCACAGGCTATTCCATGTCAACAACCCAGCCCCGAACATGAAGTCAGCAGTCAACCCAATATTTTGAAGGGGAAGTCCCATCTCAGTAAAATGTATTTTTAATCTACTAGGAATAAAAAAGCAGATGACACGCGCCGTCCCACGCCAATGCTGGAAATCTATTCTAGAATTAGACAGAAATAAACATGCCATGTATGTACAGAGCAGAGCCATTATAACGGAGATGTAGTTGTCTAAAAACAAAACAAGTACGAAAAGAAAAAAGTCATGAGACATGCCGAACAAATGGCAGCGATGGATGGTCTTCTCAATCATCGTCTCATGAATGACAACCAAGTATCAATAGGGACCAGCCGGATATAACCCCGCCGCAGGCTTCCCGTTGCAGTAAATCAGGCGTTTACTCCTTCTTCTTCTTGCCGCCCAGCTTCTTCTTCGGTACTCTGACGAGCCAGTAGAGAGCCAGGGCAGCAAAGACGTTGAATATGATATACGCCCAGAGGATGCTGAAATACCGTGTTAGCTTCAAGTGAACGAAGAAAAGAAGACTTGGTGATATCACATACCCAAAGTTGCGCCACCTTTCGTCGTAGTTTGACTTCACGGACACGAGGTAGTCGTTCGTGTACCTGACGGTGCAGTACGAGCACATGGTCTCGTTGGCGGAATCCTGGAGGTAGCCGCCAAATTGGCCGATCCAATCTTTCATATACTCCCCACAGTTCAATCCCTTGGTGGGCTCGAAATTGACGAATTCGTTGGGGGCGCAGTGGATTTCGGTGTTGGCCACGGCTGTTGACAGCATAGCGCTGACCAGGTACGTGAAGGGGCTGATCCGGTACATAAAGATCCAGAAACGCGGCATTGTGTCAGGGTTGGCGAGAACACCGCAGAAAATCAGACACAGCATGAAGAGCAAGTTGGCAATGTTGCCACCCGCTTCGGCCGTCTCGAAACCGGCGATAATGAAATCGGTGAAGGTAGATGTGAAGAGCAGGAAGGCGACGAGAAGCAGGAACATGAGGCCGCCGCGCTCGGCAGTCTGGCCGGCATCCGCAGCGTTGGCGTAAAGACCGACAGGGTAATACCAGCAGAAGAACATCAGCCCGCCCATAAGGGTGTTCCAAGGAAGCTCGACGATTATCTGAGAAAGCATGAACACCTTCCAGCCGTACACCTTGGATGGCCGCTCGCGGACCTCGTACAGCGAGCGTTGAATGACGAAGTGCGGCATGGTTTGTTGGACGAGCTGCCCAAATACAGTAAGAATTTGGAAGATGGCGAACATTTCTGCAGTCAAGTCAGCCCATGTATCCCGTATTCAGCGTATCCAAAGCCAACTGGTTACGCAACCCGGAGAGAAGCGGTCGGAGGGAGGAGGGGGAATGAGAAATATGACTTACGGTTCTGCATACCCTGTTGGGTGTTGGGGGCCTTGAAGAAGACAAAGCCGATGAAGAGCGCAACCAAAACACACAACGCAGCTTTCGAGTAGATATAAGATGGGGTGCGCCAGTACTGTTGGAAAACACGATGGGTGACCTGAACAAGCTGTTGGGTAAAAGAGGCGGCGAATTCGCGGTAGCTACCGGGGTCATTGCTAACCGGGGTGGACTCCTTGACGTCGGCCTTGAGGCGTTGCAACTCGGTTTGGACACCGGCATACTCAGGGCTGTCGCGCCACGTCTGGTGCCAGTCGACGTTGCTGGTGCTTCCCGGGGCAGCGCCGATAACCTCAAGCATCCACTCGGCCGGGTTGGCCTCCTGTGGGCAAGAAACACCGCTGTTGCGCTCGAAGTAGGAGGTCATAGTCTTAGAGTTCTCTCCAATATCGCCGAAATAGACCGTTTTGCCACCCTTGGCCAGGAAGAGAAGTCTATCGAAGCGCTGGAAAAGCATGGCTGAGGGCTGGTGGATAGTGCAAAGAATAGCTTGGCCGCTCTTGGTCAACTTCTCAAGCAGGTCCAGAATAGCCCACGACGTTTGGCTGTCGAGACCAGAAGTCGGCTCATCAACGAACAGAAGCAGAGGCGGCTTTGCGGCCAACTCGACACCGATGGTGAGACGCTTCCTTTGCTCCACGTTCAGACCTTCACCAGGGACACCAATGACGGCATCGGCGTAATCCTCCATCTCCAAGAGCTTGATAACCTCGTCGACGTACGCAAGCTTCTCGGCACGCGGGACGTGAGCAGGTTGGCGGAGAAGAGCGCTGAAGTTCAAGGCCTCGCGAACCGTTGTTGTCTGGAGATGGAGATCCTGCTGTTGGACATAACCCGTCTTGCGCTGGAATGAGGTGTCTCTAGGGTTGCCGTCAACAAGCATCTCGCCAGTGATGACGCCCATGGAGGTTCTATCGGCCAAGCAGTCGAGAAGGGTCGTTTTTCCGGCACCCGAGACGCCCATCAAAGCCGTCAGAGTTCCAGGCTTGACCCAGCCGTCGACATTGTTGAGAATTTGTCGTGTCTCGCCCTTGACCTTGACTTCGTAGCAAACATTGTTCCAGTGGAAAACGCTGGTTTGCCTCTGCAACATGCCGGCCGACTTGTCGGACGAGTGGCCGTCAGAAACGTTGCCATCGGAAGCCTTCACGACAGGGCCCGCCACAGGTGTACCACCGGACTCGGCATCGCCCTTGTTCTCCTTGAAGGATGCCGGCTTGTGGCCGCGGCGGAAGACCAACACTTCGCCCTTGCTCTTTTGAGCGGCGACATTCTCGGCGGAAAACATGTAGCAAGCGAGAAAGCCGGCCATAAAAACGAAGATGATGCCCAGGTTACGCCACTTATGGATGTGGTAATACTGGAATCCTGAGTTGATGTAGTCGTCGCCATTGACGAAGCCGACGCCAGGAACATTTCCGATGGAAGAGCACGCACGGTTCATGGGGCCACCTCCGTATTCAGGGGCCGGGATGTACTGAGTGCACTCGAAGGTGCGCCCATGAAACTCGTTGACCATGAGGGACTCGAACGCATATGCCAGAGGGTCAATGTAGTTGATCCAGCGGCACCAGCCGAGCATGTAGTCGATCGGAATGACGAAGCCGGTGAAGATGACCAGTGCAAGAATGATGAGAGCGGCAGGCACCATGGCCTGGGAAAGGGTTCTCGACGAGCTCGCAATGGTCCGGAAGATCATGGACATAGTCAGGACGGTGCAGAACGAGATGAGCAGGAAGAAGAAGAATGCTCCAGGCTCACGACGCAAGCCGGTCATGAAATACAGTGTGAGATTGAACACGATCGTGTTCGCAACCTTGTATGGCATGTCGCAAAGCATCGAGGCGATGGCTTCGGCGGACGGGTGGTAAAGCGCATAGCGGTCATGCTTCTCGACGATAGGGCGTTGGGCGTACAAGGTAAGGATCTCAAGGGCGCTAGCGAAAGCGTTCATAAGACAGGCGAAGAACAGGAGTGCACCGCGTTGGTAGAAACTGGCGGTATTCGGCTGCAGGTCGTAGAAAACGCTGGCGATGATCAGAGCCATGATGAAGTTGCCTATCAAGGCTCCTACAGTCAAGCTCGGGTCGCCCATCAAGCGCCTCCATCCGCGCCACAAGCAAAGCTCGATTTGCTGCATGTAGGAGAGGGTGAAGGGCGACTTCAACCGCTGGCTCCTGGCCTGCTGTGCCTTCTTCGAGGCACGGAAGGCTTCAGCATCGGGGCCATTGATCGGATGACTCTGCTTGTACTCCTCAATCTCGGCCCGTAGGTTTTTGTATTCCAAGCTGTTCTTCCAAGCGGCCGCGAACTCGTCGGGCGTGCGAGGGGCCTTCCCCTCGAAACCGGGACGCACAATGCGCTCCTGCGGGCTCGTCATCGACGTGAGGAAGTCTGGCGTGGTCTGCCGGGAGGGGCAGTCGAAACCGAGGTTGATGAAGTACTGTTTAGCGTCACTAGCTTTGCCGAAAAAGATCTGACGGCCCTCGTATAGCACTATCGCCTTGTCGAATAGATCGTACGCACTCTGGGGCGCCTGGTAGATAGACACACACGCAGTGCTCCCGAACAACTCAGTCTGCAACCTCAGCGTCTTGCAAAATTCGATGGCGTTTGCGCTGTCCAAGCCACGGGTACTGTTGTCCCAGCATTGCAGCGGCGCATTGGACAAGGCGGCCTCTGAGATGGTGACCCGCTTCCTCTCACCACCCGAGACACCACGGATGTACTCATTGCCGACGCGTGTGTCGATGGTGTGGCTGATGCCGAACATGGCCATGACCACGTCTCTCATGTGGTTGGCGAACATGGTCTTGGAAATGCCGGAGGGCAACTGACGCGGGGCGCGGGCACGAGCAGCGAAAGTGAGCGTGTCGCCAACACTCAACTGCGGGAAGTGAGTGTCGACCTCGGCAGTATAGATGGCCTCGCCTCGGTGGTGGGTGTGCATCTCCTTGGCGGTCATGCCTGGTGCAAAAGTTAGCAAAACAGACCCCAAGACAAATACAACACCAGCAAGGTGGAAGTCATACCTTGGTAGTTGAAATAGGAGTTGTCATCCATGAAAATGCCGTTGTAGTCGCCCGCGATGGTCTTCAAAAACGTCGTGCAACCGGATCCGGGAGGGCCCAAAACGACCAACATCTCACCGTTGCGAACCAAACCATCAAAGTCGCGCAAGATATCGATCCGGCGCTTTCCGTGCCCCGTAAGCTTGCGGACAAGACCGACTGTCTCGAGCCACACATTGATGACATCCTTCTGGTAATCGGTGGGTGACCCGAAGCCGTGAACGTTGAGGTCCTGGAAGGCAACACCCGTTGTGCGGAACTTGTTCCCCTCGCCGGCAATCACGTTGACCATGGCCTTGGCCCAAGCACGAGCGCTGAAGTTGGGTCCATGGGGGTTCAAGGGCGACTCCTCATCGGTAGAGGCGATGGAAAAGGGGTTGACGCCTTCGACAGCTGCGTGCGACTGGGCGGTGTACTTCCTCGCCAAATCCTGCACGATACTGTGACGGCGGCCCTCCTCGATCGCATCGTCATCTTCGGCACCGGTAGCGTCCTTCTCAGTTAAGCCATCGGCATCGGCAACTTCCGTCATCGAGGTGGCACGGGTACCGCTGCCCTTCTCATTGCGCCCTGGCGAAGACCCGGCAGGTGTCGGCACCTCCTCTTCCTGCTCGTGTGTCGTCTTCCGGGCAAGCGGCGACCCGGTCATCTGGGCGGTCAAATCGTAGTTCCCAAAGGAACCAGCGCCCGTGAACGACATGGGTTGTCTCTCGCGCCGTTGCGCCACCACAATTGGACGCCGCGCTCACTTACACAAGGTTTTGTGGCTTCCGACTCGGTGGAGATCGCAATCTAGGAAACAAATAAAATGGCGGAGAACGAACGGCAGGAACAAAAAAAGGTAAAAGATACAGGCGTGACACGCGACAACGGTAACGAACGAACTCCAAAATAGCTAGGTAGCCCCGAGAGCAACCGGGGCCTCGCGGGTTATAAAAGTGACTGCTGGAGAGACGGGGTCTTCGCAAGACCCGAGTGGAGTTGGACCCTCCTTGCGGGATTGCGCACTGCCTCGGGCGCCGCCTGGCATGCGTTGTGGGACCCGTTGACGGCAAGCGCAGAGGAAAAGTTCCCGACAAAAGGCTCGGCATCGAAATGTGGGGTTCAAAGTGCAACCACATGGGAAAGGTCTCAATTCAGCCTTGGTGAAAAAGAAATGCACCTCAATGGCGCATCTCGGTCGCACAAAACCGAACCTCCGCTCGTCTCGGGACTAATTCCATGTCTCATTGTTGGGTTAAATCCGTAGAATCATGCCACTCAGCTACGTTTCTCATATCTAGCGCAGGTTTAGCAACCCTAGTTTCGGCCGTTGAGATCGAAAAATCATTCTGAAAAGGGAGGCTTGGCAGGGCTAGTGACAAAATTGACCCATGGGTCTGCCCCAAGTTCGGTTGCCCCTTCCCTTTCCCGTAATCGGGACAGAATGCAAAAAGCGAAACCGACCCTCCATTCCAGGCCCCATGATGATTCATCATGATGCAACCTCCAGGAATGCTCAAAACCCAACCCGTGGCCGCCACTCGTCAAATTTTGAACCAATCTTTGAAAAGGGCTCCTCGTCGTTAGGTACCTCCTATCTCACGGGCAGGCTGGCAGTTGGCATTCGCTACACCACAGTAGGGAGGTATTATTTCGTGCCCGATGGCGTGCCCCATCTGCTCAAAACCCCCAATCTCGTCAGCTCTTGGCAGGGCCCGATCATCCAATGAGCTCGTCCGAAACCGATGCAAAATGCCAAGGTGCTGACCGGCGAAAGTGTCATCCGAAGACAAACCCATCACCCCGAATTTCTGCGGGTCTTCCGTCGGGGTCTGGGACTGTCCGACAGCCCGCAAACCTTCCGCGCCGTGCCGCCTCCGTGCTCTTCGGGTGGATGGCCATTCATTGACACAACGGGAAAGTGTCCACGGCCGCAAAACCGCCCCAATTGCCGGGGACGGGCATGTCTCTCATGTCTCGGTTCTCGATCGAGCCAATGGCGAATAAGGACTGGAACTCCCGACTCTGCTGCAGCCAGCCATTCATACTTGATAAGTTCTCAACCCAAGCTTGCCAAGGCCCGGGGAGGCGAATCTCTTCGATCGACCGTCTCCTTTTCCATGACGCTATAGTTAATCAACCAAAACAAGGAACCACCTACAAGTTCATCATGATCCTCCCGTCCAATGTTCGTAGAGAATTCTCCAGCTTTGACAATAATCACCTACACGGTATTTCTTCGGTAATCCAACCCTGAAAGCACTAATCTATGACGAAGTCGATGGCTTTCATGCGATGGATGGGGGACTCATTTCCAGGAACGGCCTCAAGGCCCAATGTACTTTCTAGAAAGCAATGGAATCCAGGGTCCGGAGCAATTACACGGAAAATACACATTGCAGTTGAATTGCAGCTGCAACGCCCCACATAAATCAATGCAACTGAAGGCTTCCAAAACCCCTGCAATTCAACCTGGCCCTCTGCAACGTGGATCCATTATTGCAGACATTGCAGAATAGTGGGTCCTTCTTAGCAGGTGATAGTGATTAATAGTAATTTGTATGGTGAACACTAACATGAAGCGGTCAGGGCATCGGCAGAACTCCCACCGCCCTAATCCCAGTCAATTCGCAGCTCAAGCTCTGACGAGCTCGGCATTCTGGCCTACCTGCCACCATAATGGCTACAGAAGCATCTGCTGCCGTCGCCGCGGTTCCTACACGTACTGAAGAAGACCTGGCCTTTCTCTTTCAAGCGATTTCCCGGCTACCTATTCACTGAACGCAAGGGGCCAGCGTGGTCGTGGGTATGGAAATTCGGGTATGATATTTCACGCGGACGGCAAAGACCGTGTATGGGTATGCCTTCGATGTATCCAACAACGCAACCGGAAGCCAGCCGCCTATAACCCACGAAATCTTGTGAACGTCGAGATTCATCTCTTTAACTCTCACCAGCTTAGCGATCCTACCGGTAAGCGACCGCCGCCTTCTGCCGTCAAGCCCCAACGCGAGAGCAGCAATTCGAGATCCATCGCCACCTTCTTCAATCTCAATGCGAACAACGCCGAAGATCAGAGGATGGCCAACCACTTGATCAGCGCGTTCGATAGAGCTGAGTTTCAACGAAGGATTGTAAGATGGCTCATCAGCGCCAATCTTCCTTTCCGCACAGCTGAACACCCTTATCTTCGCGATGTCTTCTCCTACCTCAACCCCTCTGTCGACATTCAAAAAGCCAACCTCTCCGAGAAGACTGTTCACGCCCTCGCTGTACGAGAGGTTGAGCGGCATAAGGATGCGGTGGTTAAGACGCTCCAGGAGAGCCCCGGGCTGGTTCATCTAGTCTTCGATGGATGGACTTCACGCAACCGCCTCTCTCTCTACGGCGTGAGCGCAGTCTTCCGAGACCCGAAGAAGGGCACGCCTCACAAGATTGTGCTCGGTCTGCCAGAGATGAGTGACCGGCATACGGGTGAGAACATCGCGGAGGCCATCCTCGATGTTATTAGAAACTATGGTATTGAAAAGAAGATTGGCTACTTCACTGTCGACAACGCTACAAATAACGACGCCGCGTTGAAAATAATCGGTGAGAAGCTCGGCTTCCAGTGGAAAGAGAGGAGAGTTCGATGCTTCGGCCACATCATCAACCTAGTAGTTAGAGCACTACTCTTTGGTGTAGAATGTGATGCCTTTGAGCGAGAAGTCTCTACTAGCCTACTCACTACTCAACATGAGCATGAGCAATGGAGGAGGAAAGGCCCCATTGGTAAGCTTCATAACTTCTGTCAGGTATGTGCATCTCGCCTTGTCAACCTACCTATCACTGACCGTGAGAAGGAGGTCAACAGGTCAGACCTCTGGACCAAGAAGCTCATCTCGGCGCAAGAGCAACGGATCCGAGAAGCCTCCGGAAGGTGAGAAGATCAAGAAACACACGCCCGGTCGGAGTGGTGACAGACAACGCTACGCGGTGGCTCTCTCAGTACTTCATGATGGAACGCGCTCTTCAACTCCAGCCTTTCTACGAGACCTTCCTCTTTGAGGCGAAGCTTCACGTTGACTCGCAGTTCCGGACGACAGCAGGCACTCTAAAGAAAGGCGCGAAGGAGCCGCTCTTCTTAAATGAGGAGAACAAGTTGACCGCGAACGACTGGGAGGTCATCTCTGTGTTGAAAGAGATCCTTCTCGACTTTGAGCTCGTTGTGAAAGCTCTTCAGGGCGACGGTCAACCTCGTGAGAAGAAGCGCAGCTCCTGCGATGAGCCGATCAGTCTAGTACAGGGAGCAAGCTGGGATCTTCTCGATGGGTACGAGTTCCTCCTTGAGTCTCTCGAGAGAGCGAAGGCGAGAGTTGAAGACCTCGTTGACGGCGAACACGTCGCTATTAACGTCAACAACGCATGGATGAAGCTCGACAAATACTACGAGGAAGATCGGCCAGTCTCCTCTCATCTACGCTGCCAACCGCATTGCACCCTCGGCACCGATGGGGTAGGTTCGAGGCGTGGCGTGAGCATCACGCTGACTGGATCGAGCCAGCGAAGTTACAAGTCCGAGAACTCTGGAGGCAACAATACCGAGACCTACCAGTCGAGCAGAAAGAGGCTTCAGAACCCACCCACGAAAATCCCCCGCCTCTCGAGCAACAGGTTCGCAATCTTCAGAACCCAGGAGCGAACTCCAACAAACTCAGCACCCACCTCTCCTTCACCCTTTCCATCGCCAGCGCTGGTCGAACTTGACGAGTTTGAGCGTTGGCAACTAGATAATAGCGACTTTGATCGGTACGAGGAGGATCCCGCGTGCCTACTGGCACAAGAGAAGGAACACCTACCCACGGCTTGCGCGCATGGCGTTGGATCTACACACGGTGCTTCCTATGAGCGCCGAAGTTGAGCGCTTGTTCAGCGTTACTGGCCATATGGTTACTCCTTTACGCAACCGGCTACAGGCGAACACAATATCTCTCTGTCAGATCCTCCGCAGCTGGTACGATGCCGGCGTGATTGATGATCTCGATCCAATACTGTCATGGAAGACACACGGACACATGGAAGATGATTGATGATAGCTAGGGTTAGGGATTTGTATGGAAATTTGGACCCACTTCTCCCATTTTGTGGTTAGGTTATTGCCCCACAACGGGGCCCACAGTTCGGCCCCACCAATTTCAACATGTTGCATCCATTTCAACGAGTGCCTTCCGTGGATCAATTCAATGTGGCTTCGCTTACGTAAGGTGCAATTACACTGCAACGGGCTGGTGACATTGATGGGAGTGTAATTGATCCGGACCCTGATGGAATCTCTCTCGGCGCGGGACCCAAAGACCCCGTTGGTTGGCATGTTGGTTTGCCACGGAGTTAGGCTCGGGATTATCCGGTGTTCAACTGCTCGGACCGTAGCAACGGTCCGCTCATCGGGGAAATGATAGCTCATTCGTTGTATGTAAGGCCGAGTTCTCTCCTCTCGGGCTTGGAGCAAAAAAAACGGCACTGCCCAGGGAAATAAAAGCCGGGTCAAGTTAGGCTCATGTGGTTACTATAAAGTTTAGACAAGCATTCAAAGACTTTGAGAGACCAACTTGATCAGTTCACATTCAGGCTTTCAAGCTTGGCCCATTTGCTTTCAGCGTCGTGGCGGGAGCAGGGAACCTGCCAAACTGTTGATTTACTGGAAGAAGTTGGGGTTGGCAAGCTTCTCAACTCACGTTCAAAAATTCCATCCATTAACTACTACCCCAACTGAAGCATGGCGCTGTGTTTGCCGGCAAGGCGGGGAGGAAGCGGCCCCACTTATACCGCACCGAATCGGCCCCAGTCCGGCGGGAACCCGGAAGATGTGCCGGGTCAACTCGCAACCCTGGAGCACATCCCCCAGCCTATTTGATATATTCAGGACCGCACCTGTCGCCCCAATCCGTGGTTAACAAATGCATAAGAATGGGTATTACCACGTTCATGGCCAAATCAGCTACGAGCTCGGAAAGAAGTTTTCGGCCTCAACCATTAACTACATAGGTAGGTATTTGTTTTACTTCCATGTATGAACAGGCTGGCCGAGTTATTTATTGACCCTGCCCCGAGAGTATTGCCAAACAAACGAATCGTAGCATCTGGAGGCTATAGACGTTGGCCGTTATGAAACTAACGGTGACTCACTAGTCATGCCAAGGAAGAACAGTTGTCTTCAACTGTACCTACGTTGTATACACATCAAACCAAATCCCGCGGCACCACATCTAAAGAGGACCACTGCCTACTCGACAGTTGGCCCAATGGTAACCGGGGGTGGCCTCCCGCCGGGCAGCGAGCCAACCCAGCCCTGGCGGGAAATTATGGGTTCGAGCTCCGCCGGGCAACCCCTCGGCGGAGTGGTTCCGTAGAGGTTAGCCATCTCCGACGAGATGTGAACGGTGAGCTTCCGGCGTTGTTAACTAGTCGTGTACATCTTCCTGCTTATTTGTTCACACTCGTGGAAGAAGAAGTTGCAGATAAAAGAAAGATAGAAACCCGAACCTACGAAGGGAACTTATAAATTTCTTTTTTCAAATGAGCGACAACATATATTCAAAAGCAGAAATACAAACTAGGGCCCTTCGCTTTGGTTCCTGGTTTTTAGACTAACACTTTCCAACCCCTATTAAGCTCAACATCACATACAACCAAACGCCGTTTAGAATCTGTACATATCCTCTCCCAAGTCTACTCTCTGAGGACAACACCTATCGAGCTCTCCTACGACTTGAAATGTCCCTCGCCAAGTTCCTTACCCAGCCCTCCAACTTCAATCTAAGCCAACCAAGCATCATTTAACTCCTTGTAACTACCGGTCCCTTCAATAGGAACTTTGTTGGTATCGGATGATAGCACAACAGCGAGCAGCCTAACCCACTCATTGGTGTGGTTGGAGAGTCTAATACCACATACGTCAGCAACCGCAGCCTTCGCAACTTGGACGGGAAACGCACGCGTGCATCATTCCTCGCTGTGCCACAACATCACCGGCGTGGCACAAAGTCTCGACGGCCTCACCGTAGGTAGCCTTCCCCATCCTTAACCTGGTAGAGCTCGGGTGCGGGTGTCATGAGGCTCAGCGTGCCGGAGATGATCACCAGGTAGTCGGTCGACGTCGTCCTGTGCATCGTGCCCTCGGTGTTAGGCGCCCAGGTCAATGTAGTACATGTTCAGCCCGCCCGGAAGCACGATACCCATGCCTGGGACCGTGTCCAGGGGCAGTTCGCCGCTATGGGAATTGATTCGTTAGGTCATGGCTCGCGTCAACATATTTCAAGGAGGAGCGTGTTGCCACTCACTGCCCGTCATTGCTCGTGGGTATTTGCTTGCTGGGTTGCTACCACAGAACGCATCAAGGTGCCGTCGAGGAGGGAATCGGTCGTCAGACTGTCAACCTTGACTTCAACGCCAGGCTCGGCGTGCTCATCCCCAAAGGCGGTTTGAAGGCAGGGGATAGGTTGGACGCCTGTGATGCGTCGGGGGGGTGCGAGGTTGTAGGGAGGCATTTGGGTGGTGGGTGTAATGGAGGAGGTTAAGTTGCCAGGGGCTGGGAAGATGATGGTGAGTGTAAGCCGTCCATGGTGAGGAGTGATGAGGAAGCGGTTTAAATACAGAAAATAGTGAAATGATAATATTAACAATATGGCCCACGCGATGCTTACCATTCAAGCCAAATGTTTCGGAAAAATATATCTGAGATACAAATTGAGATGACAAATGCGACCGTGATGTCCTGTATTATTCAGCGGCTATGGGTGGAACTGCGTAGTTATAGCAACTGGAGTCGTTTACGCTTTAAGTCTGTGCCACATACTTTACCCAAGTAGGCCGTAGCTCGTCGGATTACGAGGCTCATGTACGGATTTCAGTTTCAAAACTGCCAATAAAACCCATCTATGATTTGCTGTTTGTAATTGTAATCATTTGGGGGCCAATTCGCTCGCTCGCTCCCCGTGATTCCTAAAAGAATTCAGAAAGTAGCCTGGGATATCCGTAGGAGAAATCACTAGATTGTGTATGGATGGGTGCGAAGGGGCCTAGTAGAGAAAGCTGAAGTGTTCGATGTCTACAAGGAAGCGTCAAGAAAAACTGAATTGATATTCCGCTTGGGACATGGGAGTTCTAGTGCACCCCCGACCCGTACTTGTTCAGTCAGGGCCTTTAATCGACCTAGGCACACTGCCTTACGCTTCTCTTTCTGCCTACAACACAAAAAAACTCGGCGTTTACGATGACAGCATCGTTGCTACTGGCTATGTTGTATTGAAAAGCAGTGTCTTCACACAAGCGGTCCAATGCAGCCACGATGTTCTGCCAGGACAAGCTCGATATTTCGCGGGAAGTCACGGTCCAAAATCTCCTCAGAAAGTATAATGACTATCTCGTCATAAACTTCAACTTGATAGCTGGCATCGTTTCTTTGGCTCGGGCTAGGTAGCCCAAACGCACCAGAGTACATGTGGTAATAGGCAAAGTTCGGCCTAAGAAGCATCAAACTCGGCCTTGGTATTGGTAGCACTGATAAGCTACGGAGCTTCCGGGACGCTTCATAGCAACAATTGTATGTTCTCCGCGGAAGCAAGGTCCAGTTTGCGAAATCCGAATGCCGAGCTTGTCCGTAATCATGGTCAAGTTGATGTCAATCTTGAGGATTGGCACTAAACCACGAAAAGCTTGTTAGAGATCAAACCCTGCGGAGAACATGAGAATCCAGTTCCTCTAGAGAAGAACGACACCTCCATACGGTACAGCACTACGTGGATTTGTGGATTCGGTGCTCTTCTTCGCTCCAGTTCGGATGATTGCCACCGTTCCCTACCCATATCGGGTATGTACAAGCCCCTGACCATGTTTATCGTCAACCCCCGGTGGCCTTTGGATTGCCTCGAGTCCCATGGAGCATGTTCAGAACCCGGCCATGTCTCGGAAAGATGGCAGTAACTTTCATGCTCTCTCGGCGACTGGAAGAAAAGTGGAGCGGGCGGGGGGAACAACATCCATGGCTCACATGGGATTGTGAATCTCTCTACCGGGGCGGCACGGGGGCTGCACCAATGCCTGTTTCGAGCCTGCCCCGCATTAACGATCAAACAACGGGAGCTCGGTTGGCGGCAATCGGTCGTGCTTGGCTTGGGGTTGCTGCTTGGCATCTGCCTTCGCCATCTCGAAAGCATCTCTCTCCTTGCTATCCTTTGTGCACATTGTCACTCGCTCTTCGGGTCTACCGCATCTATCCCTCGAAGCCATCCTCATCTGCATCGAACCTGTTGCGCAAAGCAAGCAGACTGGCTACATGGCGTGACGATGTGTCATGCCGCCAAACCCCGCTGAATCAATCCCACCCGACCCAACTGCCAACCTCCCGCTATATCCGGTCGCTGCTGCACCACCCACTGCATCGTTGCAACGCGATTGCTGGGCCTGCCGCGAGCTGGACCTTGTTCACGCCCGTGGACCTTGCATCAAGTAACTCGGTTGACAACACCACACCTACTGTCCACCGAGGTCGCAGATACGCCCTTGTTTCGTGGACATATTGGCAGGGCCGAAAATAAATAGAAGGGTCGACCTCCCTCTCAGCCATCTGTCGCCCTCCCTTCGATCATCTTGTAAACCCTGTGCAGGTCCCTCGGTGATCCCCCCATCCCACCTCGCCCGGCCTGTTTACGTCACCGATTTCCCCCGAGACCCAGACAACCGATCACCACCTTACCTCGACCGTTTGCGTACCAACCTTGAGAATTTAATCCACCCCGCAGAACCCCGCTTCGCCGATTCCCCTCGATCGGCGACGATTACGAAGCCGGTGATACATTGAGAGGTATCGTATCGTGGCTATGGGGAATTCGAACACGAAAGAATCGCGCGCCGGCGACGGCAGCAGTCGCGCCCACCATGGCGATCCTGGTAGTGCTTCCCTGCAATCCGACCGAGTATCGAGCCGGAGGAACCGAGTCAGTCGCGGAGATTTGGGGGGAATCCTAGGACTGGGGACCGGAGCCTCCCAATCAGAACCACCATACGAACGCCGCGAGACCAAACAAGAACGGGAGGCAAGGAGACTAGAGAGGGAACGGGTCGCGAGGATTGCAGAGAGAGAGCGCAGCATGAAGGAAGAGCACGTAGATGGGGGATATCTGGTCACCATGGGAACCTACACGAGCCCGGAGGACTTCAACAAGCCCATTGTCCGGCAACTCCAAGTGAGTGGCCCCTGTCATCCTGTTTGGGCCTCTACCATACTCACATCTTCTCTTCCTTTAGATTGAACGGAAGGTGGCCCCTTTCTGGCGAGGTTTGAACGACTTCGACGACCAGTGGACCGAACCACAAATCATCGCTGCCGCGCGGGGATTGCCCGTTCCACCCGCTGACCAGATCCCTCCTGAGGACCTCATTCCACGGCCGCTCCCAGCGAATCCCCGCACGGAGGGCTCTTCAAACCTAGACAACCTAACAATACCAATTACTGGCCGCTCGCCATCGACTGCCTCAGAACACGCCTCATCTAATCCAGGCTCGGCGCTACCATCCCCTGTTTCAGCCCAAGCCCCAAGAGCGAACTCTCCTTTCAAACCCCGCGGAAAAGCCATCGCTGCTGTCTTGGGCGGCGGAGGATCACGGAACGGTTCCACCACCGAGCTCATGCCCCGGGAAATTAATCTACCACATGACCCCTTCGTCAATGGACAACCTCTCGAAGTGTTCCTGTACAAAAACGCTACCGAATGCCCCATCTGCTTCTTGACCTTTCCACCGTACCTAAACCACACGCGGTGCTGCGACCAGCCGATATGCAGCGAGTGCTTTGTCCAGATCAAGCGGCCAGACCCACACTTTCCGGAGGGTCACAATGAGAACGACCCAAATCACAATCCTGAGGAAACCGCAGGGCTCTTAGTCTCGGAGCCCGCGTGTTGCCCATACTGCACACAGCCCGACTTCGGCGTCACCTACGAGCCGCCCCCTTTTCGACGAGGGTTATCATACAGCATATCACTGACAGCTGTAGGTGCCGCGAGCGCCGCCATGTCCTCGAGCAGTTCCGTGAACTCGGCCTCTCTCTCCCCCACCAACGCGTCCCCTAGCAATGGCACCGGCCGCCGGCGGAACCAATCTGTATCGGCCAGCAGCCCGAGCGTTATCTTAACGGATCGGATTCGGCCTGAGTGGGCGACAAAGTTACAGGCGGCGCGGGCTCATCTAGCCAGGAGGGCCGCTGCTGCAACGGCGCTGCACACTGCTGCATTCATCGTGGGCGGTTCTGAGAATCGGGCATTTCGCAGCCGGTTCGGGCGGAGAAACAATGGTGGGTCAGGGTCCGCACTCCCTTCCCCTGGCGGAGTCAACCACGGCGAAGGGGAAAACGGAGATAGTGGGTCCGGAACCCCCTCGCAAAATGACATGGACCAGAACTCTCGAGGAGATCCCGGGCGTGGTCGGTCTGGTGGTAACCACCGAGATCGCCTTGAGGATCTGGAAGAGATGATGCTCGCAGAAGCCGTCCGCTTGTCGCTCGCCGCTGAGGAGGAGCGCAAACGCAAGGTATCGAAAGAAGAGCGGAAAGAGGCGAAGAAACGCGAGAAAGAGGAACGGAAAGCGGCCAAGGCTGCTGCGAAGCAAGTTGGGCCTTACGAGGGTGCCAGCGGCCGTAGCGGTCACAGCTCAGCCAGTGGTAGTACCCTCAGTCTCCCCGGCTTTGGTTTTGGGAGGAAACGAGGCAATAGTGCTGCCAGCAATCTCCGAATCGAGGCCAGTGTCGCCAGTGCCATAGCAACAACCGAATCTCCTGAAGCGAACCCCAAGGAAAAGGGGAAGGGTGTCGACCGTGCGGTTTCTACCCATGCGGAAGGCGCTCCTGCCACCGCTACCGACCCGGCGGTGCTGGGAGGCTCGGCCAGTACATCAAGCCCACGCCCAGTTCCCCATCTCCCTGCCGGCCCGTCTCACCTCCGGCAAATGAGCAATGCCTCATCGGTCACGTCGTCAATCCTTGATAGCCGGCACGGTAGCTATACGTCTCCCACCCATCTCCAGGATCCTCGCAGCAGTGGACTCAGTCTCGGGAGCCGATCCGGCGCCAGCGAGGACGGCGGTGACGCCGACCGAGACCGAGATCCATGCGCTAGCACAGAACCCATGTTCAACTTCAGGAGCTTAGCACAGGTAGTCGGCGTCAGCCTAGATGGGGAGAATGCAGGCAGGCGTCTCAGCCTGATTGAGGCTGAGAGGAGGGCTAGGGAGTCCGGGGAGACTGGATCGCAAGACAGCGCCGACTTCGGCGAGGTGGAAACCATCAAAACCGATACGGCTACCGACCACGCCGACGTAAAACCACAGGCTGAGGCCTCGGGTAGTCTGTCAGTAGACACTGCGATGGGGCGTCACATCAAGGGAAGTCCAATTGCACAAAATGGGAGTGGTGAAGTTGAGTCGGACTCGTTGTCCCCACCAACAGTCACAATCACGCTTGAAACACCTGCTACGGCCAGCGCCAACGATGAGCTGAAACAGCTCGGCTCCGAAGCGGCCGTGGAACCTGTGCATCGGTTGACCGAGTAGTGGCGCGACCATCTGATTTGATCACCTCGTTCCTATCACGGGGGCGAGAACCATCACTCGTGGCGGAGGTTCAGGAGGAAGGAACCCTCTCGCAATCGCGCAGAGATCCAACCAGACACGGGTTCGGGGGTGGGGATCGCAGATGACAACTTGGGCGTTCCAGCGACGGAAGCTCAAATTTAGCGGCCTACAGTGGTTACTGAGCGTGAGTGAGCGTGCTCCTGGTGCCAGAAAGCGGCGGAAGTCTTGTTTTCCACTACACACTCCATTCCTTCTTCCTTCAACCCCAACCCCCTCCTTGTTTCTTTTTTTCTGTCTTTCTTCTTTCCTAAGTTCAAGTCCAGCATTTTTCCAAGACATTATTGGTACGTACAAAGGAGGGATCAGGCGCCGGTGAGGTGACGATGGGAAATTGAGGCTACGACATGGGAGATGGAACGGAGTCTGGAGCAACTGGCGTCTGAGGTAGTACTACTTGATCATGTTTTAGAAGTCGAATAGCGATCTGGTTACCGCGCAGTTATTTCCTGTGACGAGCCATAACCGGTGCTACCTGGTGCTGGCCGTGGACTGGGTGTCTTGCTTCGCCTTCTCGAATGCAGCAACTATGCCATCATCCGGAGTTATTCCCCGATCAGCTTCCGGCCTCGTGTTTACAAAACCAGCTCCTGGGCTGTCCCAAGTATAATCCAGCCACGATTGTAAGGCAGGCCACAATTCGTTCCGGACCAGGCTCAGCACCTTTTCCTGGCGTGCTGGACCATACACTTCATCGCTGCCACCAAGCGCAAGGCTGGCGAGGACGCCACGCCATTCTGCGACCGTCTCTTCCAGTTCCCCAATCGTCGTCACACCACAGACAGTAACGCCAACCTTCTGGGGACCGACACCCGGAGCTGCAATGTCAACTCCCAAGCCAGCCGCCGCCGCAATCCGCGCCCACTCGGCTATCGCCCAACGTATTGCCACCGATTCCAGGCGCTCGCCTGCCGCAGCCGACAGTTCTGCAAGCTTCTTACAAGCTATGCGCAGCTCCGGTGGCGAGGGATGCCAGTGCACCAGCAGAGAATCCGTCTTGTCACTAGGCGGATCTGCCGGTATCCCCCGACTCGTCAACAGGCCCATGCCGAGTATGCTAGCATTCAGAACGACATCCACCGCCCGCGTTTGATCCTCGCCGACGCGACGACGACGCCCATCCCCACCCTGCACCACCTCCTCCCCACCCACCCATGGCAACCCCAACGCCCGGTTCTGCACCGTAAAATGCCCATAACTCAGCACTGCATCCAGCGGCTCGCCCGTCTCGGCGCGCACCATCTCGGCCAGGGCGCACAGGGTGTCGACGGGGAAGCCGCTGATGCCCACGTAGCGCACGACGCCCTCCTCGTCGCGCAGCCGCCGCAGCTCGCGCACCGCCGCCAGCACCTCGCCCGCCGTCCACGAACTCCACGTCGTGCATGTATACGAGGTCCAGGTAGGGCGTGTGCAGCCGCTGCAGGCTGCGCAGCACCGAGTAGCGGATCCAGGACGGCGAGTAGTCGAACGAGGTGGACGCAAGACGCCCGGCTTTGGTGATGAGGAAGAAGCTGGAGCGGGGCAGTGGGACAGTTGGTGGGGTGGTGGTGGTGGTGGGGTTCATCAGGTCGTTGAGGGCGGTGCCGAGCAAGGTTTCGGATGGCCCGTAGTAGGGGCTCGTGTCGAAAGCATTGACGCCGAGGGAGAGGGCACGGGCGACGATGTCGCGATAGGGCATCGAGTGCGGGTCTGAGACATATTGGGTGTTGAAGGTCGCCGTGCCGAGGACGAGGGGCGGAAGCACGGTGTGGAGCGGCGGGCGAGACGGGTTCCTTGGCTCGGCCATACTGGCGGGTGATGATTGACTAGCGATTTGCCGCTATCCCCGTTGGCCTTCGATCTGTGAAAGAAGGGTCGGAAGGAAAACGGGGGCATTCATCGCCGGCTTCGTCGGCGGTTTGTCTCGAGTTTTTGGCGGGGTCGTAATCCGAAGCGGGGTATCGCGGGCCAGGCCGAGTCCAAGGGACAGGCAGACCATCCTTCCTTGCTACCTGCCTAGGTAGATACCTTCCTCCGCCGCATTATTAGGGTAAGATAAGCTGCAGTCCTCGCCAATGCATGATGCGAAGATGAAATCGCGAATTCGTATGACGAGCGAGGCTCCGGCAAGCTACGGTGGCAGGTGCAAAGCCAGTCTTCTCAATTGGACCTTGCTCCGTTCCAGATCGCCAGGGGCCTTGTTTCTTGTACATGGGAAGTGCTGAAATGTGGGGGTCATGTTCGGAATAAGGTTCAGAGCATCCGCCTTGGCAATGGAGACCTCCAAGGCTTGGGCGAAGATCGTCTTGAGATCGTCTCGCCGGCTCGGCCTCACTTCACAATTCCCCCGAAAAGGAAACCGACGGTTGAGAACAACACATCCAGTGCCAATCCTCTCCCCACCGCCGTTTCTCTATTATCAATTTTTTCGGTTAGATTTTATCGCCCCGACCTCTTCTGGCCTTATTCCCCCTCATGAGGGAACTGCGCAAACCCATGGGCCATCGTCTGCAATCACGATACTAAGCCCACATCTATAACTTTCATTTTTCCCTCTCTTTTTAGACCCAAAATCGAGGGATGACGCAGGATAGTGCCAAGCATAAACCCGTTTTAATGTTACACAATATAAAGTTCTGCAACAGCCGCATGGATACATCCTCTCGAAATTCCCAACCAAAACACCACTGACATTTTGGTGCGATTAAACGAGAGCAAACGACTTACTTACACATAATCTCCCGAGAAGAATTCTTTCGTACTCTCTCATATCAGTTCAATATTCGTGGATCCCGCTCTTGCTCATAAGGCCATCGTCTTCTACGATTGAAACGGACCGTGGGGGTTTGCGTTGAAAATGTCCTACCTGTGCCTCACCACCACGATGCCCTCATGTCCGATCTAGCAGACAATCATGCCCAATTCTGTCTCCTCTACTGTGTCAAGCGTCAGGATCTGGCCGCCCCTTGCATCGGTACGAAGAACGTCCTTCGAATGTCGTGTTCCTTGTCGAATCAGGTTTAGGCTAAAGAGACCGTCCTCTTTCAACTGTGGTATAAGCCCCTCGGTCTGCCCTGTTCTGGGATCTATGCTGATCTCTAACCAGAACCCGCATGACTCTCCCGCTCCCTCCGTTTAATATCTCACCGCACCCCGCAATCATTTATTCCTAAAACACCTTGCTTTATCCCTTCCAATCAAGGCTTCGGATCATCACCCGCCAACACCGGCACCGAATTTCTCCACGTCCTTCCATGCGTCTCCGCGCTTCTCTCTGGAAATGATGACCACTCCGGAGCGATTGGCGTGCCTTCCGGCAGTCAATGAGGTGCGGCCTCACAACAACGCCCGCTGGATGGGCCAACCAGAACCTACCAAAAACAGATGACCAGATCGTCCCCTTGCGAACTGAGACCTTGCCGAAAAGGACCCGCATTGGGCTTGGCTTTAAACATCGAACAACTGCTACCCGGATCCTAACCTTGCTTCATTCATTTGCCCGTCGGCCGCTTCGTGCCGGGGTACCTGTCCAGCGAGGAGCCTCACTCCGGCTTAGGTCGTTCCTTACGGCATGCCGCATATTAGGAATGTTCCACTCCGGATTTGCGGAATGATGTGCGTCACGGCGTGAGCCAGGAACCCAGACCCTGGGTGATAAGCCCCCGGCAGGCCGTTATTGCAATTCCCCCGGGGCGAGTCCTATATAAGAAATCTCCCCCGCCTCGTGGCCAGTCTGTGGTCCCGCTCTCACGTCACACTTGGTTGGAAAGCCTGTTACAGAAATACGGGTTCAACATGCATCTTCTCCAGAGTCTTGCGCGTGTGGCGGGCTTCATGGGCCTCGGTATGATACTCCTCTACCACCCCATTCTATCGGCGAGACTGACATAATCCTCTGTGTTGTAGCCCGGAGGCAGTTTGATCCCGACTCTACTCCCTTTGAGGACGCGGAGACCGGCTTGACCTTCGCCTCGTACACCAGTGACCGCGGTATTATCTTCCGCGTGGCCATCCCTGACCCTGTCCCCGAGGACAAGGTTTTCGACACTGTTCTCCAGATTGTGTCGCCCGCAGACGTTGGCTGGGCTGGATTCGCTTGGGGCGGCCATATGACATACAACCCCCTCGCCATTGGGTGGGCGGACGGGGCCGGTAGCGTCGTCTTGTCGTCGCGGATCGCTTAGTACGTCGTCCCCGATGCATTACTTCCAAACCCGATATATCGCAAGCACTAACCACCCAATAGCGGTTACTTCAGCCCCCCGGAAAACCCGGATGCGCAGTACACCGTCCTCGAGACCGGAACGCACGCCAACGAGACCCACTGGCAGGTCACGGCCAAGTGCACCGGGTGCTCGAGGTGGGGCGACGATGACATGGGCTACACCGAAATCGACCCCTCGGCCCAGACTACGGTGGCCTTTGCCTACTCGGATACTCCCGTTGACACCCCCGCCGACCCGGCGAGCAACTTTGGCATCCACGACAGCCTGGGACACCCCATCTACGACCTGGCTACCGGCAAGAATGCCGACTTTGATGAGAAGGTGGCGGCCCTCTAAGGACAATCGATGTCTTTATCTTAGGATGTTTGCTCGCTACGCAACGTCAGTGAAATGGACCTAAGTTAGCCAAAATGGGGACGTATCAAATAGAAGTGTAGGTTACATCCCACACTAGAACCGTGATGGTGAATTCGCTTTTGTCTCGAATTTGATTTTCTCTTCAATGGCCCACATGAGGTAGAGCAGAATACATGTACTTGGGTACCTATCTTAGATATGACCCGAACGATATGAGTTTTTCTAAGCTAAGACAGGTAATTATCGATTGTGGTCGCTTTCATCTCACAAGCGTGAGCCTTCATGGGCTGTTTATAAAGGCCTCTCGTAAAGATACCTGTGTAAGGTACATCGTAGCTGGCAACATTACACACGGCTCGGTGAAGCTCTGCCGAAACTCGGGGTCGGATGGGACGAGCCCAGAAGACAATGTTCTTGGCGCGTGCGTCATCATGTTCGAGGCTTCCCGAGTGTGTGAGCTCCCGGTCGAATGGTGCCTCTCTAGATTGGTCCGGACCTGCGTCCCGTCCCATGCTCCTGCAAGTCGAATTCTCCGAAACGCCATATCCTGTTCTGATGAATTCAATGTCGTTGATTTAGTACCCTCGCTGCTCAACTACTCGAAATTGGTGTTTCTTCACTGAAACCTCCGTTGGAAACGTTAGTGAGTAGTGATTCAATAAAGCCGGCTTTGCCGACGACCATGGTCCAATCGCCCACTTGGGCTCACAGGCCAATTGCCACTGTTGCCTTAGTTTGTGTAGCTAGCTCGGTGGGGAGATCCAGAACTCCTCCATGGCGGGAGGGGGGCCATGTTACATTCATGTGCTTTAGTCGTCGGCAGTTAGAGTGCCGCCTCCCACCACTACTGATGCACCCCCTCCCGTGCGGGGGTTGCAATGAGCAGCCTTGGTCTGTCCTTCCTATTACAGTTGGCTTCTGTGTTCCTTCCGCCTCAAGATGGAAAACGTCATTCTTGCTTTCTATCGTTTACATATCTCCTGATTCGGCGGTTTGCTAAGCCGCAGTAGTAATACAACAAAACGACTCTTGAAGCCATACAGTACCACTGAACACGGTCCACTATTCCCATGTCCACGCAAACTATAAGCTCGAGACAGTCCAGGCATCACAAAATTATCGCGACGAGCCATGACAACAGCTAGCTTCTCGAAGGCTTACTGGCGCCTTCACTCGTTCTGTTTGATTCTAGCTTTGGGATCCTTTGTTTGGGGGTAATAACATATCCCTACCTACCCACCTAACCTACCTAGATACCTACATTCATCAAGCGAGGCCAACATTTTAATCTCCGCCACCTAACTATGACATCCTCTTAGCCCTTCATTACCTCGGAGCTAACAGTGTACTCTGCCAGATACAATGTTGGCGTTTTTAGCATCCGTGCTCGTCCACCCGGGCTTCAAAGAAACCCTGCAGTCTCCCGACGCACCGCGAAGCGGCCTCATCACGGCCATCTACTATCTCGGCTCCTGGCTGAGCTACGTGTTCTTCGCGCACCCCGCTGCTGACAGAATAGGCCGCCGCTACGCTGCTCTTGTGGGTATGGCCGTCATATGCCTTGGTCAGGCACTTCAAACGGGTGCCTTTGGGTCACACGCGCTAGGCATGGTCATTGCAGGCCGCATCGTTGCTGGCACTGGGACGGCCATAATCTCTACGAGTGTCCCACTATACCAAAGGTAAATAATCTTGCTATTGCGGAGGCAAGGTTCCGTTGCTAACGTGTTGACATCGCAGTGAGATAGCCCCCGCAAAACAACGTGGCAGATACGTCGTCTTGAACCACGTTGGCTTTGTTGCAGGTCTCGCCACAGGATTTTGGTCGGTGACATCGGCGGCGCGGAAAAGTCGAGGCGACCGTCGACTGACAGCGCTATAATAGGGTTGGATATGCCATGACTTTCTGGGACAACGACCGCGGCCTCTCCGTGGGATGGCGGTTCTCCCTCGGTGCTTCGTTTATCCCAGCCCTGTTCTTCATGGGCGCGCTTCCGTTTATGCGCGAGTCGTAAGTACAGCCCTACGGCATCCTCAGCCCAAACGCCAGCATGCTCACTTACAACCTTTTCCCACCCCATCAGTCCTCGATGGCTCGTCGAGCATGGAAAGACTGAGGAGGCCTTTGAAACTCTTCAGTTCTACCGTGAAGGATATTACACGTCAGATGAAGCACGGACAGAACTCTCCGATATCGAACGTTCCGTCGCCATATTTAGGATTTCCGGCCTCACATGGGTCTCACTGTTCACCAATCGCAGCCTCTTTGCGCGTCTATGGCGAGCAGCGCTGCTGCAGTTTATGGCCCAAATGTGCGGCGCTATTGCCATGAAATACTACCTCCCAGCACTTTTCGAGGCTTTGGGATTTAGCCATCGCGTGTCTCTGCTTGCCGGTGGTATCGAAAGCACCCTTAAGACCGGCTGTGCCGTCGTCGAAGTGCTCATCATCGACAGGGTCGGTCGCCGCCTCACCCTTATTGCTGGAGCCATCGTCATGGCGTTTGCCCTGTTGGTAAGTCAGCTCACGCCCGAATCATATGGTTACGTGTCCATTTCAGGCCTCATGCTCATTCATGCTTAACCCAAGATCAACGGAGCACTGCCCCTGGCTTACCCCGACAACATAAACAGAGCGGCGGACTACACTTGTGTTGTGTTTATTTTCATCTACGCGCTGGGGTTCAGCATAGGCTTTGGCCCTGCCGCCTGGGTTTATGGCTCCGAGGTATGGAAGGCGAACAAAGCCCCTATTTGCGAGAACAACGGACTGATATAATCCCCAGATATTCCCCACCGCTGTGCGTGCCCGCGGGTTGAGCCTGGCTGCCAGCTGCGGCGCCGCAGGGGCCATCATCGTTGCACAAATATGGCCCGTTGGCATCGCCAACATCGGCTCCAAAATTTACTTTTTTTTCATGGCGATCAACTTGGCCAGCGTGCCTATCGTTTATTTGCTCTATCCTGAGACCAAGGGGCGGCCGCTGGAGGAAATGGATGCCCTCTTTGGAGTGGCCTCTAGCATTTCTACTGATGATCTTCTTGTTGATAGAGAAGATTTCGATCACCCCAGAGGGTAATACTCAAAATTGACTTTGGGGTATGGGGTATATTGGAGGAAGACAATTGTGGACTTGCGACGCTTTATATTAGCGATAGATCTTCATAACTAGCAGCAACGAATATCCAGAACTTGAGACAATGGTCAGACTTCCCATAAGGAACAACCAGATACTACCAAGCAACTTCACACTCGTTACGTCCAACATGATATGGACCGGCTGAAGACCCAAGATACCTCCCTACCATACGCACCGTCTTTTCCCTAGAGGTACGATGCTTCCACTAGGAAGGCCACAGTATATTTGCTGTGCCGGAGCACGGCATCCCACATAATAGTCGAGTAGGCCTTGCAGTCGAGGTCAGCACGCATTCAAAGTAGCACTCCTAGCATGTGATGGTCCTAACTTACATCACCGGAAGTGTGAATGTACGGCGAGGAATCATCCATCTTGTCCTCGCAAGCATAAGCCGCCGCTAGCGAAGTTAGTTGTCAATCATTGATTCAACCCCGCGAATGAATGGGCAAACGTACGGAATCCGTTTGACCTCGCCGAGGCGTGGTCCGAGCATCCGTATCCGCACGCATCACTAGTAGTCGCGCCAATGTACGCGGTCGCAATGACTCGGGCATAAGCCGTCAGAGCCGAGTCAACGTAGTCTGTGTAGATTGAGATCTTCCCGCTGGGCGAGTAGCCCGTCATATCCTGGTTGAGGACGGCGAGCACTGTCTTCCGGGACGACTTATAGCTGGAGAAGACATCCTGGGAGCCGAGCAGGCCACCCTCCTCGCCTGCGTAGAAGTGGAATTCGAGCGTGTTCTTGGGTTTGAATCCGGCGTTGGCCAGGACGCGCAGGGCTTCGAGAAGAACCACGACGCCGGAGCCGTTGTCATCGGCTCCGGGACCCCGCGCGCTGGAAGAGCCACCGGTAGAGTCGTAATGAGCCGAGACAATGACTATCATCGGCCATTGCCGTCAAGTCAGCAAATCCACTCTCACTTCAAACCCATTTTGAAGTGGGCGGATATTCACCTAAGTTCTCTGTAGTGCCGGGGACCTTGGCAATGATGGACGGCTGCTTGAAAGAATGGGTGAATTGGGTAACAGTGATGGCGGAGTTCTTTGCGGCAATGCTCTTGACTGTGCTAAAGAGCCATGCCCCTGCCTCAGTGCCGTATGAACTTCGGTAATATCGGTTATAGAAACTGTGGGTGAAGGTGAATGATCAGTAAAACAATCACCGTTGTACTTTTCAGCTCCTCAATGGGTAGGGTGCAGCAACAACAACACACTTACTCAGTCAGGCTCTTTAGCCAGCTCTTTGGCTCAGTGACTGAAACCTTCTCTAAAAGGAGGTTCGCCTCTTCCTTATGGCTGACGCTGGAGGGATAGTTGACAGCTTGAGCTGAGAAGGCTTTCTCCTGGGTGTCAGCGGTAGATAGCGCGGTGAGCACCTCAGCGTCGGTAATGTCGGTGATGTCAACAAAGCCAATGCCGTTGGACTTGTAGTCTCTAATCTTCTGCTCTTCCGTGACCCATTTGCCGGGATCCTCAGGGGAGGTCTTGATGAGACGCAGGCCAGTGTCTGCCCCTTGCGACTCAACGGCAGGTGCAGCAACAACTGATGACACTGAACCGGCCAGCAGAGCGAGAGCCACCGGGAGATGCATGATTGGCCGTTAGAGCGTAGCTTAGGGGGCTAGGGTAGGTAGCATTGATAAGGGAAATGAATGAGTCGCGCACCAACAAACGCTACTTCTACTAATAGGTAGTTCACAGCAACTTCTTATATTCCTCGGCTGTAGAGGGGCCCGCCCTGCTTGCCCAAGTAGTGGATTTGAAACAGACTTTCCATTTTCTCCCACATGCGATGTTCGGTGTGCTCCGCCGGGGAGTATTTCCTCATCGAGTAGCTTGCTTGGGTGACCCCCATGGGTACTACCTCGATCAGGCAGGTACATCATCTTGAATACCAAGACCGCTATCTTGCGACTGTCGATCCCCGGGCCGCAGATGCAAATCGATCTCGCCTTTATAACTGCCGGAAACAGACTAGGGGTGTTAACCTCGCCTACCCGCCACCTATAGCAGACGGACCAACCAGGACTCGAATGCTCGACAAGTACAATAATTCTGCACGAAAATACATGTGATTGAAGACGGTTAGGACGCTTGGCACCCCTGATCGTCCTGCCACCCCCGTCATTCCAACGAGCTAGAATCAATGGAGAAGTCTCACCAAGACGGCCTAGGTAGTCATGTTAGGCAGGTACATATACCTGTGCACCATATATCTCGCGTAGCGCGGGATTGTTGTGTCTCTGAACGTGCGAGCCCCCCCTTTAAGTCCCGACCTCACTCGCAACCCGCATCATTCGGAGACTATGTGCTTCTTGATGGCCAAATGGAGGATCAAATAAGTAGGTAGCATCACCGCCCTTTTACCAATTTAGGAGCACAACAGTAAGAGCAACTCGTCTATCGTAGCATTCGGGTTCACTTTTAGCTCTACCTTGACCGAAGCTAAGCGGGGCTTCGAGTATTGATTTTCGGCTCCAAGATCACTCCAAAGCTACAACAGATGCGCTAGGTTTTCCATTCCTACCCTACAAACCAAACTTAAGCTGTGTAGAGTTCAACAGCGTCAAATATCTAACCCCGGGGGTGGACTGGTTAGAGACAACCTGGTTACGGCCAGTAAGAGGGAGAGACTCACAAAGTTGGGGCTCAGGAACATCGCGCCGCTGCTACCAGAGACCGAGCTGATTGTGATGGTGTTGCTACCGGCGACGAGGGTGCCGGCAGGGATATTGACGGTATAGATCTCGCCGTTCCCGCGGTATGCACCCCGCGTCACACCGCGGCTGTCAATCTTGGGTGGCGCCGACGGGATGGGACCGCTCCAGCTATTGACAACCGCTTGGGGGCGGCTCCCGGCAAAGCTCAGAGTCGTGGCGATGCGCAGCGTGGCCGCTCCGGGGGCGCTGGCCAGGTTGAAGCGGATCGTCACGGGGTTGTTAACCGAGTTGAAGAGAGCCATAGGGAAATCTGAGAGCTGTGAGCTGCCCACTGTGTAGGTCAGAGGGCCCCAGCTCGCCATGCGGCTGTCGCTCGGGTGCATCCGAAGGAACTTGTCGGCGTTGCGGAATTCGGTTGGTTGGCCGTCATACTCGCCAATTTGGAACAGCGTCTTCCGCGATGTGTTGAAAGTGCCGGCAATGTTTTGAGTGACCGTTTTGCCGGAAGAGACAGTGACGGTGCCGGTGGCGATCTTGAACTCGGTCTGGTAAAGAACCATCGTGTACGTGCCCGGCTTCATCAACGGTGAGGTGAACCCACCGTTGGACGACGTCTTCGCCCAATATTGGGCCGCGTTGTTGTACCAATGGACCACGCCCTGAAGACCGCTCTGCACACCACTCGCAGTCCCCTGCACGGTTCCGCGGTTAGAAGCCGGTACATATCCAGTGACAGACACCTCTCCAAACCAAGAAACATCGAGGCTCTTGACGCTTGGGATCCCGGAGCGCGAGAACTGCATGGCGTAGGGTCCATGTAGCCCCATGCGATATGCCTCGGTCTGCACATGACCACTGTTCATGTAGTTGTAAAGGTTGGTGGACGCCCCCGCGTTGTTGGAGTCAATGTCGCGGAAGAAGGGACCTCCAGAGGATGACTCTTGCTGGGGGGTCATAATACAAACGTGCATCAAGTCGCTGCCACCGTACACGCAATGAGAGTCCTCGTCGATGAATCGTGTGGACGAGTAGAACTTGGACCGTGTCTGCCCATTTACCACGAAGACGTCGGAACCCTCGACGGTCGAACTAGCGCCGTTCGTGTTTGAGACCTCGCCATAGGGGTACTCGCCAGGAAGCTTGTCAGGTAGCAGACGGGCGATGAACCGCAACTCCCCTATCGAAGGCTGGGCAGTGATGTAGGTCGCCAGGTAGATAATGCTCTCGCCCTCCCGGACCACCATATAGTGCGTCAGGGTGGACGTCACACATGTCACCTTGATGTACCGGGACGATCCGCTGATCTGGCTGATTGAAACTGTGGCAGAACCCAAGCCAGAGCCGATGTGGGTGCCAGTGCTGCCATACTGAAGCTCTGTTCCACGATATTTGATGGATTTGATGTCGCAATTCGACTGGCTTACGGCGAACACCAATGGGTTGGCGGAGCCGGCATCGACAATATAATTGCCACCAGACGAGCTATAGCCGAAAGCACCAAGAACACTGGGCGCGAAGATGGAGACGGACAGAGCGAGCAAACGGATCATGGATCGGACCGCCATCTTGGGCATTCAAACACCCTGAGAGAAGCGAAGAAAAGTGGCCGAGGCGAGACGTGCTTTGGTCTGGACAGCAACAACATCTCGAGTATCCTTCCATAACCGCGAGCACCAAGCATACCTATAAATAGTGGTTGGATAATGGGCCTGCCATCTCGGCATTCCGAGTTCAAGGAGAGGGCGCTGCCGCACCAATAACATGTAAATCATGCGATTGGAGGAATTGTACCTGGACCCCGGAATCCAGGTCGCAGCAAGCCACCCGAGGTAGCATCCAGCGGGGTGCAAGCCATCCATGGGGACTCTGGTGCGTTTTGAATCTGCCAAGACGGTGGTCATGGTGCCCCTTGGGTCCCGCTACGCCAGGAGCAGAACACCAAACAGGGACATCCACCGAGAAACACCGTTGCCGGAATCGGTTACGGAAGTATGATATGGTGGTGCGGCTCGGTTCTCGGAATAAGGAAAGACGAGAGAAGGTGAGGACGGAGTCAGTTTTTAGTTATTCCAATGCTTGATACACCGCGTAATACATGTGGTCATGGGGCGCAAAGCGGCTCTTACGAACTGTTACTGGAGTACTGGATCTTGAAAAGGGTTCGTGAGGAGTCAAGTGGTATGTCTCGAAGACTAACATCAAGCTTGGACCATGATATGTCCTGGGAGAAGTCGAGCGGTCCAAAACGCAAAAGGTTAGAGCCACCATTTGGCCCGCAAGGTGCCGCTCAGATATTTATCACCGAGGGAATCAGGGATGGTCATTGAATGGTCAGAACTCGCCTCCAATACACTCCCGGGTTGTTGCAGTGACCAGCTTTATCCGCATACCATCGGCTTGCCCAAATATCCACGAACTCCCCTGAACCATGTATCCCTCCGTCGCAGTAGCGATTGGATTAGACGGGTTGCTGGTGGGCGTGCTTGCGAGTGCACGGTTCGTATATCACAGGCACCAGATCCGTAGGCACCAGCCCCATGCTTCCGTGAACTCGCTGGAAATTTGTCCTTCGGCGCCCATCATCACCCAGATCTAGCCGTAACACCGTGGTATCCGCAGGAATTGGCGCAGCGTCAGCGCCATGTAGAATTTGTGGAGAGCAATAATCGTGATACCGTTCTACCGAACGCCTGTCCTTGACATCCCATCCTTCCTTCGCCGCAGCTTATGGCGACGGTCGGGCCAAAAAGGCCGACAAGGGAGCTGAAAGCTGTTGCCACTTTCCCATCTTCACCCAACCCCAGAAACACCTGTACTTTATCTGAGGCGGCGGGCCTCGCGCTCGGATTCGAGAAGAACCAGGATGTCGTCCTCGCGAACTGGACACACGTGGGATTAGTCGCCGGTGGATCAATCGGAGGTATTTCGATTCATACCAGGGCCCTTGACGTTCCTGATGATGGAACGAGTAGTGTCGTCCATGAACTCGACGCGCACCTGAGTAACACCACCACGAGAACCTGTATTTCGACCAGATTAGCAACGAGCGTGAATTGGAGGGCTAAGTTGCGGGGTGGTTCGTTAGGATTCTGCCGAGGACTCGGGTGACCTTGACGAGCTTTAAGGGTACTTCGAGGAATCCATTTTCGCGACTAATCGACTAATGTGGTGCCTTGCCTAGAATCGGTCGTCGGTTCGTGATGCTAAAGGTTGCGGAGTTGCGAAATTTCACCAAGATTGAATTGTGCGGAGCCAAAATCGCAGGGCTGCAGGATATTTTTATTTCCGGTCCGGTGTGACTGGGACAGAAATGTGGGGCAAACCCTCGCAATGGAAAGTCTCCAGCTTCTTGCAATGCCATTCTAAGGGCGCTGCACTTGGATTTGATCGACTCAAAAGGCCAACTGTGATTGCAATGCGGATTATCCGTTAAGGTCTCCAGCCATGATATCGGAAACTCTCAAATACTGACATTTCGTAGCGCGATGCATGCATGTTCCTTGATTTAATTTCAGTGCCACCAGATCAAGTTCATAGGAATTTCCGACTCAAACCTTTTCCAAACCAGTTTGTCAAATTCAACGATGTCCAGTTTCAAGAAGATTCGGAGTATTGGAATGAGCAATCATAAACCTCAATTCGATCACTTCTCACGGCATTGACCCCATTCCCCAAGCCAAGGCATCAAAAATCCAGTCGGACCGAGACTTCCGTGAGTGGGGAGAGGCCTCGGACATCAAACCCCTGATTTTTCGTATGTCCTTGGTATGCTCAAAGCCAATTTTATGATCATAACTTGACTTATGATATTATTACCGTGGGGGGCGAATGAACATCCCTCCTGTTGAGCTCAGGTACCTAGGGTACCACACAATCAAGGGCATTCGTGCTTCGTCTTCTCGGAAATCGATATCAAATACATTAACATTAGGTACCTACCTAACCAGCGCTGATTTCACATATGACTGAGAACCACACCGACGCTGTGGCACACGACTGGAGAACATGATGGAACACTCCTTCGATAGAGATGCCGAAGCCCGGCCCGCCGCGCCTGATGGAGGCCGTAAAGTGTTTGCCCACTACATGGTTCGAGCCCACATCGGACTTCGGTCAAGTGGCGTTTGAGATCGCTACTAATATGTTCGTGATTTTTAGGTCGGACTCACATGCGACTATCCACCTGAGTGTTGGGGTCACGAAATTGCGACAGCCAAAGCAGCGGGCATCGACGGGTTTGCTCTCAATATCGGCCCTTCAGACAGTTGGACCAGCCTGCAACTCGACCATGCCTATGAAGCAGCCGCGCGTTGTGGAGAGTTTTCCATGTTCATATCATTTGAGTGCGTCGTCTCTATGCAATTGCCCTTGTACATGAGTTGAACCTGACCGTCGCCGGGGTAGTATGGCGGCTGGATGTTGGTCAGTGCCCCAGGTGGTCAGCTTGATCAACCGGTATCATGCATCGCCTGCACAAGCCACCATCGACGGAAAAGCCCTCGTCTCAACCTTCGAAGGTCCTGGCTGGGCTCATAACTGGCTCAGCGTCCGCAATGAAACGCCGGCTATCTATCTTGTCCCAAACTGGTCAAGTCTGGGACCACACGGGGTCGCCCATAAACTGGATTTGATTGACGGAGCTTGTAAGTCATGGAACTTATTGCTGCTGTACCGGTCTGTGCCAACGAAGCTGACACACGCAAAGTTTCCTGGGATGCCTGGCCCAAACCTGGGCAATCCAAGATGACAACTGCCGAAGACCTTCTTTACAAAGACTGCCTCAGCGACAAGAAGTACATGATGGGTGTCAGCCCTTGGTTCTATACAGGCAAGCCCAACTCTCCATTTTTGCCATTATCCTATCTAATGGCGAACCCAGATCTGCCGCAGTGGAATAAAAATTGGTACTGTTCTAGCGAGTCTCTTTGGCATGATCGTTGGCAGCAGGTTTTGGAGGTCATGCCAGACTTCGTCCAGATCATCACCTGTATGTCCTACGGAATTTCACTACATTTCCACTAATTCTCACACCAAAAGGGAACGACTTTGGCGAATCAAGCTACATTTGTGATGAATCATCGGCACAAGTCGTCAGCGGCGCGGAATCGTACACCGCTGGGCACTCTCACACTGCGTTTAGGGCGATTCTACCCTACTTTATCGCCGCTTTCAAGTCCGGAACAGCCGACATTGATTGGCAAGGGGAAAACACCGCTATCGCCTGGTACCGTACTACCCCAATCCGTGGCCAGCAACACTCTGGTGAGCCTGAACCATTCCTCTGCATACCGGACCGTGAGACTGAAGCTTCCCAGGAACAATTTGGGGCCAGGGCGGCACGGTTTCGGCCAACCACGGTGCCAAAGACGTTATCTCCGTCATGGCGGTAACGAAAGGCCTTGCATCTATCACTATCACGGTCGGCAATGCATGTCGAGTAACGTTTGAGACAACTAGTCAAAGTCCTGTTTCGTACTTCGAAGTGCCGTACAACAATCGCACCACGGGCCCCGTGACATTGGCGTTGGATGGGAAAACCGCGATAGGGCCAGAAATAGGGCCCTGGCATGGAACTGAGAAAGTGAGTTGTGGAATGAGATGACTTCTAAACCGACGCGGCAGGACTAACTGACTCCATTTGTAGGCCTCTCTCAACGCAGTTACGATTCATGTCTAGGCTCGGCTAACCAGTCCCTCCAAGGCATGGGAGGAGCCTGAGAAGCCTTGCCGGGGTCATAAATGAATTGAGAAACTTGCCTGGATTGGGTAGTCTCTAAAGCCAACATCCTTTGTAAACGCTGAGGTGAGACGGCATGCAAGTAGTATAGCACTCTTTGGCCAAAAAGGTCGAACTCCGAGTGTGAGTGCCACCGAAACCTTCGACTAGAGGAACGAAAAGAAAGCCACTCAAAATCCCAAACTCGACTTCTTAATTTATGTTGCTTGTTTCTCCTTACCTCTTCTTTACATTGGTTTTCTTTTACTCTCTCTCTCTCTCTCTCTCTCTTTTTTTTTTTTTTTATTTCTTGCCCCCCTTTCGAGTTTGGCATTTTTGAGCCCGAAGGTGTATAGACAACATCGAGTGTGAACAAGACTTGCTGAGACTGTCCCGCGGTAACTTACTCGAGGATGACGTACCTTGCACAGCTTTGTCGTGTGTGGGTCGGTTAATCTCGGCGATCCATCCCCGAACCTGCATGGGACCGCGTGCCCGGGCGCTCCCGTGTATGGCCTTGGCCCGCTTCTTCCGGTCTGCGCAACATTTTCGACGACGTCACGGGCTTTTCCTTCTGTGCCCTAGCCGACCCGCAACCACCTCGAATCTGCCTCAGTAGCGCTTGACATCGTCATGTCGCGCGCAGCTTGTCCGAAACAACTCACCATAGTTTGGCTTCGAGGACGATGAGAATGCCGTGGCTCGGTCGATCAACACAATTATCCTAGACCCCTCGATAAGCCGCTGCGACATGAGGTTGGCTTTCGCTCTGGGCCGGCTTTTCTCCCACCCGGAAGCGCCGCTCTGCCCTAGCTCAACCCTCAAGATCCTGAGGCACCCTTTCCGACCTGCGCCTGTCCGCGCGAACATTCGCACATTGCTGTCTCAGACGGGCCCGCGAGCTCGACCGCGATCATGGAGGCCCCACCGTTCCGCCCCACGGGCCCTCATGGCGACCGCCGGCAGTGGGCTGGCCGCGGCTGCATTTGTCGAGCTTTCGGAGGATGGTAGCGCCAGCCCTGATGATACTGGCGAGAAGCGTATGCTCGAGGTTTCCCGGGCCGAGATTCGCAAGACGGCTGGCGAACGTGACGGAACGTTAGGCTCGCTGCGACGCCGACTCGTCTTTATTTTGGACCTCTACATCTGGGAGCCAATATGTACTGGCTTCCGCTTTTTGCAACTCGTTGCAATATTTGTGCCCGTAATCATAACGGTACCGGCGATGTGGGCTGGGCGTCGTTTACCGGAGCGCGATAACGAGCGGACAGGGACTTTGTGGTGGTATAACTTTTTAGTCCAGGCCATGGAGTGGGCGGGCCCGGCTTTCATCAAGGTAATACAACCCCAGTCCGTGGCCACGACCCGCTAACTGACAGTCGATGTCGACAGCTTGGGCAATGGGGCCGCCTCTAGATCCGACATCTTCCCCAATGAACTGTGTGACATCATGTCAAAACTTCATGCCAACGCTCCTGCCCACTCTTTCCATGCGACGAAGCGGATAGTCCAAAATGCTTTTGGCGGACGCGATTTCGACGATATATTTGATGAGTTTGACGAGAAACCGATTGGCGTCGGTGCCATTGCCCAGGTCTACAAAGCAAAGCTCAAGCCTGACCTCGCCGTTCCTGGAGACGTGGATATTCCTGAGGAACCCGCCGATCTCCGCCATAACGTCCGCAAAAATGTCGATACAGTTCTCAAAAGCACACCGAAGCGCGTCCCATCGTCCTATGTTGCCATCAAGGTCCAGCACCCCCGCGTTGAGCGGACTGTGCGGCGCGACCTTCGGATCATGCGGTTCTTCGCCTCCGTACTTAACGTGGTGCCGACGATGGAATGGCTATCTTTGCCTGATGAAGTAGACCAGTTTGGAGAGATGATGAAGCTGCAGCTGGATCTGCGTATTGAAGCGGCAAATCTGTCAAGGTTCCGCAAAAACTTCAAGGAGAGAACTACGGCCTGGTTCCCATTTCCCTATACAGAATTCTGCACTCGGAATGTGCTCATCGAAGAGTTCGCTTACGGCATACCCCTCGCCGACTTTATTGCCAATGGAGGAGGGATGTTCCAGCAAGACATCGCCTCCGAGGGTCTTGACGCGTTTCTGCGCATGCTTCTCCTCGACAACTTTGTTCACGCCGACCTCCACCCTGGAAATATCATGGTGCGGTTCTATGAAGCGGATCGACCTAGCCTACGGTTGCGCCGCGCGCCCGGGAACCCCGGTGTAGGGCACCAGGCAGACGTTACCGAGCAGGTTTTGTCACGGCTGCGTCCGCATCAGCACGACAAGAAGCTCTGGAACGCCGAGTTGGCCAAGATTGAGCGCGAGGGATTCAGGCCACAGCTGATCTTTATCGACACTGGTCTTGTGACGGAACTGAATGCTACGAATCGGCGCAACTTCCTCGACCTGTTCCGCGCCGTGGCCGAGTTCGATGGCTACAAGGCCGGCCATCTGATGTGCGAACGGTGTCGGCAACCTGACGCGGTTCTCGATAGCGAGGTGTTTGCCCTGAAGATGCAACACTTGGTTCTCGGCGTAAAGAGCCGGACACTCGCACTCGGAAACGTCAAGATTGGTGACATATTGCAGGAAGTCCTAGGGATGGTCAGGCAGCACCATGTCCGCCTAGAAGGGGATTTCGTCAATGTGGTCATCAGCATGTTGCTGCTCGAGGGTATTGGCCGCAGCTTGAACCCTGATGTAGACCTCCTCAGCAGCTCGCTCCCGATTCTAAGGCAACTCGGCACCCAGGGCGGCAAGGACATGGTCAAAGAGGGCGACTTCCATATGCTAAAAGTGTGGGTAGGCCTAGAGACGAGAAGGTTCATGCAGGCCAGCGCCGAAGACGTAGGTCCCTTGTCTCGCATTATCCTTAGAACCACACAGCTAACTCTCGAGAATAGGTCGAAAGATGTGTCCGATATGATCTCCTCTCTCCGAATGTCTAATAGGACTCGCTCCCACAAGAGCGGCCCGGTGAGGCCTGCTACCGATGGGCAAGGTTCAATTAATAACACTCCATCATTTTTATTACCCCAGCGGTACTTGATACTTGAAAATAATGCAGTACACACCGTAGACAGTAACAGTACAAATCTGCATGCCTCGCTACTTGGTCGACTTGAACCCAAGCTGCCAAGCTGCCAAACTCCCAAACTGCCCAACACCCAACTCGCGAACAATGCCGATCCCTGCATGTGATTTGCCTGCGGGACAGCCGGCTTGGCGCCTAAGAAACTGCGCGTCATTCTTGCCCCGTTTGTCCTTAGCCCAAATCATCCCCGTCTCTTTTTTTCCGTTATCGCCCACAATCTTCCTATCGCCATCGCCCATCCTTCTCCCGTTGTCGAACCAACATTCCCGGTGCTACCGAGCTAAACCATTCCTCACACATCATCCCCCGAGTTCCCTGGTTTTGCCCGACGGACTACTTTCACAATGGGCTGGTTCTGGGCCGACACCACAGCCACCCCGGTTGTCCCTCCGGCGGACAAGAGGCATAAACACATCACTGAGGCCGGTACCCCGCCTGTAAGTTGGTATCCCGGTCAATCCATCACGCATACTCATCCCAAATCCTCCCTCTCTAGGCCGGATGTCCTATGCACAAAGTCACCGTTGATGCCTTCACTCCTCCTGCCCGTGCCGCGAGCCCAACGCCCCCCTCCTGCCCTGTTCCGCACGGCAACCCCACCGCAAACGCAGCGCTAGCCTCCCGTCCCGTTCCGCATGATAGTCAAGGCTCGTCTTCAGAACAACGGCAGGAGCCATCGATGCTCTCCAAGCTTAACCCACTCAACTACATGTTTCAGTCTATCTCTCAAGAGCAGGCTCCCGGTCAGACCCATGTGCTCCCGACCAGTCGAGACGAATCTTCTATCCCAAGAGGCACCGGCGAAAGCAATTGGGAGTACCCTTCGCCTCAGCAGATGTATAATGCGCTGCTGCGTAAGGGCTACACGGACACGGACATCACGGCTGTCGAAAGTATGGTCGATGTCCATAACTTTTTAAACGAGGGAGCCTGGGGCGAGATTGTCGACTGGGAGCGCAGGTTTGCCAGGGGCTTATCCCGGGGCTGGGAAGTCAGTAAACGCGGAGAAGAGAACGCGCCGTTAGCCCTTAGGCGTTTAGAGGCGCAGGAGGGCGGCCAGACACAACCCACCCTCATCAGGTTTCAAGGGAGACCAAAAGAGATGACCCCAAAGGCGGCTATGCTACAGCTGCTAGGGCGGGTATATCCATCCAAGTTCGGGTATGTCGGATTCCAACATGTTTATCGGGCGATTACTGACGTTCTGGGTCTAGCACCGAGCCGCCTTTTGATCGCCACGACTGGTTCGTCTCGCGCAATATCAACGGCCAGAAGAAAGAGGTCCGCTACGTGATCGATTTCTACTCGGCACCTCCGGAGCCAACTGGTGAGCCAGTCTTCTACCTGGATGTCCGGCCCGCCATAACACCCACCGCGGCTGTGGAGCGGTTGATGCGGTGGGGCGGGGATGTTTGGTGGAGGGCATCGGGTGGTGACGTCCGAGAGCAGGCAAACAGCCGGAATCGACAGGATTGACGACGCAGCCCCAGCCCTCTCTTACATGGTATGGTGATGCTGATGGGTCTGCTCGACATATGGGATGGCGCCATGGAGAAATTGGTCACATAGGGTTTCGGTTTGCTTCTTGGATGTGTTGCTAACTCTCTCCTCATCTGTATAATGGCGGCATTATTGTCCGAGATGTTGGTCGTTTCTTGCAAGTCTAGATACCAGGTGCTTTCGCCTTTGTCAAAGGGGCGTTTCGTGCCGTGAGACTGTCCTGCATGATTGGTTCAAGCTTGGCGCCATTCGCTACCACAAAATTGATGAGCTCGCTCTTCGCCAAGGAGAGACATACCTCCACCTACCAACCTTACAGAATTATTCCTCATATTAGTGACTACGATTCCGGGGATATAGTGATGATGCCTAACCCGGCAGGCCGTGACGCCCACCCGTCGCCAGTCGAAACACGAAGCGCCGGGGCACGCGATACCGGCTCAACCGCAGTCGCCTCCACCTGTCCGGACACAGAGTCGCAAGACCAAGACGCAAGTTCCGTATCTGTCACTGGGCTTAGCGGATACTCGGTCGATCTAAGTGTATGTTCAGAATGTCCACTAGCAACCGGTTTGCGTTGAATTGACAACACCAGGTCGATCAAGATAGCAATGCTACCAACTCGCCGCTTATATCGGATTCGGGATCGTCAGTCACAGAACGACCCAGTTGGCACGCGAAGTAGGACTTGGTTTGCTGAAATTGTACCAGGTCGGCCTCGAGCGCTTCCGTGAGCTCCAGTGTTTACGAATTTGTTCGGGAACATGGCCGGACGTTCCACAAATACAAGGAAGGGAGTAAGTCCTTAGCTGCTCCGTCGGTGGAAATAACAGCAGTGCTAACTTCCACGGCAGAGTATTTCCTTCCCAATGACAAGGTTGGTTTAACGATCGGGGCTATAGAACCACACTAACCATTTTTATGGCAGAGAGAGCAAAACCGGTTGGGTAAATCCATGGCCCCATTGACCTACTAAACGATTCCAGGTCTGACATCCGCTAGATCTCCAGCATACCATATCAAAATTCTTGCTGAATGGGAAGCTCGGATTAGCGCCAGTTGAGCGACCAAGCCGTGTACTCGACCTTGGGACAGGAACAGGTGTCTGGGCGATTGAGTTTGGTAGGTATATCCTTTCGCCTAGGGTAATCGTGGACCCTACTCCATGTGCCTTCTACTGTTTCCCCGGCGGCATCTGACACGGGTTCACAAAGCCGAGGAACATCCCGACTCGGAGGTTCTAGGCACCGATCTGAGCCCTATACAACCCGATTACCTGCCATCGAACTGCCGCTTTGAGATTGACGACGTGGATGACGACTGGGTCCACAGCCACAAGTTTGACTATATTCACGGCCGTTACCTGCTTCCATTTGTCAAGAAGGACTGGGCCGTCTTCTTCAAATCCATCTACGACAATCTGAACCCCGGCGGCTGGTTTGAATCCCAGGAGACCATCATCTACTTCCAGTCAGTCGACGGATCTGTCGAAGGCACAGCCCTGCAACGATGGAACGCACTTCTGCTCCGCGGAATCCAGATGATGGGCCGCAGTGCCACGGAGGCGTTGCGTTGCAAAAATTATTTGGCTGAGGCCGGTTTTGTTAACCTCGGCGAGAAGAAGTTTGCCGTCCCTATGAACCCTTGGGCAAAAGGGGACGACCAAAAGGCGGTGGGCGCCATGCAAATGGCCAACAACCTTGAGGGTGTCGACGGACTCACCATGACCGTGTTCACTCGGGCACTCGGTTGGGCCCCGGCCGACGTGGAGCAACTACTCGCCGATGTGAAGAACGACTTAAAGGACCGAAACATCCACGGATACATCACTGTGTGAGCACATTGACCCAGAGAAAGCCTTACGATCTGCTAACAAGCGATTCAAGGATCGTCGTATGGGGTCAAAAGCCGCAATAGAGGCTGATTCGCGCCGTATACGGGACCGAGGGCCCGTAAGCTTACCTGCCGGCGTCTACTATTACCCATGTGGATTGGTAATCTGTATTTCATCGGCACAGATCACACCCTTTCCCTTTTCTTTTCGGCCACCATCTCGCTGTTCCTTTTTCTCCTCTTGGTCGGCGAACCTCATCTATTTGGGCTCAGGGCAGTCGGCTCTGCCCTCGTCCGTGGATCAAGGCGGCAATATACAACGGCGCATGTGGTTGGATCACACTAGATGTGTTTACCTTCCTGACTGACCAACTACCCTCTGTATCGTTCGAGTTCTCTCCATAAATCCACCGTATAATCGTAAACATTACTGGAATGGCGGTGTTAAAGTAAACCAACAACTACAAGGTCGTCCAACATCTCCTTTCGTTGTTTCAGTCAACTCAGGAGTGAGTTATGGAGCAGTCTTTGTTTAGTGGGGCGGCAGATGGGGGAGCAGCTGACGGACAGCTGGCAGCCCCGATCCACAGCAGCTGCTTGCAGACTTCAAAGGCGGTCAATGCATTTTCAGCTCAGCCTTGTGAGGATCAGTTCTGCATCCGATAATTGCCAACTCCCCAAATGGCAGGACGGCCATGACAAACCGCAAAGGAACTGAGGCACCATCCACCGCATCTGCGCCGGCTTCCGACGACCCCCATTACGTCCGGCTGCATATCACCCCACTAGACGCCGAGCTGCTTAAAATCGCCCTATCATCGACCCTACTCCCAAAGGCTCGCAATATTTCCTTCCACTCGCTCGAGACATTCCCAGAGAAGCGGTTCGGCTTCTTGGATCTCCCGGAAGAGGACGCGACGAAAATAAGCAAGAAGCTCAACGGATCGGTGCTGAAAGGCGTCAAGATCCGCATTGAGCGCGCAAGGCCGTCCAGCCTTCCCACTCCACTCGGTCCAGTTGCAATGACCAAAGAAGATATCCCCGGGAGCACGGTTGACGCCGTACTCCCGCCGAAGGATAAAAAAAAGAAGAGGAAGCGTGGTGCTGAGGAACTCAGCGGCATAATCTTGGAGGAAGACCGAAAGATCAAGCGCGGATGGACCAACCCCGACGAGCCCAAGGAGAAGAGATCAAAGAAGGACAAGGAGAAAGCCGGGAAAGAGAAGAAGAAGCGAACAAAATCTAAATATACCGACCATGCTGAGTGTTTAGTCAAGACTGTCTTGCCCGCAATTGCCACCCCATTGCCCGACGTCCACCAGTCCACCCCGACAACAAAGAAGAAGAAGGGCAAGTCACGGGAGGTGGTCATTCACGAGTTTGAGAAGACCACCAAGTTTCCGACGTTCCTAAAGGCGGTGGCGCCCAGCGGCCAGCCAACTACGCCCCTAGAGTTTGTGGATGGCAAGGGTTGGGTGAACGAGGATGGGGAAGTGATAGAACCGGTGCAGGCCAGGCCGCCTCCGAGTGGCAAGATCTTGCTTCCCAGCAAGCCAAAAACCGAGGCTCAGGAGACCAAAACGGAGGATGAGGGTACAACAAGCTCCAGCGACGAGGAGTCCGATGAGGAAAGCGAGATGAAAAGCCCAGGTGCCGCTGAAGACAGCGAGCCTAGCCCCGACCTGGCGAGGTTGAATGGCTCTCCGCTACCAGGCAAGCCTGATCAGTCGCGGCCGAGATCGTCCGGTTCAACCCGCAGTTTATCGATCAAAATCCCGCCTGCAACCCCAAGCGAGTCCAGAGTGCACCCCCTTGAAGCCTTGTACAAGCGCGACAAGCAAGCAGACGGTGAAATCCCCAAAGCAGACACGAATGGTCAAAGTTTCAGCTTCTTTGGCGGTGTTCACGACGAAAGTGACGGAGAAGAGGCAAATGTTGATGCGGACGAGGCTCCGGGGGCTCAAGTTCCATTGACTCCCTATACTCGCCACGACCTTGAATTGCGCGGCATTCGGAGTGCGGCGCCTACCCCCGACACGGCACACCCTAAGCGGAGGTTCACGCCGTGGGAAGGCGACAACGATGGCGAGGAGCAAGATGGAAAAGGGACGGATGAGGAGATCGAAGACCACGATGAGGAGATTGCACCGAGCAGCCCAGCAGCCCAGGGGGGTGAGGGTGATGGCAAGCCGGCCAGCGACTTCCAGGATTGGTTCTGGAAAAACCGGGGAGATCTCAATCGCTCATGGAAGAAGCGGAGAAAGGCTGCGGGCAAGGAGAAGAGGTACAGAGAAAATAAGGCTCGCATGGCCCGAGCGATCTAGTCATCGCTGACCCGCCGATACGAACTACTACCATATCTGACCAACAGGCCGGTGAGCGCCGGTAGATGGTACTCGTTGCCTGGGGTTTATGATCATTCGAGTAATGGGCAGCGTTTGACACCGAAACAAGTGTTCGCGCTCGGTACATCAATACAAACAAGTTTGGTGGTCAGAAATTTTGACTTTCACATCTCACTCAACCCTTTCGCTTCCCGAGTTTCCACACCCTTGATCGTTCTTTTTTTTTGGGTGGCGGGGGGGGGGGCATGATATCGTTAACTGAAACTATTTACACTTGTGCCGTAACGTCGTTCGTCGAGCTAGCGCTCTCGTATTATACACGTCGGTCCCGAACCGGGTAGTGACGAACAAGGTTCTACACTGACTTCACAGGGCTCTCAATCTAACACAACTCCATCCCTCCGGCCCTATCAGTTAGGAAGTTTCCGAGTTTGCACTGAGTATTGATCACATACCATCCTTGGTGCCCCTCTAAATTTCGACCGAATGCGCCCCAGGCCGGTGAAAGGCGGCCCTGCTAGGCAGCGCCAGGTGGCGGAGAGTACGAACGCGCGGGCGACCTGAGGGTGTCTGGTTGTTGGGTGCTTGTGGGGTGTGAGGTGAACTCGGAGGCATCCCAGACAAGGGACTGTATCCCTCGGTGACGGCTTCACACAACTCGGTGAGGATGCTGGCCTTAGTATCCGATTTGGAAATGGTAGCGTTGCCATCACTACCTTGCCAGGACTCGGGCTCTGTGACCGAGTCCTCTGACTGAAGCAGTTGGCGGCGTGACAACGAACCGCCCACGTTTAATTTCTTCTCCTTCGGGGTATTGTCCCCGCTAGCGCCGGCATCCGCGTCAATGCCGTTCGACTGGCCGATGGCGTTCTCCATTGTGCCGTAAGTCGGCCCACTCACGACGCCGGCCGTGTTAGTACCACCGTTGTTCTGCTCGCCGATGTTCGGGCGACCTTCCTCAAGTACGCCGATGCGGCTCTCAAGGAATTCAACATAGCGGCGAAGCTGCGTGTGATCCTGGACGAATTTCTGCCAGGCCTCTGTCGCACCGTTGTCTTGTCTCCGATCCTTGCTCTGGGGTCGGGGAGGGAGAGGTCGAGACCGAAGGTGCATCTCGATCCAGTTCTCGCCCGAGACAAGGTCCTTGTTCATCTTGCGGTACTGCAGGAAGGTGGCGCCCAGGAGAGCACCGAAGGTGAGGGCAAACACACCGCTCACGGCGGCCCACGCCACCACCCCGATGCCGGCATACCCATGCTCGATATAGCTAGCAGTCACCGCCGTGACGCTGGCAACCACGTTGAGGATGCATAATTCCAAGAGAACGGCCGAAGCAAACATCATTCTGCGCGATCGGGCAAGGGCACTCCACAGCTTCTTCGTGCTTCTCGGCACGCTCCGTCCTGCATTCGTGGCCATGCTGGGGCTCAGCGGCAAACGGCTATGGCGCAATCTCGGGCCAAGGCGGAGAGACTCGAGATCGGGGACCTCGCTTTGGATTGTAGTCGGCCTCCGCGAGTAGAGACTAATGTTTCGCATCGAGGCCCCGGCATTGGGCGCGGCTTCCGGCATCCCGACCGACTTCAGGATGATGATGCCATCAAGTGTATCGTCAATGTTACCGCCGTCGGAACCGCCGTACTCGGCCCCCACGCTGCTGGTGGGCGCCGCAAGCCATTGGGCGTCCTGGGGCTCGCTCTTGGGAATGGTCGCGGTAAGGAGCGGGCGCAGACGGGATAGCACTCGGCCTTCCTCGTTCCGCGGGACAGGCGTAGCATGAGTTACGCTGGACGCGTCCGTACGTTCAATATCGATGTCGTCGATTACGGGGCCCTTCGTGGCTGTGTCCCGCGGAGTGTGGGTTGCCGACTGATGGTGATGCGTGGTTTCTTGGGGTTTCGATGCAGAAATCGGCTGCTGCTCTTCGTCCCTAACTTGGCTGTCGCCCCCGTTTTCAGTATTTCCAGGCTCAGACACCTCCGATACCTTGCGCAAAACTGAGTACGGAGTCGGGGTCATGGGCCGCTCCAAACCCTCTGTTGCAGGGTGAAGGAAGTGCCCGCCGCTGTTCGGTCGCGGGTGTTCCGCTAAAACAAGTTAGTGATGATGCTTTTACTATCATAGGCTCATTTGAGGTTTTGTACCGATCGCATTGCTCTCGCTGTGCCGGGGTGCGTATATTTGAGTCTCGACCGAATCTCGAGAGACGTCGGCGCGACCACGAGCCATCGATACCTCGTTTTTCGCCATCTGGAAACTTCCAATTATTGTCGCTTCACTCGCTGTGGAGGCCGTGGTCCGGTGGTGGGATTTCGCACTCTCAGTTTGGTTAATGTCGCTACAGCTGGCACCGGGCGCATCGCAATGCTGGGTGGCTGCGGTTGGAAGGTCCCTGGATGCAATCAGCAAGAAAAGTCGACCGGCATCAACACAATGTAATCGGTCATACAATGATAGACGTTTGGCTGACTTGGGGAACGGCCAGCTTGTCGGCGAGTAACTTCCAGTCATGCTAGAAGCAGTAGTAACTCCGTCCACGGCGTTGTAGGGGACCGCGCGGATGGAGGGTGTTCGAGGTGACGCGGCCACGAAAGTCGGTCGGGGTATTCGAGTTGGTGTTTTTAAGATCGGGCTGAGGGGCTCCATTTCAAGGCCAGTCGCCCCAAAAAAAACACACAATGTTAAAAATTAAAGGTTTCCCTGACTGCTACTTGAACCGAGTTTGGTTGGGTAGGGAATTTTATCCACAGGGTACGATATCGGCCCAAAAAAGAGCAATCTAAACAGGCCTTACAATGTGACTAGGCAGTCGTTGAAGGGCTCGAGCTTGGAGCATGGAAGCTACCCTGTTCTTTATTTTGCAATTTTTCCTTCCGTCTGAAAACCTCTCGTTCGGTGCTGTGTGTTGTCCCGGTTGGAGCCCCTGAATGGGTAAACAAACAATAACGGATCCCCTGGCCATCAGAAACACACGCGATCCACCTGTTTTGATGTCCATCAACTGAGAAAAGAGAAGAGTTCTCAGCGAGCCGTTATCGTTCTAAGCAATGAACCTATGTCTGTAAAGGCGGCATGCAAACGATAGCATGTTTGATTCATTCGTTGCGAGACTTTCAGAGGGTGAATAGACCACCTCCATATCTACATTTCAAGAAGCCCCGGGACTCGCAACTCCAACAGCGCAGCTCTTCCTGTTCTTGACAGCTATCTACTAGAAGTGGCACTTTGGAGGTATAGCTAACGCCGTAGGCAGACTTTTGATGTTGGCCATTGCACAACATCTTGGTTCGCGATGTATGGCGTAGAATTAATGGAACTCTGCTGCCTCCACGAGCGGATATGGTTGTAACCAGAAGAATTTGTTCTACCTATCACACAAATGCATACCGGTTTCTACGACGAATCGAGCCGACTCGTTAAGGTCAAATCTTGAGATATGACCTGGCATCTGGTTCAGATCTGGCTTGCACCTGTAAATATGCAAAGGCGAAGTCACGCACCAGAATATGTTTCCCATGGGTCCCCCATTATCAGTCACGAACGGGGTTACAAGACCGGAGTCGTATCCTGCGCGGTCCGGTGATATTCACGCCGAAGAAGCGTGTAACGGACGAACCCTTACTTTAACCTTTCTTTATCTCTACCTGAAACCGCAACGCCCAGTCAGTGAACTCGTCCTTCTCGCCCTCCCACGGCTTGACCAGTAGCTCCGAGGCGGCGAATGCGTCGAAGAAACAGTCATCCATCAACCGGTCAATTTCAGAACGGTCTAGTTCGTAAAATGCCAGGGCTAAGCTGCCGAACCTCTCCGGGATCCTTTTGAGAACAAACATAATCTCGTCTAGTCGACCTTGCGTATCCGAATCCGAAGCCGGGGGCAGGTGTGGCAATGGCTTGAGTCTGCGCTTCACTGTGGCCTGGTAAAGCAGGGTAGTTAGGCGCAGCCTCTTGACACACGACTCCAGACGCTCCCGTATTTTATCCGGATCATCGCGTGGGATGTGCCGCTGCGAGTTCATCAGGTCGTCGAGAATAGTTTGAGCATCTCGCGTCCTAGACACCGACGTGGACTCATGATGCGGAGTAGCCTGGACAAAAGAATCACTGCCCTCATCTTCGCTGTTCTCGTCTTCGTCGTCCTCATCACCATCCGTCTCTTCTCCCCACTCTTTTAGCTCCTCCATCACATCTTTGAGAGTGTCCCGGAGCTGCTCGACCTTATATGCTAGGGCACCAGCAAATCCGCGCTTGGCGAAGGCCATAACCTCATCACAAGCAGCCCACAACACGCCCGTGGTGGCAATGCTGCCTCTCCCCCCTGCTGCCCCTACCGAGGCATTCTTCTTGGCGTCGGAAAGAACCTTGCCATCCTTGGGGATCCGTGACAAGAGCTGCTTCAACTCCTTGAAGACCCGGCCGGCTCGCCAAGCTAGATCTTGCTGTATGGTGCGCGTGTACCGCTCCGGTGTGCACACTTCAACTGCAGCGGCCAAGCTGGGCACGGGGCCTTCGACGAGCTCTCGAAGGACCTTCGCAATCGCTGTTGGAGTGAACGGCTCGTTGATGATGAGGAGGGAGATCTTGGTAGCATGGGCCTTGATCAACGCGGTGGAATCGTGGGCGAGAGATAATGCATCAAGAGGGCCAGTTGCCGCAGCGAGCTGCTCGTCTATGGGCTGAGTTTTGTTTTCGTGGTTGACTCGCTTTTGCGCCGCAATGCTCGACACTACGGCGTCGAGTTGGCCGACAAGAACAAGCGCATTACCGATGACGGAGTTGAGCGCCTCGAGGGGGTCGCTGGACATGATTGTTGCTTATCTTGAAATAGGGATGGAGTTAAAAAGGAAACTTGCTGTCCGCCTCCCCTGTGCTCAACATCTGTTGGAGGGGGGATGGGGGGGTTGATGGCGGGGCAGTGAATTTTTGGAAAGTCGGGGTGCGTGCGCAAGGTATCTACGGGTAGTTATTCGCACAGTGTACAAAGAAGCTGAATGCCAAGCAAGTCTTCCATGTCTTGGCGCTCTGCTGCAGCTTGGCTGAAGAGCTCCAATCCTCAATTGATGGGACAACTGCCAGCTGCCAGCTGCCAGTTGCCAGACTGTCTCAAGTTGGCAAGCTGTCCTGTCCTTGAACTTCAACCTGGAGATCAACGGATGTCGCAGCTCCCAGGAACTTGCACATCTCTCATGTTTGTTTCTGTCCAACGCGGGAGGACGCCAATAGGATAATCATGCGAAGGGTAAGCGCATTGGCGCTTTTGAGCGTTCTTGCTCACGGTACCTTGACGGCAGCCGACAGCTTGCCGCGAGGCGTTGGGCCTGAGTGTAAGTTATCGTCGTCTTTCCTAAGCCGCTACTGCAGTCAATGACTACAACGCCGTCCATCCGGAGGACGTGATACGCATGGTGTTAAGGGAAGCGTCCCCAAGGTCAACTATTAACCCCTGAGCAGTCGTCAAATTCTACGCGAGCAAATCTACCTTCACATGTATCGGCAACCCCTCTATTACCCTCGATCCGTCCCAAGTCAATGACAACTCCTGCGATTGCCCCGATGGCTCTGACGAGCCAGGCACGGCTGCCTGTGCGCACATCGACGCACTTTCGCCCGAGCAACCCCTTCCTGGGTCGATCACGGGCACCACCAACACAACCAATGCCCTCCCGGGCTTCTGGTGTGCCAATGCAGGCCACATTGGAGCATACGTACCATTCATGTACGTGAATGATGGGGTATGCGACCACGATATATGCTGCGATGGCAGTGACGAGTTTGCGCACGTTGGCGGGGTCCAATGCGAGAATCGTTGCGACGCGATTGGCAAAGAGCATCGTCGGCTCGAAGAAGAGCGCAGGCAGAATAAGGAGCGGTCAGCTAAACGGCGGCGAACTATGGCCAAGGAAGCCCGAGAGCTGCGCCGAAGAGTGGAGACCAAAGTCACTGCCTTGAAGGCGGAACTTCAGGGACTCGAGATCAAGAAGGAGGAGATGCAAAAGAAATACGAAGAGGTCGAGCGCTCCGAGCGCAACAAGGTCGTCAAGGTCGACGGACAAGGGGGGAAACTTGGCGTTCTTGTTGGTCTAGCGAAAACCCGGGTTTCCGAGCTCCGCAATGCTCTGGACAAACTGTTGGACCAGCGCGATGACCTGCAGGACAGAGTTGATCAGCTCGAGGATATTCTCACCAAGTTCAAGGAAGAATATAACCCCAACTTCAATGATGAAGGTGTCAAAGCCGCGGTCAAGGGTTGGGAGGACTACGCGGCTGCTCAAACCGGCGAGAAACAGGCCGAACTATCGGACGCGGATATTATGGAGATGCTGAAGGAAGACGGTGAGGTTTCTGGGATTAACTGGGCTGAGTTCGAGAACTCGGACGCCAGTGACGTAGACGTCGGTATGTCTCCCCAACCCGACGCCCACTCCCCTCCAACCGTTTGGCTAATAAGTGTAGTCTACAACTGGGAAGCTTACCTCCCAAGCCCCGTCAATGACTTCATCCGCGACAAGATCAATGTCTTGCGTATTTGGGCCATCGACAACGGCATCCTTGCTGACAACCGCAGTGGTGCTGGAGAGTCTCGTCTGGTGACGGCAGCCAGGGAGGCGCTAGATGCTGTGAAGAGCGATATTTCGTCCAGGACATCAAGTCTGGAAGAGCAACAGCGTGATTTAGAGAAAGACTACGGCATGGACGACATTTTTCCGTGCTCTCAAGGGGAAGTGCGTCAGTAGCGACGTCGGCGAGTACGAATACGAGTTGTGCTGGATGGATCGTACAATGCAGAAAAGCAAGAAGGGCCACGGAAACACCAATATGGGCAACTTCGTGCGCATCGACAAGGCGTTGGCAGACGAGGAAGAACGGGCCGATGGGAAGAGTCTGGGCAAGGGCGAAAGAATGGTGCTGCGGTACGAAAACGGCCAAGGCTGTTGGAATGGCCCGAACAGGAGGACCGATGTCTGGCTCACATGCGGGGAGACGGACGAGTTGTGGCGTGTGTCAGAGTCCGAAAAGTGCGTCTACAAAATGGAGGTGGGCACTCCCGCTGCCTGCGAAGACGTGCAAGAGCCGGGGGTGCAGGCCAAGGATGAGCTGTAGACATTTGCGTTTGTCACGCAGTAGGCGGTCGTCATGATAAATCGCAGTTAGGTATGCTTTTGGGCAATGTATAGATGGTATTAGAACCAGTCGTGTTAGCATCGACTCCTGCATCATTCGTTCCTAACAAGGTTCGGGTGCAGTTCCATGAATGATCTCATGCAGTTGGTATTGATTATACACACAGATCAACCGTTGGAGGTACGATAACTGTTTTCATCGCTCATCTCGCTTCGGCGGCCAACTTGCGCCGTTTGTTGCGCTCCTCCTGTTCTGCTAAAACTCTCGCCGTGAGTGAGGCCGTCATGGCATTATTTATACCACTCACTCGGTTGCTAGCATTTGACTTCGAAACTGCCTTGACCGCCGACCCGTGTTCTCCGTGAGCCCCCTTGGCCTTTTCAGATTTCGCTTTTCCATCCCCTTCCGCATCCTCCGCCTTGCGCTTCTTCTTCCCGTTACCCTTCTCCTTCTTCAGGCTGTGTGTAAGCCCGCTAGCCTTGAGATTGCTGATTCTCTCCGTGAGATGATCGAGTTCTGCATTTTCAGTCGGCAAGATTGGGATAACGTCTCCAGCCCCAAACTTCTCGCTGCATTCCGGGCAAACATCCTCTTGAATCTGCTTGATGGCAGCATCGGCGAATACGTGGCCGCACGGGACGAGATATACCGTCTTTGTCGCGGGGCCAAGCTCTTTCAGCGATACTGGGCAAGCCCAGATCTCCTGGCCTTTGGATGCGGAGGGCTCGTAGCGCTTGATCTTGAGCTTGACGATATCGCGCAGTGATTTAATGCCTGTTGACGTGAACGACAACTCCGGCGACTCACCATGCACGAGCGCGGGGGCAGCGGCCTCGTGGTCATCGCCGCTTGGCATTAATCCTCTGAGAACTGACTCGTAGTTGTAGAGACGCCCTCGCCAGTCAGATACCACGTTTTCCATGTCGAGCCGCTCCGACGTCAAGGGGTCGTAGGCCCAGGCATGGGTGAGGTTCTCAAGCGCAGTTGCTTTGAGCTCGCTCACGGTCGGCGCCCGCGCAGCTGACTTAACAAGCTCGCGGCGTTTCGGAATCGAACCGCCATCGTTGCCCATCGCGGGAAAGTTCTGATGCTTGCTTGATTGTGTTGTGATTGTTTTGCAAACGCCGAAGTTCAGTCAGGTGTGAGCGAGGAGGAACCTCGATACCTAAGATGTTCAGCAGAATGGATAGTAGTGAGTATAACGCTAATGAAAGGGAAGGAGGCAACGACAGATGACCTGCGGCCCGTGCTATTATAGAGTTTGGTTACCACCCGTTCCTGGCCCAGAACGCTAGCGGCATGGTGCCTTAGGGGGCCACCGGGGGCTGAGTTCGGGCGGCGGGTCCAATGGCACGTGCGTACCCTACCCCACGTCAGTGTCGAGGCTCGAGTGACGCCGATGCACCTGGCACCCCGAATCGGTAGGTACCTTTTCGGACACGGTGCCACTGTGCTCGACCTTCACCTCTTCTTCGCAAGAGCGAAAATACTCCTAGTGACACACAACCAGCGGCCTGGTCTAGCGAATGAGCACCAATAACCATAACTATACCGTGTCTACACTCTAGTTTCCCGACCGCGGCCGATTGCCGAACCAGCGACAACTTCTACGCAAGGCTCGTCAAACATTGAATACAAACACGCCGCACTTGTGGAGTTCGAGCGACAATAAGGTGCTGGCTTTTGAACTGGCAGGGGCATCCGAAACCCTCTCATCCCAACGCGAACGGCCGCCCGAACATCTCGGTCTGGCCTGAGCCTGGCCTGTGACCCGGAGCACGACAGCCGACTATGGGCCGGCGACAACCGACATAGCGCTTCAAGGCTCGACGAGACCACCAAGTCGTTCAGCGAGGCTTGGAGAAATCCAAAACACCGACGAGATGTCGATCATCAGAGATCAAGCGGCCACCGCGCTGGATCAATACATCAAAGAAGTCAGGAATCGGTGCGTTGCCCTACCACCAAGGCTCCTTTGTGGAAGCGCCTTCCGAATGACACCGGCTGACTTCCATGCACGCGATAGGAGCTATGCTGAAGACCAACGAAAGCGCGCTGCGCGACAGGTCCGGGACCTGGTTAATATCGCCAAGCAAGGTGAGAGCTGCCACTACGGCGACCTGCCTAGTACCTTGGTCGAGTTACTGACCCGCGAGCAGAGATGGGCGCAGAGCAATTCCAACGGTTTTTTGACACCGTTAATCAAAGGACCATGGCCTTGATCCAAGGCACCGATACGTATGATAAGATGGGGGGCGTCTACATCCTCGACGCCTTGGTGGACTTCGAGGGCATCGAGCCCGCATTGAAATACAGTCGCTTTCAGCAATACATCGGAACTATATTGCGCGGGAAGGATCTCAATCCCATGCAACCTGCCGCTGTAGTTCTGGGCAAGATGTGCAAACCGGGCGGTTCTCTGATATCCGAGCTTGTTGACGCCGAGATGCACACTGCGCTTGAGTGGCTACAATCGGATCGCGTGGAGGAGAGGAGATACAGTGCCGTCTTAGTCCTCCGTGAGCTGGCGAGGAATGCGCCTACCCTGATGTATCCATACGTCGGCTTCGTCTTCGATCAAATCTGGATCGGCCTGCGGGATCCTCGCCACTTGATCCGGGCCACCTCGAGCGAAACCGTCAGCGCCTGCTTCAAAATAATCCGGGAGCGTGACCAGGAGATGAAGCAGGAGTGGATGGATAAAATGTTCACGGAAGCGGTCAAGGGCCTCAAGACCAACACCGTGGAATACATCCACGCCTCTCTCCTCGTTCTCAAGGAGCTTCTTGAGCAGGGGGGCATGTACATGCAGAACCACTACCAAAACGCCTGCGAGATCGTTTTCCGCCACAAGGATGCGCGCGACTCCGCAATTCGCAAGACGGTCGTCTTTCTTATTCCAGATTTAGCCAACTACGCCCCCACCGAGTTCGGCGCGACCTACTTGCACAAGTTCATGGTTTACCTCTCTAGTATGCTCAAGAAGGAGAAGGAGCGGAACGATGCGTTCCTGGCCATTGGTAACATTGCGAACTCTGTCAAGAGCTCCATTGCGCCTTATCTAGATGGCGTCCTGATCTATGTCCGCGAAGGGCTCAGTGTGCAGTCCCGCAAGCGAGGCTCTGTCGACCCTGTATTCGATTGCATCAGCCGGCTCGCAGTAGCGGTGGGCCAAACGCTGAGCAAGTACATGGAGGCGTTGCTCGACCCCATCTTCGCCTGTGAGCTCACGCCGAAGCTGACTCAGGCGCTGGTCGACATGGCTTTCTACATCCCTCCTGTCAAGGGTACCATACAAGAGCGCTTGCTCAACATGCTGAGCAAAGTCCTCTGTGGCGAACCCTTCCGGCCGTTGGGGGCACCTCATCCGAATCCTCTCTCCTCCATTCCGCCCATCCCCAAAGATCCCAAGGACCCGTCGGTACACGAGCGAGGAAAGGCCGAGGTGAAGCTTGCCTTGAACACACTCGGCAGTTTTGATTTTTCAGGTAATTAGCCCCTTTCCTCACCCCGCACCCTCAACAAAGGCTGGAGTGCCATTCTTCAATGGCTGTTTACTGCGCCAGAAACGTATCAAGCAATAGTAGAACAGGTACTAACTTTGTGTAAAGGCCACGTCTTGAACGAATTTGTCCGCGATGTTGCTATCAAATATGTGGAAGATGACGACCCGGAAATCCGCGAGGCCGCCGCGCTAACCTGCTGCCAACTATATGTGCGCGATCCTATCGTTAACCAAACCAGCTACCACGCTTTACAGGTCGTCGCCGACGTCGTTGAAAAACTGTTGACCGTGGGCGTCTCAGATCCTGAGCCCAAAATCCGTCGGACGGTTCTTGCCGCCCTCGACGAACGGTTCGATCAGCATCTCGCCAAGGCTGAGAACATCCGTACGCTATTTTTTGCTCTTCATGATGAGCAATTCGCGGTGAGGGAGGTTGCCGTGTCAATCATCGGTCGGCTGGCTCGCCACAACCCAGCATATGTCATCCCCCAACTGCGCAAGACCATCATCCAAATGTTGACCGAGCTGGAATACACTGATGTGGCGAGAAGTAAGGAGGAAAGCTCAAAGCTCCTCAGCCTGTTAACTCAGCATGCTCAAGACCTAGTCAAGCCCTACGTCAGCTCCATCACCGAAGTCCTTTTGCCAAAGGCTTCTGACCCGACCCCGTCTGTCGCGGCCACCATTCTCCAGGCGATTGGCGAGCTCTGCACGGTTGGGGGTGCGGAGATGCTCGCTTACAAGGATACGCTCATGCCCATTATCATTGACGCCTTGCAGGATCAGAGCGCACCCATCAAACGAGAGGCAGCTCTTCACACCCTCGGGCAACTCGCCAGTAATGCCGGCTACGTCATCAAGCCCTACCTCGAATATCCACAGCTTCTTGAGATCCTGCAATCGATCATACGGGGCGAACCCCAACATGGCCCGTTACGGCAGGAGACCATCAAGCTCATGGGGATTCTGGGCGCGCTAGATCCTTATAAACATCAGGTACAGCTCATCACTTCCTCTACACCCTTTCACCACGCCCATTTCTCGTCGTTGTCGCTTGCCAGCCCCACCATGGCAGATTCGGACGACGAGGGAAACGAGTCTGAGGACGACGGACTCGTGCACCCTTCTTTCCTACTAGAAAAATATTTGAAACTCAAACAACCGTTCAGAGAGAAAACTAAAACCAGAAAACAGCAGGTCGAAGAGCGAACGCCGCAAACCCAACGCCGCCCCGAGGCTACCCAGTTAACCGACGTGTCTCTCATGATGGGGGGGCTTACCCCATCGCAAGAAGACTACTACCCCACTGTCGTTATCAATGCTCTGCTACAGATTTTGAAGGACCAATCTCTGCTGCAATGGCACGGCAATGTGGTCGATGCTATCATGAGTATCTTCATCACACTGGGACTCAAGTGCGTCCAATTCCTAGACCGGGTGGTTCCCGCCTTCATTGCCGTCATCAGAGCCTCGAGCCCTACAAGACTCGACTACTACTTCAATCACTTGAGCCGACTCGTTGGCATTGTGCGCCAGCATATCCGTGTCTACCTCCCGGACATCATCGAGGTACTGCAGGAGTTCTGGAACACAACGTCCTCGCTGCAGACGACCATCATGGCGCTCATTGAGTCAATCTCTCGGTCGCTGGAGGGGGAGTTCAAAATCTACCTTGCCCAGTTTGCTCCCATTGGTGCTCGGGGTGCTAGAAAGGGACACAAGTACAAAGCGTCAGCCAACCGAGAAGATATTCCACGCCTTCCTAGTCTTCGGCTCCAGCGCGGAAGAATACATGCATCTCATCGTCCCCATTCTTGTACGGTTATTCGACAACCCAGCGCAGCCCATGTTCTTAAGGAAGTCGTCAATCGAAACGATTGGCAAACTTTCAAGCATGGTCAACCTCAACGACTACGCGTCCAAAATCATCCATCCTCTAACCAGGGTCCTCGCCAGCCAGGAGCCCAGCCTCCGGGTAGCCGCCCTTGACACCCTTTGTGCGCTCATGCTACAACTTGGGCGTGACTACCTGCATTTTGAGCACACTGTCGAAAAGACCATCACCATGTACGGTATCCAACATTCCAACTACGACAAAGCGGTAGAGAAGCTCAGGAAGGGCGAGGCACTTCCTCAGAACCTTGCCCCCCGGTTCGAGGATAACTCTGTGGAGCCTTACACATCCGAGAACAACCCGCCAAAGAAGCTTGATCTAAACCCTGTGCATTTAAAGCAGGCATGGGAGACGAAGGGGAAAGCCACCAAGGACGACTGGCACGAATGGTTCCGCAAGTTTAGCACAACGCTGCTTTCAGAGTCGCCGAATCACTCCCTCCGAGCCTGTGCCAGCCTGGCGAGCAACTACCAACCCCTCGCCCGAGAGCTCTTCAACTCCGCCTTTGTCTCTTGCTGGAGTGAACTCTACGACTCCTACCAGGTATGGCCCCTAAATTCTCTGCCACTGGGCATTGTCTCTAACTTGAACTGTCCATCTAGGAGGAACTCATCACAAACATCGAAAACACAATAAAATCTGAGAATGTGCCGCCTGACCTTCTCGGCCAGCTCCTTAATCTAGCAGAGTTTATGGAGCACGATGACAAGGCACTTCCCATTGATATCCGTATCTTGGGACGCGAGGCGGCAAGATGTCACGCCTACGCCAAAGCGCTTCACTACAAGGAGCTTGAATTTCTGCAAGACCACAACAGTCACGCGGTAGAGGCCCTCATCGTGATCAACAATCAGCTACAACAGTCCGATGCCGCCATTGGCATTTTGCGTAAAGTCAAAGCTTACAAGGACGGGATCCAACTCCGAGAGAGCTGGTTCGAGAAGCTAGAGCGCTGGGACGAGGCACTCAACTTCTACTGCCAGAGAGAGCGGGAGCTCCCAGAGGACCAACCCACGCCCGTCGACATTGTCATGGGCAAAATGCGCTGTTATCACGCATTGGGCGAATGGGACTCACTTGCCTCGCTAGCTGGCAAGACGTGGGCCAACTCGGGCCCGGAAATTCAGCGAAGGATTGCGCCATTGGCGACAACAGCCGCTTGGGGTCTTGGAAAATGGGACTCGATGGACACCTATTTGCAATCGATGAAGCGCTTCTCGCCTGACCGCGCCTTCTTTGGGGCTATTCTTGCCCTGCATCGGAACCAATTTCGGGAGGCACTGGGCTGCATCGAGCAGGCTCGCGAGGGTCTTGACACGGAGCTTAGCGCGCTCGTCAGTGAATCGTACAATCGCGCCTATCAGGTTGTCGTGAGGGTTCAGATGCTTGCTGAGCTGGAAGAGCTCATAGTCTACAAGCAGTGTGGGCCCGAGAAGCGCGCCACTCTGCGGGCGACTTGGGAAACTCGTCTCAAGGGCTGCCAACGCAACGTCGAAGTTTGGCAACGAACGCTTCGGCTGAGGTCTCTGGTTCTCACCCCGCAGGAGAATATGCACATGTGGACTAAGTTCGCCAACCTGTGCCGGAAATCAGGGCGGATGGGCCTCGCCGAGAAATCCCTTAAGCAGCTCATCGACACTGATGCTCCGCTAGAATCCGTCATTCCTTATTGGTTCGAACAGCCAACTAGCCCGGGCCTGGAACGCATCGCGTCTCCGATCGTATATGCAGTACTCAAATTCCAATGGGAGATCGGCCAGCAACCAGGTGTCCGGAGCTCAGACCGTGGCATCGCCGAGCGCACCCTGTATTGCCTGCACAGGTTCACCGAAGAAACCGCCCATCGCGTCGAGAGCGCAAGGCTACAGTTAAATGCCTCTGCCCAAGCCACAAATTCCATGGGCGACGGCCTGAACCACACAAGGTACGCCGACTTCGACGAGACGGTCCTCGGCCCCGATGCGCAACGCCAATGGCTCGAACAAACTGTGCTGCTCGCGAAATGTTACCTTCGACAGGGTGATTGGATGATCACACTTGGCAAGAACGATTGGCAACATACACGGCGCCAGGACATCTTAGACTGTTATTCCAAAGCCACCCACTACCATCCCCGATGGTACAAGGCCTGGCATGCCTGGGCACTGGCCAATTTCGAAGTCGTTCAAGCTCTAGCATCTAGGAAGGAGCTGGAAGGCCGATCTGAGCACAGTATCATCGTCCACCATGTCGTTCCGGCCGTGCATGGTTTCTTCGAGTCTATCGCTCTTTCATCTGGCAGCTCTTTGCAAGATACCCTTCGCTTGCTAACCCTGTGGCTCACCTATGGCGGCTACCAAGAAGTCACCACTGCCGTCACTGACGGGTTCGCGCATGTCAGCGTTGATACCTGGCTGGAGGTCATTCCGCAGCTCATTGCCCGCATCAACCAACCCAACAGGCGGGTCCAGGCGTCGATTCACGCTCTACTGTCTGATGTTGGGCGCGCGCACCCACAAGCCCTAGTATACCCGCTTACGGTCGCAATGAAGTCGAGGCAAAGCACGCGGCGATCCAAAACGGCCAGCTCGATAATGGAGAGTATGCGTCAACACAGTCCCAAGCTCGTAGAGCAGGCCGACATCGTAAGCCGCGAGCTTATCAGGGTCGCGGTTTTATGGCACGAACTCTGGCACGAAGGGCTTGAGGAGGCTTCCCGTCTGTATTTCGGCGACCACAATATTCCAGGCATGTTCGACGTTCTGGAGCCTCTCCATGACTTGCTCGAGAAAGGGCCAACGACCCTCAGGGAGATCTCGTTCACGCAGACATTCGGTAGGGACCTCAGCGAGGCGCGTGAATGGTGCCGCCAATACCGTCATTCTCAAGACGTGAATGACATCAGTCAAGCCTGGGATCTCTACTATCAAGTTTTCCGCCGTATTAGCCGACAGCTCCCGCAGATGACAAGCCTCGAGCTAACGTACTGTTCGCCGGACCTGCTCCAAGCTCGGGATCTCGAGATTGCAGTACCCGGGACGTACCGCAGCGGTCAAGATATTGTCAAAATCATGGGATTTGAGGGCACCGTCAGCGTCATCAGTTCAAAGCAGCGGCCAAGAAAGCTTGCCATAATCGGGGGCGACGGAAAAACTTACTCGTTCTTACTCAAGGGTCACGAAGATATCCGGCAGGATGAACGCGTCATGCAGCTTTTTGGCCTTTGCAACACGCTCCTAGCTAACGATTCCGAGTCCTATAAGCGGCATCTCAACATCCAACGCTACCCAGCGATCCCCTTGTCGCAGAACTCTGGTCTCCTTGGCTGGGTGCCGAACAGCGATACCGTCCACCAACTCATCCGAGAATACCGGGAATCCAGAAAGATTCTCCTCAATATCGAGCACCGGATCATGCTACAAATGGCACCAGACTACGATAATTTGACGCTTATGCAGAAGGTCGAAGTGTTTGGATATGCGTTAGACAACACCACAGGCCAAGACCTGTACCGCGTTCTCTGGCTCAAGAGCAAAAGCTCCGAGGCCTGGTTGGACAGAAGGACCAATTATACGCGTTCCCTCGGCGTGATGTCGATGGTTGGATACATTCTGGGTCTGGGAGACAGACACCCTAGTAATCTGATGCTCGACCGGATCACGGGAAAGATCATCCACATCGACTTTGGCGACTGTTTTGAGGTGGCAATGAAACGGGAGAAGTACCCGGAGCGAGTGCCCTTCAGACTAACCCGCATGCTCACTTATGCCATGGAAGTTAGCAACATCGAGGGCAGTTTCCGCACAACGTGCGAGCATGTTATGAGGGTCTTGCGAGACAACAAGGAGAGCGTGATGGCTGTCTTGGAAGCTGTGAGTAGCATCTGGTATCCCCGACGGGCTAAATCCCAAGCTCTAGCAAACGTACTTCGAGCTAATCATCTATACTTCTTTATTTAGTTTATCCACGATCCGCTACTCACATGGCGCCTCACAAACCCGGCCAGCCCGCCTGGGCCTCACTTCAACTCTGAACGGGAACAAGCTATTGCTGGGCCTCAAGCTGGGCGCGCGCGCCGGCCCTCGGTCCTCGACGGCCCCGTGGCCCCTACCGAATTCTTGGCCGCTCAAACCACCGCAGGGCCGGATGGTATGATGGGTGCTCCCCCGGGTGCCCGTGGTCGCGCGCGTACCAATTCTTCGGTGGTTGCGCCAAGCAGCATGGCAAACGGCAATGGCCCTAATGAGATGGCCGAGGTACAGAACGCACGAGCAGTCGAAGTACTCGATCGCGTCGCGCAAAAGCTTACCGGTCGGGACTTCAAACCGGACGACGAACTCACGGTGAACGAGCAAGTCAACAAGCTGATCATCGAGGCCACCAAACTCGAAAATCTCTGCCAACATTACATTGGGTGGTGCAGTTTCTGGTGATATCACGGCAACCCACAATGGGCCCTGCTCGCTGTAGGCAATCACCAGCACTTCTTGTAGCATATGTATTCTGTTCTTGTTTGGTCTACGCCAGAACTAGCAGCGCCTTGTGCCCATACTCACTGGCCATTTTGTCATTCCCTTTTCTCATGGTACTGTTTTGTCATTTCTAAGGGGGGCGGGGGGGGGGGAGGCGTATCTTGGCCCTGCTTCAGATCTTGTCTTTTACCCCATTTTAATGTGATACGGTGCCCTAATCTCATGTGATCCCTGGGCGGGCAGACAGAGCCGGGTCTCTCACAAGAACCCTGCCCGGCAACAGAAATATCTCCTGTTTCCCCGCTCTTGGTGTCCAGTGCAGTAGTAGATGGCCATAGTAACCTCGCATATAACGCCTATATTGAATATCTTAAACGGGCTGCGTGCAAGAAATCCGGGACTGGCTACTGTGCCACTGTGACAATGATGATGGGTGAATATACTAACGCGCGATGATGCCTCTCAATATGCCGAGGCCCGGCGAGCGTTCCCCATATTACACTCACCCCAGGGCTTCGGCACTTGTGCAGCAGCAGCATCCCAGTTCCGAACATGCTTAAGCCCTTGGTCGGCCCCTACACTAAACCACTACTTTGTTGTGATGGTTCACACGTATCTGTTATGACAGCAGATGCTTAGCCTCTTCGTTCACAAGTTATTACGATGCGCTCTATCGGTGCTTTCTCTTCTATAGTTATCCTTTTCGGCGCACTGCAAGCCGTGTTTGGACACCCCCTAGCCACCCAAGCAGCTGAATGCGACCGCTTGGTTTTGGCTAAGGCATCTGATGCTTACATCGCCACACAAGCGGCGGGCAACGTTACCCTGCTTCAGAGGGTTGTTTCCGATGGTTGGGAATACGAAGAAAACAACAAAAGGAAGGACCCCGCCCAAGGGGTACTGAGCAAGGCGCTCAAAATCGACCACCGCCGCACCAACTTTGACCTCGTGGCATGCGCAACGTACACCGAGGTTATCGTCAGCGACCCAGCCAATCCCTATGTCATTGGAACCCAGATCCGCCACGGAGATGATGGCCGTGTCACACTCATCGACACCATCGCCTCTACGACAAATTCGTGGCTGTTTGACGCCAAGAAGACGCTTGAGTACGTGCTGGGGGAAACATGGGATCCAATCCCCGAGGACAAACGTGACAAGAGGGATTTTATCCAGGCTGCTGGTGATGCCTATCTTGACATGTGGAGCAACGCTACAGCCTCAACAGCTGTTCCCTGGGGAACGCCCTGCGTTCGACTCGAAGGGTCTGTGTATACCGGAAAGGGGAGGCCTGACGACTCTTGCAAACCCGGAATCCCGTCCAACTCCAGCCAGGCGCCCAATACCCGCCGCCGGTATGTTATTGACGAGGCCATGGGATCAGTTAGCATCTTCTGTGTTTGGGAGCACATGATGATGGCGGCTGACAGTCACGAATTCCGTCTCGAAGGTGGGAGGCTCCGTTATGTACACACAATGACAGAGTGTGGTGGTCAGCGATGTACGCTGTGATTTTAATTACGAATCTGCCAAATGAAAGGGACAGATGATGTAGCAAGAACAAGCTGGGTATCTGGTATTTTTATATAGAGCAAGAGATAGGACAGGTGAAATACCGGTTGCTGCGGTACAGCTGAAGCCTCGTAAGCCCTAGTGAGTGTGAGGGGAAGTCATCATCTATCCACCCCAAGCCGACAACCGCCCTCGCCAACCACCAGATAAGACGACCAGCGATCGCCCGGGGCCGACGACCTACTTCGCTAGTATAATCGACGGCCTTCGGCTGTCAACTTCCTAGATTGTGGTTGTCTCTGGCCCTGGGCTTGATGGCTTGGTCCGTCTACTGGCTCGTGCTCAATTGTCAGCTACAATGACTTAACTTACCTAGCCACCTACTAGCTTCTCTATATTATAGGTATGAGGACTATATATAAATGGTTACGAGCGTTGTGGGTGCGAACGATGGTTGTGTTGTTGAGTCACAGCGCTACCAAATGTAAGATTATATACAATTAAGCAGCGAAGACTATATAACATCTAATCGCTCTCTAAGAAGTATTGAAGAAAGGTCTTGTAATAGAAACGACTCTTCTATAGAGATTTATAAGGGGAGTATCTTTACTCTCCTCTTTATAAAATAAGTTAGCTAAGATTAATAATAATATTCCAATTACTTTAACTTATAAGATAACGTAGTAAGGAAGGGTAAATATTATTAATAAAATTGCTGGCGTCGCTTCGTTCGTCAGTCGCGCGGCCCTTCGCTACGCTACGGGGCGCTTGCTTCCTCTCTCCCGCTCCTGGCAATTTTCCTGTCCCTCTCCGGAGGACAATCCGGGTCAGGGTTGAATACGGGAGAGACGAAGCGCCAATATCTGTCCGTCGGCCAACAACTCCATCTACTTGAGCGGTCTTCTTACACTTAACTATAGCTACTAATCGTTTCTATTCTGCCACTCACGTTACGTCTCTACAGTCACGTCCTCGCTACTTACAAATCAATTAGACTCTGAGGGAACCTCCCCCGCCACAGCATCTAACGCCTGCAGCTGCCTGGTAGCGTGATCGGACAACTTCAACCCCATAGCTCGTGATGGTGTCTCGCGGTAGATCCTGCTGCGGTCGAAGGGCCGCTCAAACATCAGCCCGCCGGGTGTCTTCACCCGCGAGACGGCCACGTAGGAAAGGCCAGAAGCAAACTCTGGCGCAGAGATATCGCAGACGACCTTGTCCAGGGTGATGCTCTGTGACTTGTGGACGGTGATCGCATAGCTGACCAGCAGCGGGAACTGGTCTCTCGAACATGAGTTGGCGCCGACCATGAAGTCCTGCCGCACTTGGAGGATGGGAACAGCCAGTTTCCCTCCACTACGGAGCGGCTCCCCGTTCGGCATCGTGAAGGCCGGGCCGTCGTAGTCATCGAAGGCCACCATGATGACCTCGGGCGGGTCTCGCAGCACGTCGGCACCTTCTTTCCAGGATATGTCGTAGACTGTCCCCTGTGCGCCGTTGACGAGCCCGACGTCGGCCCACAAATTCCGCGTCAGCATCACCCTGCAGCCAACACACAAGGGCAAGCGCTTGGCCAAGTTGCCGGCATTTGAGGATCCAACCTTTTCCGCACTAACACCCTCGTGCTTTGCCTCGACCTGAATGGCGGGGCTGTCCAGGCCAGGCATGTGTTGGTGGTTGTACTCGACGACCTGGGTCTTGGTGGGATAGATGCGAAGCGCATCAGCAAAGCTTTCAACCTCCTCGGGTGAGAGCTTGACAGAACACCTCGAAGAAAGGAGCTCCCAGGAGGGTACCGACACATCAGCCATTCGCAGTTCTTCCAAGGCCCGCCGGAAAGAAGCCTGGTCTTCGCCCTGCTGCCGCTGTATCGTGGTCAGGAACACGGACTTGTCGAATGAGAGGTACGCGTTGCGCCCGACCATCTCGATATCCTTCAGGTCGTCGCGCGTTGAGTACAGCGGCTTGTTCAGAACGGGGGGAAGCTGGAAGAAGTCCCCGATCAGGATAACGCTGAGGCCGCCGAAGAACTCGTCGCGATTCTCCGGGAACACCTCTCGTAGGCGCTGGTCGATCCACGCGAGGGTCTTGAGGCCGAGCATGCTCTTCTCGTCAATCACGAGGTAGTGGATACCCCTGAACCGCCGCTGCAAGGCGATGGAGGGGTCGTCGGGGGTCTCGGAGAGCGAGCGGTAATTGCCGCCGACGGGGAGTCGCAGAAGGGAATGCAGAGTCTGTCCCCCGATCTGGTTGCTCGCCACGCCCGTCGGAGCTGCTCTGACGATGGGGGAGGGCCGGCCATAGAAAGCCGCCTTGGCCTGAAGATGAGAAAATATCACCTTCACCATATACGACTTGCCAGTCCCACCCCTCCTCCATCGATCTGCAGCCAGAGGGGCGGAGGCCGACGGTTCTCGTTCTTCGCCCTGAAGTGGCGCATAATCGTGTCGTATACCTGACGCTGCTGTGTGTTCAGCGTATCACGGGCTGCGAGAGGCATATCTTCCACGTCGTAATTGCCTGGAGTCCCTCCGCGAAGCTGCACCTAGTAGCTCCCAGTAATGAACTCCTCGTAATAATAGCGGCCGACGTGTCGCGCCCAGTCGTAGTTGACATCCAGGTCTCGGCGGCCAAGCAAGTCGGCCCGTTCATCGGGAAGCTCAATGTCGGGGACCAACCGCGCCATCTCCTGCCAGTCCTCGACCGGGTAATGTCCCCGGCGTCCCCCTCTGGCTCAAACTCCTCCTCATCTGGAGACGGATCAGGCTCGTCAACCGTGCCGTAGTGGTCGTCCGGGTGGTCGTGATGCTCAAGGCAGTAGCGATAGGCAGATGCGTGGTTGTCGAACTGTCGATCATCAACCTGGGACAGATCTTCCGTCTGGCGGTGGGGATGGCTTAGCAGCAGCTTGACCCGGCAGAAGTCGGAGTACTGCTGATGTGAGCGAACTGGCTTGTAACTACCGGGGGTAATAATACAACACCCTAGGCATCGCAGGCGGCCGCCAAATCGCCCATTTGTCCGCATTTCGTGCCTTGAAGTTCCAGTTTTGTAGGAACTCGAAGTAGGAGACATCCTGCATATGATCGGGCCGTCGGAGATACTTCTCGTAGACTGTCCGAGACTCTTCAATATCGCCATCCGCCGTAATGTCAATTGCACGAGCGTGTCTCTCGCGGGACCTACAGTCAACGCTCTGCACCACTCGGCTGTCCTCTTGCAGAGGGAGTCCCAGGAGGATATGACAGATCTCCTGCGCAGAGTAGTCCCTCTCTTCGATTAGTTTATTCATCATCTTTGACATAAAAGAAATCATCGGGTTGTTGTCTGATATGTGGGGAAGGATACTCTGGGCAATCTGCGCATATGTGCTAGTCCGGGCCTCAGACTTGGTGCAATACTTCCCAGCATAGTTGACAACAGCCTCCACACTCGTGCGGGGCGAGCAATCTGTATTGGCCAGCCAGCAAAGAGACACCAGTGGATTGTACTGGTTTAGGTGGGTGCCGTTGCGCTCTGTTTCGAACGACCACCAGCTCTTTCCGGGCCCCTTGATGACCGCGGCAGCCTCTCGTATAGGCCGGGGGAAGAGAAACCGACACGTGGGCTGTGGTGGCGGCGGTTCCTCTCCGGTTGTCTCTCCAGCCTCGGTTCTTGCTTCGGCCTCTCTGGCTCGCTGGGAATCCTTCTTCGTCACCCGCAGGCAGTAGGTCGACGAGCAGTGGTGTCGTTGGCAGCGGTTGACGATTCTGTTTAACCACTCCCGAGTAACGTCCATCTCCAGAGGGTCAACAGACAAAGTGTTGCCCTCGTCAGCACCCTGATCTTGCTGCGGGTTTACTGCTGTCACGTGGTATCCCCAGATCCTCGCGAAATGCTCTCTCAACTCGGGGGTTGCCATATCAGGAGCAGGGCTCCCATGGAACCAGTAGAGCCCATGAGAATGACTACTGCCGCGGCCTTGCCACTCGTACCGGTACCAAAAGTCGGCCACGTTGGACTTTTTCTTCAGCACAATCTTCCTGCAAAGCGAGTTCCGCGAGTGGAAGTGCTAGGCCGCGATATGCGGGTTCTCCCGCAACAGCCGGCGGGACTTGGCCATGCGTCTCGGCTCATCAAGCGCCTTCCACTCCTCGTACTCGGGCATGTGCTGGTAGAGGCTCTGCCAGTGCAGGTCGGCTGGGCTCAGTGTGATGAAAGCAGAGGGGACACCAAGACAGTGCGCAAAAGACTCGCACTCGCGACGTCGGCGGTACCAAAAGGGGCGTGTGTCTTTGATGACACCAGCATAGCGAGAGATCCGGTTGAGGATGGCCTGGGCCTCTGGCGTGTCCGGATCGGCAAGCGCCTCCTGCAGCGCCTCCTTCGTAAGAGGCGTTCGGTGGTTCTTGCTGACGTAGAATCGGCTATGACCCCTCGCCTGCTGCCTCATCAGAGTGTTTAGCGCGATAAATCGGAAGCTGTGATGTTTGGCAAATCGGCCATCCTCCCATTTCATGGCATGCTGGATGTAATTTTAGCAGGAGATCTTGCGCTGTCTAGGCTCGACAAAATCCGCAACTCCCCGAGGGAACAGGGTCGGGCAGGCGAGAGAGAGCAGCACATGCTTTTGATTGAACTCATCGAGGGGAGTGCGCCGGATGGAAGGCATCTGCAGCTGGTGAGCAGCCTGGGGGTCGACTGACTCTAGGGGCACTTGCTCATTGACCTCAGTAGCCCCATCATTGACTCGCCCTTGAAGCTGGTTCAATTCCGAATCATGGATTAGCGTATTGGGCACTGCGGCTTCGTCAACAACCTCTCTGTCCTCTTCCGGTTCTTCAACAGGGCCAGAATCTGCAGGCAAACCTCCAGACTCGGCGACCTCGTAGATATTCAGCTGGTCAAAGACGTCACCGTCCTCTGGCAACTGGGAGAGGTTGTTGTAGTTCCAGGTGAAATTTCTGTAGCCAAGGTGGTTGTCGGCGAGGAATCTGAGCCATGTCTCGACTGCTGCTCGGTGGACTCGGAAGCGGTTGCGGAATTGTCGATCCATCTGTTCGACCGCTTCGGATCCACGCGGTCGGAGGATGACAATGTCCAAATCCTTGGGCAGCAAGGGAAGCTCTGAGTACACCTTGCCCACGTCGCGCAAAAGTGTACAACATGCCCACGATAACTTGTATTGCTGCCCACGAACCTGACGCTGATTAGCTAGTACACTCTCTCGCAGGGAAGCATCGCATACAGTGAATACATTGACGCTGACGTGCACACGCGCAATGAAAAGCTCCTCCAACGGCTCTAGTTGGGGCAACTGTGGTGGGACCGGGCCAAAATCAAGGTTGTTCTCTGCGGAGAAAAAAAAGGTTCCTCCTGCCGTTTCTTGTCATCCTTGTCGTGGCAGCGCTTACAAACGCCATCCACCATGAGCTTGATGTCAAACCAGCGCTCCTTGCAACGCAGGCATCGTTGCATCTCCTCTGCGGCAAGCGCTTCGTCGAACTCCCTCTTGATCGCAATGTCTTCGGCCAACAGCGGCGTCTCCTGGTCATCGCCTGTAAACCGCGGACCGGGTTCGTTAAATTCGCGCGGAAGGTTTCCTTCGTGGAGGGTTTGCATGCGTGGGCGGCCGATGGGATTGTGTGCTAGCCGAGGACGTCCGCGAGGGCGTCCGCGAGACCCAACCGCGGGTTCGTTCAATTCTCGTGGAGGGTTTTCTTGGGGAAGATTTTGCGTAGGTGGGCGGCCAACAGAATTGCGTGCTAGCCGAGGGCGTCCGCGAGGGCGTCCGCGAGACTGAGCTGAAGATATAGACGGAGGATAATAGCGTTTAGGAGGGCGTCCGCCGCCGCGGGGCTGTGGCGGTGTATGTCGCAAGTCATCCGCGTCACCACCCAAACCATCTCCCTCAGCTGCTTGCACGGGTAGCAAATCGGCTCGGCTAGTCGCAGGCACCTCGTCCTGAGCATTGAGCTGCTGTTGTCGAATGAAGCCGCTTAACGTCGGGGTTTGTGAAGGCTGCACGCCATGGCGTCGCTCCACGCGGTGGTGTCTCTGGATTGTCAATCGTTGATCCCGTGCGGCTGCCATTTCTGGGGTATCTGTAGGAACGCGACCCCTTTCGTGATACATCGTGGCAAGAACGCCGTGTGTAACGTTTCGTCGAACTCCAGGTGCAAGCGCCGGTGCGAAAGGAAGGGGAAGATTTTCTCCGCGGGCGATTGCGCGAGAAATCTCAATACTTGCTCGTGACGCTTGAACCTGCGATAGGTTAGCTGAAGAAAAAAAAAAAATCGTAACTAGGGATATCACATGAAGCCTTTTCTTGTGCCGGCAACTTAGACAGTTGACAACAATCCTTCCGTTCCCGCGTGCATGGAGAAACTGATCAATGTTTTGCTCGGTGTTGCAATTAGTACATGTCTTGCGTGCCACAGCCGTCTCCACCGCCGCCTCAGTAGCGCCGCCTAGAACGACTATCACGTCTTCCATAGAAACAACCTGGAATTGAAAAGCGGCAGACGTGCAAACGGATGGAGTGGCGACGTTCGCGAAGGTCGAGCGGATTGCGAGGGCATGAATGGTGCAGTTTAGGGAGAACCAATAAGACAGGTGACGAAGTGAACTTCGAGCCGGAGCGTGGTTGTTAACTAATCAGTTTTGCATACAAATTTCTTATCAGTTTTGCATACGAATTTCTCTTATCAATTTCGCATAGTAATTTCCAAAAGTTTGAGCGCAATATTGTCCTCCGGACAGGATTATTTCCTACACCGATATGCCCGTGGGCGCGCCGGTCCTTCTACCGCTATTTACAAAGGAAACCGTACCCTATGGGCCGGACAAAAACCTCTGCCTACCCCTTCGCGACTACAATGTATGAATCCATCTAACTACGAAAAGAAAGGGGGCCCTTTGCCGGCCGCCGGACTCTCTAGCCCTCTCCCTCCACGGTTTCTAGCTCTAGCCTTCTGGCTAGACTGTACTCCAGTAGCCGGCCAGAGTCCATCAGCCAGCCCAGGACCTTCCTAACAAGCCTAACGCTACGGGCACCTACTTTCCGTAGTACGGTTTGTCAGTCCCCATGTGACCGAATCTCCCGGTGTTCCCACGGTCTCTGTAACGTTGGGTCAAGGCACCAAACCACCAAGTGATCCACAGTCTCCCTGCCTTCCCCGCACCCGCAGTAGGGGGTACGGACCTCCGGGACCTTAACCCTGGGCCTTCGTAAGGCCCTCGTACCTCTGTAGGGCTTTTTTCGTGAAAGGGAGAGCTGGGGGGTCTTCATCGGCCATCCTCCTACCAACCCCCTCTTGCCTTGGTCTCTGTTGCTCCCACCGGGCCTGCCAGGCTAGTTCCATCACTTCGCCGGTTTTCAACTTCTTGCCTCTCTTTTCTCCTGTCTTCCACCTCTGGCTAGCCCACCGGCCCACTATAATAGTGGCTTACTCGGTGGGTTGTTGGGGCCTGCGGGCCATGACGGGGCTTCTGTCCTCGGTCCTTCTTCTTCTTTCTAAACCTGCGGTAGACTCTGTTGCAAGCCTCTGTGATCAAGTGCCTCGGGGTAGTCTTTGGGGCTTCTGGTCCCACCCCTGTTTGTAGGGTCTCATTGCGTAGCCGGTCTTCGAAGTCGGCAAGCCGTTTGTTGAGGTAGAGGTCCAGTGGTGGCACCCAACGTATATATATATTATAACTTAGCTATACCTTTATTTATTTAAACTTTTAATAATTAAAAGACTCCTCTATTCTTTCTATTCCGCTTTTTGTTATGAAGATTAATATTATTTTTAATAAGAAATCTCTTCCTTTAGCTAAGGATTATAATATTAAAGATTTTATTCTAGTCCATATAAGTAATAACCTTAAATTAATGGAACGTTAAGATTTAAATACCTATTAATAATAATATTATTATTTTTTACACCGATATGCCCTGGGGCGCGCCGGTCCTTCTACTGCTATTTACAAAGGAAACCGTACCGTATAGGCCGGATAAAAACCTCTGTCTACCACTTTGAGTCAACAATCTATGAATCCGTCATACTGCAAAAGAAAGGAGGCCCTTTGCCGGCCTCCGGGCCCTCTAGCCCTCCCCATCCACTGTTTCTAGCTCCAGCCTTCTGGTCAGCCTATACTCCAGTAGCCGGCCAGAGTCCATCAGCCAGCCAAGGACCTTCCTAACAAATCTTCTGCTCCGCGCACCTACTCCCCGTAATACGGTTTGTAGGTCCCGATGTGACCGAATCTCTTTGCCGTCCCACGGCCTTTGTAACGGCGGGTCGGGGCACCAAACCACCAAGTGCTCCACCGTCTCCCTGCCTCTCCCGCACTCGCAATAGGGGGTACGGACCTCCGGGACTTTCACCCTGAACAGGTAGTCCCGGAGGCCTATATCCCCGATACGGGCCTGGGAAAGGAGGGAGCTCTGCGCCTTTGTAAGACCTTCGTGTCTCATCAGAGCTTTGTCGGTAAATAAGAGGGCTGGGGGGTCTTCGTCGGCTATCCTCCTGTTTAATACCCTCTGTCGAGTAGTACTTTGTTGACTAGCTCTCTGTTGTTCCCACCGGGCCTGCCAGGCCAGTTCGACCACCTCCTTGGTATTCGACCCCTTAACCTTCCCCCCGATCTTCCATTTGTAGTTAACCCACTGGGCCACTACACTAGCGGCTAGTTCAGTGGGCGTGGGACTCTGCGGGCCCTGACGGGGCCTCCGGCCTCGGGTTTTCCTCCTCTTGTTGAACCTTCGGTAGACCTTATTGCAGGCCTCAGTAATTAGATGCCCCGTGGTTATTCTCTCAGCCTCCGGCCCAGCCCCTGATTGTAGGGCCTGCTTCTGTAGCCGGCCCTCGAAGTCGGCCAGCCGCTTGTTGAGATATAGGTCTAGCGGTGGCACCCAGGCCTCTGTTTCTAAGCACCGAATAGGACCTGACTTGTATGCCCCTACTACTATTCGAAGGCTCCTGTTCTGAGCTTTTGACAAGACCTTTGCAGGCCCCTTCGGCCCTGTAGCTCTTGGAGCTGTTGGTTGGTGGAAGCTGGAGGCTCCGTAAGCTATGGCACTGCGGATGCACTTTACGTAGACCTCCCGAGCCCTGGATAGGCTCGGGCCCCACGTCTTTGCTGCAATCCTCGATAAGGCGAAATCTTGGGTTTTGAGTTTCCGTTCCACAGCTTGTTGGTGCGCCCTCCATGATAGCTTCCAGTCCAGCCAGACTCCTAGGAACCGAGCCGATTCCACTGGCTTAACTGTGCTGTAGCCACTAGCCCCTGGGTGGGCCAGGGCCACCGGGTTCTCCCACTGTCTCCGACCTTTGTTGAAGTGAATTAATTCGCACTTTTGAGGTGCGAACGCCATCCCCCGGGTACCAGCCCACTGCAAGCAGGTCTTCCAAGCTTTTTCCAGTTGCTGTGTATTGGCCTCTGGGTTCTTTCCAAAGGCCAGTAGGTTTGTGTCGTCTGCGAACCCTACTATGCTAACCAGTGGATGGGCTGTTTTCAGGGCCTGATATAGGGAGGCAATGTAGAGGATAAATAGGATCGGGGATAGTGGTGAGCCCTGGGGGACTCCCGCTATGACTGGGATGTCCTCTGTTTTCTGGCCGTCGAAGTGGAGGATCGCAACTCTGTTACTTAACCACGCCTTCACCCACAGAACCACCCACTGTGGGTAACCCTGTAGCCGAAGAGTGGCTAGTAGCCGGGTGTGGTTGACGGTGTCGAATGCCCCTGAGATATCCAACTGTAGAAGGGAGGCGGTTGCTTTCTGCCGCCAGGCCTCCTGAACTCGGGCTACGACTAGCCGAATCGCTACCTCTGTTGACCTGTGCTCTCGGTTTCCCATCTGCTCCGCTGGTAGCAGGCCGTAGGCCTCTGCAGCACTAGTAATCCTCTTTGCTACCAGTGCTTCTATGACCTTCCCAACTGTAGGTAGGAGGGCTATAGGCCTGTAACCTCCTGGAGTTCGGTAGGTACTCGGCTCTTTTCCGGGCTTTTGTAGGACAACTGTTTTGGCTCTCTTGCTTATTCTTGAAATATATAATCTTCTCTAGGCTACTAAGCTAGATACCCTAGTTCTAGGAAGTAGTTTGGAGAATACCGATAGTTATAGACTAGAACTACATAAAACCTCATTTGGGATCCTCTAGATTAGGTTTATAGCTGTTATGTTGTTGCCTATAAAGACTAATAACTAGTGGTAATAGGAATTTTCAAGGTTTACATTTTCTATAATAGTTAAAATATTACTTCCAGTATTGTTGGTCCCTATATCGCTTCCTTTTATAATATTCGAACCCTCATTTCCCTTACAATAATATTATTATAAAGATTCTTATCCTATCCCTATCGCTTATATTCTAGCTAGTAGAGTTAAATAGCTTATCTCTCCAATTATTCTTTATATAACTATTATATAATATTTACTTCATAGTAGGCCCCCACTAACTAGTTAGACGCACACATGTGTGCGCTTACGCAGTTAAGTGTCGAATTGCTTAGTTAACTAGTTACGTCATTCCAGTGAGTAGTTAATGCATCTAACGCGGCCCATTTCCTTGCCACAACAGACGACATACTGCCCACCCTGCCGCTATGGCCACCTTCCCAGACCACTGCCTCCCTCCAGAGGGCATTTTCGAGACCCGTAAAGCCTTATTCGAATCAATCAACGCATACGCAAAGCCTCGAGGCTATGCTTTTACAACCCAGAGGTCAATACGCGGGCCTGGTGGCTTCTTGAGACTCTTCTTTGCATGCGATCGTAGTCGCCGACTACCTTTGTCGCCAGAGCGAGATCGCCAGAGGAAGACGACTGCCCGTATGACGAATTGCCCCTTTTCGGTCCTCGCAGTAGATTCTAGTGAAGGCTAGACTCCAAATCACCGTCAAGATCGTCGCTTTGCAACCCATAACCACGGACCAAGCTTACATCCAACTGCACACCCTGTGCAACGACAGCTCTCAGGCGGTACATTCACAGCTACCAATGCTCTCAGAAGCTAGCCTTGCGCCAAAGGATATCCAGACAGTCGTCCGGCAAAGTGGTTATTTTGCAACACGCCAAGACATCTACAACCGTATCGCCCATGTCCGCCGGGAATCTCGTCAAGGCCAGAGTCCAATCCATGCGCTTGCAAATCAGCTCGAGGAAGAGGGCTTTTGGAGCCGTGTGCAGTACGGGCCAGATAGACAGGTAACGGCAGTTCTCTTCGCGGATCCCGGCTATCTTGCCTACCTTCGAGCGTACCCTGAAGTCCTCCTTCTCGACTGTACGTATAAGACGAACAAGTACGGTATGCCACTTCTTGACATGATCGGCGTGGATGTAACTGGGCGCTCCTTTTGTATTGTCTTTGCGTTCTTGAGCGGCGAAACTAAAGAAGACTATATGTGGGCTGTCGAGCGGTTGAAGACTTTGTACGAGCAGTGTGGCGGAGTCTTGCCATCTGTTATTCTAACAGATCGGTGCCTAGCTGCTATAAACGCAGCTTCAACTATCTCTCCGTCAACAACATCTCTCTGTACATGGCACGCAAATAAGGCAGTTCTTGCGCGTTGCCAGCCAGCATTTCCAGAAGCTGAGGCGTGGAAGGAGTTCTACGCTTTTTAGTTCTCTCTTCTTGACTCGCCAACTCAAGAGATCTACGAGGAGCGTCTAAATGAGTTCGAAAACAAGTACGGTTCAACGAACTTTACGCAGGTTGGCTATATTAAGGAGACATGGCTTCTACCGTTTAAGGAGAAGCTTGTCTCTGCCTGGGTCGACCTGGAAGCTCATTTTGGAAATACGGCTACCTCGCGTGTTGAAGGGATTCATGGACTTCTTAAGTCGTACCTCCAGAGGTCGACATTCGACCTCTTCGAAGCGTGGAAAGCGATTCGATTTGCGTTGATCTGAGTTGCAGTCTAACCAAGCTAAGCAACAGATCCGCATACCCCTCAAGCCCGACAAAGCTCCATATAGGGCTATACACGGCTGGGTCTCGCACAAAGCGCTACGGAAGGTTGAGGAGCAGCGGCGACTGCAGTGGAAAGACCCTCCTCCGTCGCCTACTTGTACAGGCACTTTTACCCTGGTCTACGGGCTCCCTTGTGTACATGTCTTGACTAGACGTCAAGAGCCTCTTCTTCTTGAAGATTTCCATTTCACTGGCACTCAATACATGATGGGGCTCCAATTCAGCTACTAGAACCCCGTCGTATAGAGCCCATAGCTATGACAAGTAGGCTCCCGGCGTCAAGTACAAAGCGGGAGCCCAGTGTCTTCGAGATCGTCGACCAGGCAACGCGGGTTAAATGGCCAAGCCAGGGTACAGCTTGTGGTGAAATTGGCCATAGACGAACCTCTCGAGTGTGCCCGAAGCGTTATTCAGACGCTGTACAGATTGACTAAATGGCTGGCTAGTTGCGTTGGTTGCAGGGTGGGCGGTATGTTGGCTATGGTGGTGGAAAAGGGGCAAGGAAATGGGCCGCATTAGATGCATTAACGTAATCCGTTATCTTTCCAGTCAGACCACCTTTCCGGTCACTTTACTGCCCCACACCCCACCACGTCGACTTCGGATTCGCTCCACTACGCCATTGTGCCCGGCAAAATGCCAAAGCCTCTACAGCACGAAGATATGATCCAATTAGCACTCGAGGTCTTACGTTCAGGCCAAATCAAAAGCATTCGCAAGGCTACAGCCGCATTAGACGTACCAAATACGATTTTACAAGAACGCGTCAAGGGGGTGCTACACGTCAACAAGCGCAAGTCAAGAGTCGAAAGCTACTCCCGACCGAAGAATCTGCCCTGATTCAATGGATCGAATCATTGGACGACCGTGGGATGTCGCCAACGATCGGTTATATCCGACAGATGGCCGACCTTCTTCTCCGCGAGCGTGGAGGCTTCACTTTACTCGACGCGTCTCTTATATCCACCCCCGTCCCGGCAATGACTGTCGGCAAGAAACTGGGCCCAGCGGCTTCTTCATCGGCATCCCCATCTGAACATACAAAGTATTCTAGGAAGTATTACTATCAACGACCCTTATGCAAGGACTCGGGAAAGGTTTCAGCGTGGTTTGCACGAGTGCAAAAGACTATCAACGAATACGGTGTTCTTAACAACGACATCTACAATTTTGACGAAACTGGTTTCCAGATGGGTGTTGCAAGCACGTTTAAAGTGGTCACTCGATCTGACCGACGGAATCGGCCTGTTGTTAAGTCCGTGCACCCACCTCCCGGTCAGGCCACCAACCGATCAAATTTCCCCATCTGCCTCCCCATTTTCAGTATCTACAGGAGGGTCGAAAATTGACCATTCCAGCCACATATCTTCAAATACATAACCATCTACTTTCTCTAAGGGTTCTAGCTGCTTTGCAAGTGCTTTTCTAGCCTGCATAATCTGTTCAATCTGGGCAAACCGGGTGTTGCGATCCATCCTGACTTCCTTCCTTTTTCTCGGCCTTAGTCTATCTACCTCAGCTTCCAGTGCCCGGATCTTCTGTTCTTGACTAGCTGCCTTGATGGCTGTATTGTCAAGGCTTTTGCCCACCTTTTTGAAAAGACTCCTAGCCACTGGGTCTATTGTTTGCAGTCGTCGTAGACGGACATTTGTTGATATCAATCTGTGGACCTCCTGGCTGCGGTTTGGAGTCTTGATTAGCCGACGACTGGCTGGCTGGCTGGCTGGCTAGCTGACTGACTGGCTGGCTGGATAGCTGACTGGCCGGCCGACTGACTGACTGGCTGGTTGGGTTCAACAGTAGACGGCTCATCAGAGGTTTGTCTAGGTTGACTGGCCACAATCCTGATGCCTTCCAGCCACTTCGGATATTCCTTTCTTTGATGGCATCGTTCCTGGCTTGCGCATAACGCCGTAAGAAGAGCCTCTTGCCAATGGGGGCACAGTCTGTCATCACAGTGAGGTCGTTGATACCACGGCGGTAAGTGGTCTTCAACGGAGAGAAAACCGACAGGTTGAGGGGCTGTAGAACGTGGGAGGCATGTCCAGGTAAGAAGAGGAGGTAGATATTGTTGGAAAAACAGGTCCACATGAAGTCGTCAGTCTCGTGGCTACCGTGGCCATCAACAATAAGGAGCCTCTTCTTCGATGTCGCCGTCGTCGGACAAAAGATCTTTGTCAGCCACTTGAGGGCATTATCATTAGATGTCCAGCCATTCTGACTCGTCGAAAACCGCCAGTTGCGTAATGGATCAAGGTCTTGGTCGTTATCAGGGAACCACTGTTGTTGGATGTCTTTCCCCTTGAAGATGACTAACGGAGGGAGAGCTTTTCGGGTTGCTGAGATGCACTCTATAATGGTTGTCCAGATCCGGGATTCGGGGTGTTTCGACAACGCTTCCTTCTTCTCCGATGATCCAACGCATAAGCCGTTGATTCCCAGACCTTTCATTATCCCTATTTCATCCATATTCCCAACGGCCTTGCGGGTCAATTGTCTGGATGACTGGGATCGCGAGGAGATGGAACCAGGCCTTGATAACATCAGTACTAGCTGCATCCAACCGTTTGATATCCATACGTCTATCTTTCTTCGTCTTTAAAACTGGATATCTTCCGATGAACTTCTGAAGCCAGTGTTTACCGATAGTCTGGTCAGATCCAGAGGGACGGAGGATACGGTTAGCACAGACCTCGATTTGTCGATGCTTCACCGGAAGCCCTAGAGCTTCCTGGGCAAGAACCCAGTCGGCCAAGTGTTTTTCTTGACCAGGGCTGAGCTTCTGCATCGCCTGTGCTTTGTACTGTCCCTTCGGTTAGGCGTTGGCGACGACTCGGTCCCGGAGGGTAGAAAAGGAAACTCCCCATGCCTCGCTAGCTTTGCGGATGGATTGGCCATCCCTGACGGCTTGGATTGCCTGCTGGATGTTATCTTCTGGAGCCATGGAAGAGAAAATTTGAATAAGAGTAATGGAGCTGAATTTGAGCTTGTTTTGGTGGAACTGGGTGGTTTGGAATAGAGAGGGTGCCGAATCAGGGTGGAAAAAAATTGATCGGTTGGTGACCTGACCGGGAGGTGGGTGCACGGACTTATCCAGCCGGGAAATCGAGAGTGGACAACTGTCATCGCATTAACGCATCTGGCTGGAGTGTTGATCCAATGATCATCTTCGAAGGAAAAGTCCACATTTCGTCATGGTACGACATCTCAGCACTGCCAAAGACGTGGCGGATTGGAGTCGGCGATAACGGCTGGACAACCGATGAGCTTACCTTTGCGTGGCTTCGAGAAGTCTTCGAGCCACAGACACGAAACCGGACTGTTGGTCGATATCGGCTTCTTATCCTCGATGGTCATGCAAGTCATTCGACGCCTGAATTCGACAAATTCTGTACTGAACCTCGGATCCTTACAGAGTGTATGCCTCCGCACTCGTCGCACTGCCTCCAGCCCCTTGACGCTAGCTGTTTTGCTGTGCTGAAGCGGACGTACGGCGACCTCGTCAAAGAGATGATAGCACTCGGGGTTTTATCACATCCACAAACCAAGGTTCCTCGAACTGTTTCTTGAAGCTCAGAAAAAGACGTTCAGCACAAGAAACATCGTAAGTGGCTTTAGGGCTACAGGGCTCGTGCCTCTCGATCCAACTCAGGTTCTTTGTCGGCTACAAACCAGGATACGGACACCAAGTCCCCCTCCTACCCCTACCCAACCGCCAAGTCTGCCTCTCAAAACGCCAGTAAACATCGTCGAACTTGACTCTCTCTAGAGGAAACACCAGAGAGAGATAAGCCCCACGGATCAGGCGCTTCAGAAAATCATCAAGGGTTGCCAGATGGCAATGCACAACGCTGCTCTTGTGCAGGAAGAGAACTGGCGACTTCGAGCTGAAAATGGTCGACAAAAAAGAAAGCGGGCACGCCGAGCTTTCATTCAGGCAGGAGGGACTATGACGATTGGAGAAGGGATGACACACATTGAGGCCTCCCAGAATGCTCTTCAGAAGGGCCAAAGAAGCCAGGAAGCTCGTCGAGAGGTCGAAGGAGAGGTGGGGCCATCGGACACGACTGCGCCAAAGGCACGAAAGCGTGCGCAGCCGAAGTGTAGTGTTTGTAGCTCAATCAAGCACAACGCCAGAAAATGCCCTTGTAAATAAGGACTCGAATTATGTAGAATGCATTCCGAATAGACTCTCTTTTGCATTGTGAGGTGCGTCCGAAGTCGACGTGGTGGGGTGTGGGGCAGGAAAGTGACCGGAAAGGTGGTCTGACCGAAAAGGTGATAGATTACGTTATAGTATTAGTAGTAAGTTAATAAGGTATATAAGTGCTTCCTTTAATATTAACAAGGATTAATACTATAGTATACGAGGGATAGCCACATTAGGATACCTCTTTAATAGAGGGCCCTGGACGGGGGGGATCGTTGATACGAACAAGGTAGTAGAAAGGGACTAGAGGGCTAGGTGGTTAAAGGAACGGGACGGCAGAGCGATCGCCAGACCGGCGGACGACTTTGACCATCAGCAGGAGACGCTATTCCGGAACGGAACCCTAAGGAGGCATGACGGTCTCAGCAAGGCCAAGAGCTCACTGCTGTTCAAATCCGGACGGGAGTAATAGGCTTACGGGACTTCTTGTTTACACGGGGAGTCCCGGACGTTCTGACTCCTGCCTACAAGTGTGGCGAGGGACGAGAGACTACCGAACACCTGGTAGTGTGGTGTTTGGTCCCACCGTTGACTCGAAGATGGGAGAGAACTAGAATTCGAACACGACGGGACTTTTCCTCTGTTCTACACGGCATCAATCCCACGACTGCACAGCTCGCGAGCAGGATTCTCGACTGGCTGATGGACTCGGGGAAGCTGCGATGTACCGCTTAGCCAGGAGGCCTCCGCTCTTTGTATACGCAGACACACCAGAACGCATCGTTCCTTGATTGTTGGTATGGATTTTTCACCCGGCCCGGGAGGGCACGGTTTTCCTGTACACTAAATAGATGAGGGTCCGGCACGCACTTGGACATAGCGGAGTATGAATAATAATAATATTAATAATTAGATCTACTAGCTTCTACTATGTTAAAGCATTTTATGCTTTTATATGGTGTAATTAAGATTTATATATTACCTTTCGAAGGAATATAATCAATCCCTCTTTCTAGTTACTAGAAGGAGAATGGCTGGCTGATGGACTCTGGCCGGCTACTGGAGTATAGGCTGGCCAGAAGGCTGGAGCTAGAAACAGTGGATGGGGAGGGTTAGAGGGCCCGGAGGCCGGCAAAGGGCCTCCTTTCTTTTGCAGTATGACGGATTCATAGATTGTTGTCTAAAAGTGGTAGACAGAGGTTTTTATCCGGCCTATACGGTACGGTTTCCTTTGTAAATAGCAGTAGAAGGACCGGCGCGCCCCAGGACATATCGGTGTAGGAAATAATAATAATAATAATAATAATAATAATAATAATAATAATAATAATAATAATAATGCGATCTAGCAACTGGTCAAAAGCACCCCGCTCCCCACTTTTCTGCAACCCCCACTTTTCTGCAAACCAGTCTCCGTATTTGCCCGTGTCCATCTTTGTGTTGCCCTGTAACTTGTTTGTTTTGTTTACTCTCTTCCGAATCCAACTTTTTCTGCCCAATATGGAGGTCAACGGAGAATTGAGGATCTGTTCGCATTGCAAAGAGAAGCTGCCTATCGTACAATTTATTCACCTGCGCGATCCCTCGAAAACTGTCCAAAACCTGTCGAGCCGCTTCCCGGTATGCATCGGCGCCAGAGTGATGTTGACCAGGAATATCTGGAACCCGGTGGGCCTGGTGAACGGCGCCCAAGGCACGGTACACGATATCGGCTAGGCGGAAGGGGCGGACCCCCTGCGGGATCCGCCGTTGGTCATCATGGTGGCCCTCGACAAGTATACGGGGCCGCCGTACTACACAAGAGACGTGGAGCTTCGGGACGGGCAGGGCAGGTTGGTGGTCCCGATCCTGCGGGTGAGGCAAGACTTCACCCTGAAGAACAAGACGTGCAGCCGCACACAGTCCCCCCTAGTGGTCGCGTACGCTATCACGGTGCACAAGTCCCAGGGGATCACGCTGCCCAAGGTGGTGTGCGACATCTCGGAGCGCGAGTTCGCTTCCGGGTTGTCATACGTGGCCGTCTCCCGGGCGTGGAGGCTGGATGGGGTAATGTTCGACGTACCATTCGACCGAAGCCGAGTGAACCGGGACCCGCCGACTGCTGCGATGCAGAGGAAGCTGGCGGACTACGAGAGGCGTTGGAAGGCGGTTGCTAGAGCCGCTATACCGACCAAGCAACGCGGAAGCGAGCGATACGGAGAGTTGTGTGTGACTACGAATTAAGCATGTAGAAAATAGCAAGCAGTTTGGCCGAACAATATTGGACTCCGGACAGATATCTATTGGCGCTTCGTCTCTCCCGTATTCAACCCTGACCCGGATTGTCCTCCGGAGAGGGACAGAAAAGTTGCCAGGAGCGGGAGAGAGGAAGGAAGGGCCCCGTAGCGTAGCGAAGGGGCCGCGCGACTGACGAACGAAGCGACGCCAGCAATTTTACATATCCTAGGATAGACTAGATCGCTAAATGATAGGGTAGATAACTACTAGTATATTTGTAGCTATAGGCTAGGGATTATGAATATAAATTATCTCTAATCAAAACCCTAAGTTTATATTAAAGATATAGCAAGGGATCTTCGAAGTACTTAACATTAAGCTTCTCTTCTCTATGTCGTATTACCTTTAGATAGATAGGTTATTGGAACGAAAACACTACATAATCGAACTTACTATCCATTATTATAAAACAATAGACTATGATTCCTTATTGATAGATATAACGTAATCCACCATTGAATCGCACATCCCGTTGACCCGCCCACTTTTCTAGACATCTTCATTCCAAACTGCCAGAGGTCCATTGAAACCAATGCAATCAATTGAAACTACTCAGAATCGCATGAACTATCCATTTCTCCAGCCTCTGGGCATGTCCTTGCATTGTGGCCAGCCTTGCGAAAGATGCTACGAGCCGCAAATTTGCCCGACGCCTCTTTGACGACCCTTCATTTTCCTCCTCAACGCGTCCTTCCTTGTCAACTACGCCCTTCTCTGCAATTATATCCCTAGCCTGGTCTTCATTCATGGCCCATCCATCTCGGAGACGCGTCCGTTTGGCCCTCCGGCGCTTGGAAAGTGCTTCGTTGGCCTCTTGTAATGTCCGTACCTCGGCCTCTAAAAGGATGATTCGATGGGAAACTGGCTGCATTTCTTTCGAAAGCCGATCAGCAGCAGCTACAATCGGAGTTGGAGAGCTCGATGGATGTCTTGCAATCCGAGTGATTCCGTTAATCCTGTTGCGGAGGGTTGTTTTAGGGATGTTGTAGATCCCGGCTGCAGGTCGGCGAGACATATTTTTGGTCGTACCGATAGCCTCAATGGCAAGGATGATTCTAGCTTCTTGGGTTTGCACGGACATGGTGTTTTGTGGTGTGATGGAGCATTTGCCTTTGGAGGTCGTTTTGCAATGGAAAGGTGCGCGGGTCAATGGTGGATTACGTTATTATATAAAGGTAATATTAATATTATAAGCTTAACTATACTTCTCTGTCTTAGTATATGTTATGGATACTAGCGTCCTTATAGCTTAAAAAAATTACCTTCCTAATTTCGTATAATAAGATAAGTTTATAGCCATTCTAAGCTAATTAAACCTACCAGGAACTATTATCTTAAAATATTCTGCTCTCATACTTGATATTACTAAGATTGTTTTATTACCAATAGAGAATAACGTAATCCACCACCGACACACACCCCCAAGCGACGCACTGGTAAGGGCTATACAGAATTTAGCTATAGTACGGAGGTCCCTACCAAAAGTTCCACCACACCGCCTTGAAAATTCTGCCCGGCAGAATTACCTGATTCGGCCCAGTGGTCTGTGAGCTAAGACGCAATACCCCCCGCACATACTGAGCAGGCATCGCCCGCCCTCCCTCCTTTTTTGTTTCTTCCTACCAACACCCACCATGCCACACCACGATATTGCTACACGTGCCTCGGCACTGATGTTACGGCTTGTCCTTGAGCTTGACAACAAGACGATTGAATCCCTCACTGGCTTGAAGCCCCGTACCGTAGACCTCATTGCGCAACGGGCACTCGAGCGTCGCTTTGATCCAACAGCCTCCCCGCCCGTCATCCTCGACATATATGTCCAAGATGCCCCTCGCTCTGGCCGTCCTCGTAATCAAGAGCAATACAAAGATGAAGTCATTCAGAAGGTACGGGCAAACCGACATGGCCGTGAGATGACATGTGCCTTTATTTCTGAGGAGCTGGGCCATGTTATCTCGCCGATGACAGTCTGGCGTATCCTACGGGCAGCCGGAATGAAGAAGACAAAACCAACACGCAAGCCAGGATTGACCGAGAAGATGAGGAGGGACCGCTTTGAGTTTTGTCTTCTTCATAGGGACTGGACTCTCGAGAATTGGAAGCGGGTGATCTGGTCTGACGAGACATCTGTTGTTATTAATCATCGTCGGGGGGGTTACCGGATTTGGAGGACTCCTCAAGAGAGGTTTGTCAAGTCAGCAATTCGCGAGCGATGGAAAGGATTTGCCGAGTTCCAATTTTGGGGCTGCTTCTCTTACGACTCGAAAGGGCCATGTCATATTTGGCATCCTGAAACAGCACAAGAGAGGAAAGCAGCTGACCGGGACTTGGAGGAGCTGAACGCTCAACTTGAACCTATTCTGAAGGAAGAGTGGGAGCTTACGACAAAGATGGGGCGCCTTGGTCTTCGAAATCGTGGAGGTCGGAAGCCTCAATGGAAATGGGATGCCAAACATGGCAAATTAACTCGAGGGCAAGTCTCAGGTGTGGATTGGTATCGTTACCAAAAGGAGGTGTTGATCCCAAAGCTCATCCCTTACGCTAAGCGATGTGGTCCTGATGCACTTGTCCAAGAAGACAGAGCTCCATCACACGCACACAAGGCACAGCCAGCTATCTTTGATGCTGCTGATGTGGCCCGGCTTCTATGGTGTCCTAACTCACCTGATCTTAATATGATCGAGCCTTGTTGGCCACACTTGAAGCGGCTGACTACGAAGAAGGGAGCCCCAAAGTCAAAAAAGGAGGCCGAAACAGTGTGGACACGGGCGTGGGAAGACTTGGAGCAATCAAGGATACAGGCTTGGATTGAGAGGATAGTGTTTCATATCCAGGAAGTGATTCGCCTAGAGGGTGGTAATGAGTATAAGGAAGGCCGGGCAAAGGAACGCCGGGAAGATGTAGTTACTGGGCCGGGCCCTGCTTTGGAATAGCTTCAACGTGGTTGTGTCAGTCAAAATGTTCAGATTAATTAGTGTGGTAGCTTATAGTAGCTTACAGTGCATGGCGTCTTGGCAAAAAAGGCGGTGTGGTGGAACTTTTGGTAGGGATCTCCGTACTTAACAACGGAATTGAACCGGGCATAAAACTGTTATTGCTACAGCCAAATATCTGTGTAGCCCTTACCAGTGCGTCGCTTGGGGGTGTGCGTCGCTTGGTAATGGATCACGTTATATGATTAATTCCTATCTCTAATTAGTAACGTAATCGGACACCTTCAGAACCAGGACACCTTCAGAACCAATTTTCCGCCCCGCACCCCACCACGTCGACTTTGGACTCGCACACCCACAGTCCCACCTCGGTAAAATGCCTCGGCCTTTGCAGCACGAAGAGAGGATCCAATTAGCCGTCAAGGCCTTACGTTCTGGCCAAATCCGAGTTATTCGCAAGGCTGCAGATGCCTTTGACGTGCCGTACGCGACCTTACGGGGACGCGTTGCTGGACGCGTCCCCCGTCAACAATCTCAAATTTCTTATCGAAAACTTCGAGAAACGGAAGAAGCTGCATTGGTTCAGTGGATCAAGTCACTCGATGGCCGGGGCATGTCGCCAACGATCGGGTATATTCGACAGATTGCCGACCTTCTTCTCCGTGAGCGTGGAAGCCTGGTCTTGCTTGACGCGTCAGTTACAGCAGTGGCTGACGAGATGAAGACTGTTGGAGAGAAATGGGCACGCCGATTCTTGAACCGACACCTGGACTTGAAGTCAAGATACCTCCGGAAGTACGACTACCAACGAGCCATGTGTGAGGACCCTGAGAAAGTGTTGGAGTGGCTTAAACGAGTACAAAACACTATCGAGTCAAACGGTATCCTCGATTGCGATATCTACAACTTCGATGAGACTGGGTTCCAAATGGGAGTGGCAAGCACAGCAAAGGTTGTCACTCGATCTGATCGGCGAAATCGACCTGTTGTTGTTCAGCCTGGGAATCGGGAGTGGGCAACTGTCATCGAGTGCATCAACACCACTGGCTGGGTTCTTGACCCAATGATCATCTTCGAGGGCAAAGTTCATATCTCGACATGGTACCAAGATTCACCATTGCCACCTACTTGGAGGATTGCAGTTAGTGAAAACGGCTGGACGACCGATGAGCTTACACTCGAGTGGCTTCAGCAAGTGTTTGAGCCGCAAACTCGAAGCCGAACAGTTGGCCGGTACCGCCTCTTGATTCTCGATGGCCACGGGAGCCATATGACACCAGAGTTCGACAACTTCTGCAAAGAGAATTCGATCCTTATCGAGTGCATGCCACCCCATTCGTCACACCTTCACCAGCCTCTCGATGTCAGTTGCTTCTCGGTCCTCAAGCGGGTGTACGGTGACTTGGTCAGAGGAAAGATGGCTGTTGGCATCTACCACATCGACAAACAACTCTTCCTTGAACTCCTCTTCGAGGCCCACACCAAGACTTTCACCTCGAAAAACATCAAAAGTGGCTTTAAAGCAACAGGCCTTGTTCCACTAGATCCAAGTCAAGTGCTTGCTCAGCTCCGAGTAAGAATACGAACACCAAGCCCCCTACCTACACCTGTTCAACCAAGCTCAACAATTCCGCTCAAGACACCATCAAATGTCATTGAGCTTGACCACCTCCAGAGACAGAGGCAGCGTACAAATGCAAAACAGATAGGAATCTGCAACAGATTATCAAAGGGTGTCAGATGGCCATGCATAATGCTACTCTCTTACAAGAAGAGAACTCGCGGCTCCGAGCCGAGAACACTCGACAAAAGCAGCGACGTCAACACCGTCGAGCATTCATCCAAACAGGAGGTTCTATGACAATTGGAGAGGGAGTGGCCACCTCAGAGCATCAGAAGGCCCCAAAGGCCAAGGCCCCAAAGGTACCAAAGGCCCAGGAAGCTCGTGTGGAGGATCAAGAGGGGGAGGTAACAGCTGTCGAAGCGATTGAACCAACCGTACGAAAACGCGCACCACCAAGGTGCAGTCTCTGTAATTCAACTGAGCATACTGCCAGGACTTGCCCCTGTAAATAGCGAACAGATTGATATAGATTGCTACTACAATAGATTCGTTGTTGTGTTGCAAGATGCATTTGAAGTCGACGTGGTGGGGTGCGGGGCGGAAAATTGGTTCTGAAGGTGTCCTGGTTCTGAAGGTGTTCGATTACGTTATAAGATAAATATCTATTACTAACTTATAGAAATTTTAAGGTTTGAAGTTATTAGCTATCTTATAGTAAATAAAGGGAATTATTTATCTCTTGATACCCTTTAATATCGTTAATGAGGATAAGATAAGTAAATTGTGACGAACCTACTTCAGGACCCTATCCTGTTGGGGTTCAGCTTCGGTTGAAGGTAATCTCTCTTGTCTCAACAGTAGGCTTCCGAGCTTGTAGCGAACTGTAGTTGTGATTGCTAACTGAAGAACTCCCAGAGCTCTCCAGAACGAGGGACTATATACTGACTACATCTTGTGGCTCTCTGAGGCTCCCTCAAAGCGCCAGGGAGCTGATCGGCTTGTCTGTTCTGGCTCTGGGCGTTTAACTGGGCGACGGCAAGATGGAGAGGAACTGGCCGGGCAATGTTCTTTGGCCCACCGCGAAGCGACGTGGCAATCTTTGGGTCGAAAATTCGACGATAAGGATCCGTAGATGTCGATTGCCGCAAGTGCCATCTCGGGTGGACGTCCCATTTCGCCAGTGGGACATTACCTTCCAGCTTTGATAGAATCGTATGGCGACACGGGATACCTAACTCAGCAGATGGCGTACAGTCCTCGCTGCAGAGTCCGATACCTCTTGGCCGGGGGTTCGAAGGACTTGGGATTGCCGTCACAGCTCTGTGGTACTCCCGTGTAATGAGGCGCAGGGCTTTCTGAGAAATGACTTGGGGAAGCTCGCCTAGATACTCACGTTGTCGTTGCTCGCTTCCGTCCCAGAGGTGACCCGGCACCCGAAGTTGCGATACTTCCGGATAAAGCACCGGGCCCATTGCTCCCTTACAGACATATAGGTCCTGTACAGGTATAACAAGATCGCCTTCTGCTCGCCGAACTCCTTACACACATCTGCCCACAGCCTGTCATGCTCCGCCTCGGTTTCCGCAAACATAACCAGCTTCCACAGCATCACGACACCCTGATAAGTGTGTGGAATGGGCTCGGAAGACTGGCTAGGCCCAGAGTCGCGGACCATCGCCCTATCGCTTGCTGCCAAGATTGTCCGGTCCTGGGCGTTTTCGGTGGCACTCTCCTGATCACTGCCATCGTCTGTCCCTCCTCGTATCCACTTCTGTTTTGCCTCGAGTAAGACATTGGAGATGATGTGATGGATGCAGATCTGTTGTTGGCTCTCGGGGAACTGCTCGTTCAAGGCCTGTTTCATCTGGTCGCCGAAATCTGTGAGGATGGTATCGGGTAACCGGATGTTGTGTTGGATTGCGAACTGCCGGATGCCATCAGCGAGAAATTGGAAACCTTCCAACCTTTCGTTGTCGACAAGGCCGAATGCGGCATTAAAGACAGTTCCAAGGCAAGTCTGGCCAGTGGCCTGGAAAAGAGGGAGCTTGAAGCGGTTCGTGTTGTACGTATTGTCGAAGCTGAGTACTTCTGAGAACCGCTGCCACATGCGGATACAGTACGGGAATGTCCACACTAGACCGACAAGACGACTTGGCTCCGCCTCTGACCACTTCACCACATAAGGAACGCCCTTTTCGTCGAAGATCTTGATGAGCGCAGCCGTTGGGTTGTAGCTGTCTAGCTTTTGGCGTTTGATGAGGGCTCTGGCGTTGTAAATGTCCCTACGAGTCAGGGCGGAGTCTGCATGTTGGTTCTTGACGATGTTACTAACGTCTCGTGCTCGGATACGAACTCGGCGACTCGTCGCTTCAATGGTCACCTTAACGGGATTGTCGTTGTCGAAGACCAGTAACTTCGCTTTTCCTAGGCTCGCCGTATCTGTCACACTCTAGGGTATAACGTGATAGCCGACCTTTATGGGAATAGGCTTGCCGTTTGACGATACCAAATCCATGGACTTTTGCGAAGGCATTTACCCGATCAAAAAGGGCCTCGAATGTCGGTTCGGAATCGCCTGGGACCAGGGGAGTTGGTATTGTCTCCGGCCGGCTAGGACTTGATCTCGCGTCTAAATCCTCACCTTGCTCTTCCTGCGCGCGCTGGAGCTCGGTACTTGGTGACAAACTCGATCGGGAGCGAGAGTGGGGGCTGCGGGTCGGGGATCGACTCCATGTGATTCGTTCGTGGACAGTCCTTTCACGCAAAACGGTAGAGCCATCCTGCAAAGTCACCTTCTCTCGAGATATGATAGTCTTCTCTTGAGTGACGGCGAACTCAGAAGACGCCCAATGGGAGTCATAGCCAGACGAAGCTGGATGTGACTCTACATCCTCTTCCCTATAGATCTCGAGTGCACTGCGGAATCTGGTATGGAGGCCCCTCAACCGCGATGTTCGATCCTTCTCTTGCTCCTTTGCATGTCGTCGCGCTGGCGTTCATTCACTCCAGATCGGGCCTGGCAAAGCTTGCCTGACCCGGTGCATTGGTCTTTCGGGGGTCGGGAAATCGAGGGAGAGATATATCTCGGGGTCGTCGCGCAGTTCCCACCAGGGCTCCTCCAGCCCTCGGGCCCCATGGGGTCGTGGTATTGTCGCAAAACGTTCCGGGGGAGCGGTCGCGAAGAGATTGTACAAGGCATCGTCGTCACCATCGCCGTTCCATTCCTCAGGGTCCGGCACTAAGCCGCTGCTTGAGGATGTAGGCCTGGTCTGTTCGCGCGTATCGAAGGCATTGGGATGCCGTCGCTTCGTGAGTCGGAATTCCGCTTTATCTAGGTCGGCAATATCTTGTCTAGATCGTGATCGCTTTTGGGAGCTGTTGGGTAAGCCAGCCATTATGCAATTGATAGTCATGCAAAGACAAAGGACGACGGCTGCCGGATGTCGGACAGTGGACAGCTGGCAAATTTGGAGAGGATGCGACAGAATTTTAATCGGGTGGACCCTGCTTAACAGATAATTTTGAGCCAATAAGAGCTTCTAAACTGCCATGCCCGGATAGTGTCTTACCCGTGTATCAATTACCATTTTTAAAATATTATTATTATTCATACTCCGCTATGCCCTAGGGCGTGCCGGACCCTCAGCTATTTTTTGTACAGGAAAACCGTGCCCTCCCGGGCCGGGTGAAAAAGCCATACCAGCAATCAAGGAACGATGCGTTTTAGTGAGCCTACATATACAAAGAGAGGAGGCCTCCTGGCCTCCGAACGGGAGCGCTTCAGGCCGCCGTTTCCAGCTCGAGCCTCCTGGCTAAGCTGTACATCAGCAGCTTCCCCGTGTCCATCAGCCAGTCGAGGATCCTCCTCGCGAGCCGTGCAGTCGTGGGATTGATACCGTGTAGAACAGAGTAAAAGTCCCGTCGTGTCCGAATTCCAGTCCTCTCCCATCCTCGAGCCAACGGTGGGGCCAAACACCACACTACTAGGTGTTCGGCAGTCTCTCGTCCCTCGCCACACTCGCTGGCAGGCGTCAGAACCTCCGGGACTCCCCGTGTAAACAAGAAGTCCCGTAGGCCTATTGCTCCCGTCCGGATTTGAATCAGCAGTGAGCTCTTCGCCTTGTTGAGACCGTCATGCCACCATTTTAAAATACACTTTACCACTTCTAATAATAGAAAGGGAGAAACGCATTGAAGCTAGAAACCCCTACTATATATATAAAAGAGAGTAAAAGTGTGAACGACGCTTCTTTTACATTTAATACTCTAACTATAACTAGAACTAGTAATAGAGGTTTACCTATATTACTATTAACTTGCCTAAGTAGAAAGGCTTGGCTGATATTTATAGTAAAGTCTCTTTATGTTACTTCCCAGATAACCATTTTCACAATAATATATGCAAGTCAGCGGTAAGAAATAAAATAAACACCATGAAGAGGTATATTAATAGACTAATGATATAGAGTCTTGGAAATATTGTTAAAGGATTATTAGTTACTTCTCGTTTAATATATTATTATTTATACTCCGCTATACCCTTAAGGCGTACAGCTCGAGAGGTGGATGGAGGAGGCAATGAGAAGGGAGTGGATTGGAAGATGGGAGAGTGAGGTAGCTAGGGTGGTCGCTAGGAACCCGGGGCGGGCCCTCGAACCGGCCGATGCGACCGCGCGGTTCGACGCCTCTATCATGAACCGACACCGAGTCGAGGGACCCAGCCTGGGAGCTATCGAAGGCGAAGAGTACTCTCCTAGTGCAAGCGAGGACCGGGAAGAGTGGGCTTCGAGGGTTCCTCTTTACTAGGAGGGTCCCCGAGGTAGTAACGCCGGTATGCCGCTGCGGTATGGCGCGCGAGACATTCGAACACCTCGTACTCGAATGCAACGGAGCCGCAGATAAACCTCATCCCTGGCCAGACGACGGCGCAGAGCTACTGGAGTGGCTAGATGACGTGAGAAGGCTGCCATAGTGGTGGGGTGGGTGCTTGGGCTGGGGAGGCTGAACGAGTTCCGGTTGGCGGTAGAGCTGGAAAATGAGAACAACGAAGAGGCCCGCGGCGGGGCCGAAGCGGAGTAGCAGAAGGGCATCGATGGAACAGAGGTTACGACTCATTTTATCTATTGCGTTACTTTGACCTCGGAAGGTGGGTGAGCCCTTTCGAGGAGATGGATCCACGGGGTAGCGGCAAGGCCGCAGCGGAGGTGCGGAGGTTTTCATCCAGCTTAGGCATGGTCTTTCCTACCGAGTTAATCGCTGAGGGACCGCATGTACTTAGTACCTAGCGTGATAAGAGAAATAATAATAATATATATATAACGTGTATGATAAGCGAATGTTACACAGAACCGCCCTGCCATGTCTCCTATCCTTTTCCCCATCTTCCTTCACAACGCAGCATGCATCAAAGAAACGACGAGGTCCACGTGCAATTAGCCCTCCAGGCAATGCAAAATGACACAAAGCTAAGCGCTCGAGCCGCTGGTAAGATCTACAATGTGGATCACGAGAAGCTAAGCCGCCGGCGACGCGGTATGCAACCACGACGCGATATCCCGGCCAACTCGCGGAAGCTGACCGATTTGGAAGAGTCGATTGTTGTTCAGTATATCCTCGACCTGGATTCCAAAGGATTTCCTCCTCGCTTGTGTGGTGTGGAAGATATGGCTAACGGACTGCTTGCCAAACGCGACGCAAGACGCATCGGGACGCGTTGGGCGTCCAACTTCGTCAAGCGGCAACCAGACCTCACCATGCGTTTCAATCGGAAATACGACTACCAGAGAGCTCTATGCGAGAATCCAGATCTTATTCGTGGCTGGTTCGCGCTTGTGCAAAACACAATCGCGAAGTACGGTATCCAGGGGGCCGACATCTACAACTTTGACGAGATTGGGTTTCTGATGGGCGTCATCTCGACTATACTGGTTGTTACGGGCTCTGAACGGCGTGGCAGACGGAAGACAAGGCAGCCAGGAAACCGCAAATGGTCAACTGTGATCCAGGGTATCAATGCCCGAGGCTGGGCAATCCCACCATTCATCATCGTCGAGGGCAGCTACCACCTCTCTGCTTGGCACGAGAACAGCCGATTGCCTCAGGACTGGATAACTTTCTACGTCCGCAAATGGTTGGACTACCAATGAGCTTGGTCTGGATTGGATTAAGCACTTCGACAAGCACACCAAAGCTCGAACAACTGGGGTTTATCGCCTCCTCATCCTCGACGGCCATGTCAGCCACCACTCGCCTGACTTCGAGCTCTACTGCAAGGAGAACAACATCATCACCCTCTCTGTATGCCCCCCCATTCATCCCACAAGCTCCAGCCAGCCGATGTTGGATGTTTCAGCCCGCTGAAGGCGGCATACGGCAAGCAGATCGAGGAGATGATGCGGGCAAGCATAACCCACATTACTAAGGAGGACTTCTTTCCTGCATTCCTCGCAGCTCACCAGGCAACGATGACGTACGACAACATTCGGGGAGGTTTTCGAGGTGCTGGGCTTGTTCCTTTTTATCCCGAGGAGGTGATCTCCCAGCTCGACATCCGTCTTAAGACGCCAACACCCCCGAACTCACGGCCAGGCAGTGCCTACGCGTGGGTTTCCAAGACGCCGAACAACCCAATCTAAGCCTCTTCGCAGACCACCCTTATCAAGACCTGGATTGCCCAGCATCAAAATAGCTCTCCAACCTCGCTTTTAGCTGCAGTTGATTAGTTTGCAAAGGGCACGTCGAAGATAATGCATAAGATGGCGTTGATGCAAGCGGAGACGCGGGACTTACGAGCGGCGAATGAGGCACTAAGAAAGCGCCGGAGGGCAAAAGAAAAGCGGCTACGGCAAGGAGGATCGCTTACTGTGCAGGGTAGACAGGATTTGCAAGCCCAGAAAGATGTTGAGATGCAGATAAGGGAGGAAACACAGGCGGGAAGTGGTCGGAAGCCGAGGACTGAGACACGCGCGCGGCGTTGTGGCAGATGTGGCGGGCCTGGCCATAATGCCCGCACCTGTCAAGGAGTTACAGAACTGCCTGGGGAAGACGATTCCAAGTAGTATCAATGATTTAGGTTAGTTTTGAGCATATTATCTTGGATTTTGTTGTGGAGGTAACGATTTTTGTGACATTCGCTTGTCTGAGACATTCGCTTATCATACACGTTAACCTTTATTAAACTAGAATAAAGTTAAGTATTATAATTATTATTATTTCCTACACCGATATATGCCCTGGGGGCGCGCCGGTCCTTCTACTGCTATTTACAAAGGAAACCGTACCGTATAGGGTAAGGGGTATAATGCGTCGCAGCGGTGTCTATCCGGCCTATACGGTACGGTTTCCTTTGTAAATAGCAAGTAGAAGGACCGGCGCGCCCCCAGGGGCATATCGGTGTAGGAAATAATAATAATAATAATATTATAATGGTTCGTTGTAGTATTTTATCTTTGAAATGCCGAATATATATTTTATACTATAGCTATAACTACTACTATATTAACTACTATAACGTCATCTGCATGGTTGTTGGTCATGTACCCTCCTTAGCCACAGTAATTTCGCTAATTCAGCGGGGTACCACAACGCCAAAGAACCAAGATCGCCACATTTGAATGGGCATCGACAGTGCAAATATGAAGCCATTCGCAAACTAGTATTAGTAGTAGATACAGAAAAAACAGGTGGTTCCAGCCAAACAATCAAGAAGAGTAGTTAAACGCAATAGGCATTTCATTCCACGCAATCTTTGCAAAGCTAACCTTCCTATACAGTACCGCCTTTCTGGCTTTGATCCTATCTACTTCGGCCTGTTTTATTGCTTTTTCAATACGTAGATCGTTGATAGCCTTAACTGACAGGACCCTCGCATCGCTATAATGCTTCTTCGCGCTCTTCTTTCTACTATCAAACCTCTTTCTAATTAGCTCCTGATTTAAGGTATTGATAATAGCTTTATCAACCTCTAAGCTGAGATATATCTGTTGAATTTACGTAACCTTCGGTTTTAGGGGGGTGATATATATGCCCTGAGTAGGTTAGTTAAAATATTGTTGATCTTAATAGTGGCTGCCTATATAATTATCGTATTGGTACCTATATCTATATGTGACGAACCTACTTCAGGACCCTGTCCTGTTAGGGTTCAGCTTCGGTGGAAGGTAATCTCTCAAGGGTGCTTAGGTTCGGTGCAGCCAAAAGGTGCACAACAAAGACTTGTCTCAACAGTAGGCTTCCGAGCTTGTAGCGAACTGTAGTTGTGATTGCTAACTGAAGAACTCCCAGACCTCTCCAGAACGAGGGACTATATACTAGCTAGCATCACCATCCCGCTGGCGATAATCCCCAGTTGTCACTGACAATTGGTGATAATAGTTCAGTATCACTGACACCCAGTGATAATTGTTCCCATTAGTTCTTAAACGATTGGCCGTCAGCGTCCTGCGCCTTTAGCTGCAACCGCCCCGGCCCGTCTCTTGGGTCATTCCGTGACACGGTGCCCCTCCTTTCATGTCTTTCGACCCGAAAGATGTTGGTCCTTCATTCTCAATACTGGCTAGTAGTCCTTAACCCGGAGCGCTCCCCTCTACCATTGGTAACCTCCTCTCTCCATCCCTTTTCCCGTTCGCTCCTGCTAACTGAAACCATGCCTGTGGAGAAGCGTCAATCCAAATCTGCGCGCTATCGTGCTTCCCTGGCCGAAAATATTGAGAAGAACGGTTTTGTCGTCATGCCTTGTTCCTGGTGAGCTACTCAAAGTTTGACGTGCCGCATGCTTCCGAAAGCGAAACGCTGCAGCGCATGCGTCCAGCGTGGTCGCTCGTGCGATGGTTCTGGCGTCCCGATTTCTCAATGTGAGTCACCTCCTCAGCTACCACCCCTCCTGACCTGTTCCAACGTCCCTAGTGGATCGTATTATGCAGGAACAGCGGCGTATTGAACGTGAGGAGCGCGACACCGAGGAGTCTCTTGAGGCGACTCAACGAAAGTTGGAGGAGGACCAGCGTGCCCTTGCGGAGCACCTGGCCCGTTTGCGGCGCCTCCGTCAGCAGAAGAAGTTCTTGGTGGACCGTGGTGCTGATATGGTGGCTCGTGGTCTGTCGACTTTGGATGAGCCGGAGGAGGCCGAGAGGCAAGAGCCTCTTGCTTCGGTAGGGGTACCTCCGGGTGAGGGCGACCTCAATTCTTTCGCCGACCCCTCCTCGGGGTTCGACTGCTCCTTGGGGAGTCCCCTCGCTGGGGTCGACCTTTCCGCGGGGTTCCCTCTGGTCGATCCGGGTTCCTCTGGTGGAACTCCTGGGGTTTCTCGGGGCAGTTGAGATTTGTAGCTGGTTGCCATGAATTGTCTTCTGGACCAAAGTCCCAGCCACTTGACCAAGTATTCCAACTGTCCTTCCGTGATGCGCGAGTCTAGGACTTCTTCAACGTCCTTGTCGAGTCGTGCGTTCTTCGGCGCTGGTTCCAGAAGCGAGATGTGGAAGACGTTGGTCCGTAGTCGCATGGTTGAGTGTAACACGAGTGCGTAGTTGTTCTCCGAAATCTTTTTGTCGATCTTGAAGTGGTCCGATTTTGCGAAAACCGAGCTTCCTGCTTGGTCGCTTCGTGCAAAGATTTCGAGAAATGAGGTAAACTTTGCCCCCCTCTTCTAGGCGAGGTCCCTCGAGCCTGTTCCTGTCGTAGAACTTCTTCATCCTGGTTCGTACGAACTCGAGTTCTTCTTTGAGCATCGCATGCAGCGAGCTCATTCTATCGGCCTTGACTGCCCGCTCTGGGTACCGAAACGTCGGGCCCTTGTCGCAAGTCTGCTCGTAGCCGTAATTCGCGAAGAATGGCGTGACCTTCGTGGTCTCCGTGACGGTGGTGTTGTAGGCGAGTTGCGCTGTTGGCAACAGCTCGACCCAGTCGTCCTGCTGAAAGTTGATATACACTCTCAGGTATTGCTCGACGATCTGGTTGAGTCGCTCCGTCTGTCCGTCTGTCTGTGGGTGGTAAGCGGTCGAAAGCTTACTCCTCGTACCCAACTTCGTCATTAGGGCTTGCCAAAACTTCGATGCGAACTTTGTGTCTCTGTCCGTGATCCATTCCTCCAGCCATCCCGTGGACCGAGGTGACATTGCGGGTAGATCACGGTCTGCGAGTTGTTCTGCACGAGCATGACTCCCTTGTAGGGGGAAGGAAGTAGCTCCACTTGGTGAGTCTGTCCACCACTGTGAGGATGCTGTCGTACTTCGTTCCCGTCGCTGAGTCCTTTAATGTCGGAGGCTTGGTGATGAAATCCATTGTCACCGAGCTCCATGGTCGTTCTGCGACCGGTAATGGTTGCAACAGTCCATACGGCTTGTGTGGCCGTGATTTGCTTCGTCCGCAGAGGTCACACTCTGCCAGGATTTCTTTTGTCGCTTGCTTGATTCCTGGGAAGTCGTAATTCTGCTTGACCTTCGCAATTGTCTTGCTGATTCCCATGTGCCCTCCGGGTCTTGACCCGTGGATCTTTTAAATGAGCTCCTTTTGGTCGCTGGGCCTGATGTAGGCCTTGTCGTGGTACCAGAGTCTCGTTCCTTCAAGTCGCAGTCCTGCGATCTTGGATTCTGGCTCTTCTCGCCATTTATCGCGTTCATCGTCCGCGATGATTCCTTGGAAATCTCGTTCCAATCGTCGTTCCCTGAAGACCGCACAGCATTCTACAAACGGTTGCAGAGGCCTGGCTTCGGGATCTTCCAACTGCTGCTGAAGCGCTGCGATCTCGTAGTCTTCAGTCGGTTGGGAAGCGTGCCGTGGCGATCCGTCTGTCTGCTGATGTAGCAATGGTGGTGAGGCTTCAGATGTGTTGTCGTGGTGATCCGCTCTCCTACTCAAGGCGTCCGCTCGTGCGTTTTCCGAGCCTTTCTTGTAGTGGATTGTGAAGTTGAACTCAGACAGGAACTCTGCCCATCGAGTTTGTCGTCCGTTCAGCACCTTCGTGGTGGTGAAGTACCGTAGGTTCTTGTGGTCCGTGTACACCTGAACTTCGTGTGTTGTGCCGCCGAGGTATGGCCTCCATTCCTGAATGATGCTTCGAGTGACTGCGAGCAGTTCTTTGTCGTGGATCGGGTACTTCTCGTTGAGTCTTGGTCCCTCGAGTTTCTTGGAGAAGAACGCAACTGGGTGCAGCTTGCCGTCCTTGTCTCTCTGGCCAAGTTGCCCTCCGATCGCGAAGTCCGAAGCGTCAGCTTCGACTTCAAAAGGTTTGCTTGGGTCAGGCAGCATGAGTACTGGATCAGCGGTAATCGCGTTGCGCATCCGCTGGAACGCTCGCTCGTGCTCCTGCTTCCACTGGAATGTGGTGCCTTTCTTCGTGAGCTCGTGTAGAGGCCTCGCGATGTCGCCAAAGTTTTTGATGAACATCCTGACAAAATTGGCGAATCCGATGAATCCTCTGACCTCTGTGGCGTTTGTCGGTGTTGGCCATGTTCTGACAGCTTCCAGTTTCTCGGGTTCAATCTTGACCCATCATGGGGAGATCTCGTAACCCAGAAACACTGTCTTCTTGACATGGAACTCGCTCTTGTCCTTGTTGACTGACAACTTGTGCTCGTGCAGTGCGTCCAGCACCTGCCGCACGTGTTCCTTGTGTTCTTCGAGTGTCTTGGAATAGATGAGAATGTCATCCAGGTAACAGACTGCGAATTTATCGAGGCAGTGTCGAATTGCGTGGTCGATGGCGGCTTGAAATGTTGCCGGTGCGTTGGTCAATCCGAATGGCATGACGAGGTACTCATAGTGCCCGTAGGGTGTTCGGAAAGCCGTCTTCCATTCGTCTCCTTCCTTGATGCGAATGTGGGCGTAGGCAGTTGGGAGGTCGAGGCGGGTGTAGTATTGTGCCCCTGACAGCTGATCTCGAAGCCTCGCGATCAGTGGCAGTGGGTATCGGTTCTTCACCCTCTCGTTGTTCAACTGTCGGTAGTCCACACACATCCTGAGCTTCCCATCCTTCTTTGGAACAGAATAGGACCTGAGGTAGCCTGCTGGAGATGTCCGATGGTCTGATGTGTCCCTATTCTCGAAGATTCTTTTTCGAGATAGCTCCCTCCAAACTCCGCATCTTGTTTCTCGTTGGATGTAGATACACCTTGAAAGAACTTCAAACTGGGGCTCCTTTCCTTTGAGTTTGATCTCGTGGTCCCAAGGTCCGTGATCTGGCAGCCCTGCAAGATGTTTTGCCGTGAACGCTGGGTGTCCCCTTGTAATTCGTCTGGGATCTTCCCTGTTGTCGCGTTCTTCGTCGTACCTTCATAGTACGCGAACTTGTTTCCTGACTCGATGAATGATGCCTCGGGTATCTTGATTTCTTGTGCTGGCAGCTCAATGCCTGCTGCTTCTTTCCGGTTGACCCATGCTTCGTGTTTGAGCTTCCCGTGCTCGTCCACTGAGACGACGGCGATGGTTCGTGCCTCCCGTGTCTGCTTCTGTTGTCGTGTGCCGCTTCTTCCGGATTCCAGAGTGCGTGTTTCTGCACTGGCTGTTTCCTGCGGTGGGCCCGTAGAGGGGGTTCGTTCTGACCCTCTGCTCATCCGTGGCTCCTGTTCTGCGCGTTCTTTCATCAAGTCTGTCGGATGCTCCCGCGGTTCTCGCGGTCGCAGATGGCCATCTCCCTTCCAACTGATGTCCGGGTCGTAGTCCTCGTGCCATGGGCGTCCGAGGATTATGTCCTTCTCTGGCCCCATGTCCACGATATCGAATACCACTTGGGTGGTCTTTCCTGCCACCTCCATGTCGAGTGGTTCTGTTTCTCGTCGTGCCCATTGTGTGTCGAATGGTCCCTTGACGATGTATTCTTTTCCTTTGATCCTCCATGGGATTCTGAATTGATTCACGAATGTGGGCGAGATAAGATTCATCTGCGCTCCTCCATCCACCAACGCGAGGGCCTCGAATTTCCCCCATCGCGCTGCGATCCAGAGCCTGTTGTCTGGCTTGGTGCTTCGTACAGCAGCTGCTTCATATTCGTCTGCTGGGAGGTCGTTGTAAGGCTTCCTTCTGCGCCAGTTCTTCCTGTGCTGCGCGGCCTGTTTCCGTTGATCTCGTGGAGTTAGAGTTCTTCGCGCCCCTCGAAGGGCCCTGAGCCGTTTCCCAAGCCCTCGTGATGTTTCAAGGCGTCCCTGTCCGCACCTTGGCTTGCGGCGTCGATCGTTTGGTGTTCTTGGAGCCACTGAACCTCCCTGGGGTTCAGCCATTCCCGATCTCCTCTGTCTCCCTTCTGGGAGTCTGCTTGTAGAGTTGGACCCTCCCTTCTGCATGCTTTTCCAGTTTTTCGTTTGCGTGGATGACGCAGTCTGCTTCAATGCAGTTCCCGGCACCTCCTGTTTCTCTGCATGCTCGCAGCCAGGCATTCTTGGGGCTGACCCTCATCCTGCCGTCGCGAGCCATGCCCGTGTTCCAGAGTAGTGCGGATGGTGCGTTCCCATGGTCGTATACCCAGGTGGTTGGTACCTGCTGGTCCTGCTGATTCTGATGTCTGACAGGCCAATGCCCATGGTGAAGGTTGTCCTGAAAATGGTAGTGACATTCGTGCGCTATGCACTGGAACAATGGGAGGTAGATGTGATCCGTCTTCCGCGGATCCAGCCTCTGATGGTCTCCCTCCATCATTTGAAACCTCCGGTGCACTCCCCTCAGTCCGGCCGTCTCCAGATCTGATGTGGTTTTCCCTGGGCTAAGGAATTGGTGTCGTGCCCAGTAGTGGTTCCATTCCGGGGCGGGGCGCTCCTTCCTTTGGGCCCGACGTACTGCCCAGGTGTATTCTTGCTCCGGGTAGTGAACCCCGTCCCCGCATTCCTCTGCGTGCTCCGTGGGCCTGTCCCACGGGGCGTGGTCGGTCCACGCCCGCTCCTGCGCTTCGCGCATGGCTTGGGTTTCCCTTCCGATCCCGTCGATGTGTCTACCGATGTCCTCGTGGGTGCTGGTGAGTTCTCGCACTCCTTCCTTAATTGAGTCGAGTTCCGTGCGCAGTCGCTCGTACTGGTCGTTTCGTGCTTGGAGCAATTGTTTGAGCTCCTCCTTTTCCCTGACCAGTTCCTCGATCCTTTGTCGTTGTTCTAGAATCCGTTGTTGCAGGAAGAAAAGGCTAGGCCTGACCTTCCCATCTCCTGTGTGTGTCGTCCATTCTCCGTCGGCCTGCTGGGTCAACGTGGTACTCCAGTCTTGCGCGGCCTGTTGAATGTGCCGCGGGGGCGCCACTTTCCCCTCGTCGTCCGAGGTGATGAGCGCGTACTCGTTTCCCAACTCGGAGTTGTCGGAGTCTGAGCCCGTCAATTCGTCTTCTCGTTTGAGGGCTTGCTCGATGTCGACTTCGAGGTCGTCCTGCGTGTAACTGGCAGCTGCAACCTCCTGAATCCGAACTTTCTTCCCGACCGTGGCCTGGTCGATGGTGACGGCTTCCTTCCCTGGAACTGGTCGCCACTCCTTCTTGCTGTGGCAGTTACGCTTGACGTGACCCTTCTTGTCGCAGTTGTAGCAAGTGATGCCCGATTTGTCCTTGGCACCACCCTTCCTTCCTGCCCATTGTGCCTGGGCAGCACCGATGTCCATGGGTCCCGAGTGAGTGCCGTGTGACGTACTCTGGGGCTGGCGTTTCTTCTTGTCGTTCGCCTTGGGATAGACTGCGTCCTTCTTGCCGGTGCGCTCCTGTCGTCTTTCATACTGACGGTTGTCGATGGCGATGGCGCGTGCCATGTAGGCGTCGAGTGTCAACGCATCGCGTTCTTCTTTGATCAACTCGTCCTTGACATCGTCCTTGAGTCCGTCGTAGAAACGCCTCTTCAAAGCGTCCCCATCGGACTCAGAACGCCTGTTGGCGGAATTCAGATGCGTGGATGGCCGCTGACTTTTGTTGCCGAAGCTTGGTGAGCTTGGACTCCGCCTGGGATCGCTTGTCGAAGATCCCGAAAACTTGCGTGATGGCGTCTTCGAAGTCGACAAACGCCTCGAAGATCTTGTTGGTCTCCTTCTTGCGTTCGTCCTCAATGAGTTCGAGGTAGTCCCGCTGAGTAAGCTCAGACCACTCAAGGGCTCTACCCTCCAGATAGGTTGCCGCGAAGAGCACTTTGTCGGCCTCTTCGTTGAATGGGTTGAACCTGAAGTAGGACCGGAGTTGCGTCAGGAAACCCTGGAGCTCTTCTCTCTTGGTGCCATCAAACTTGGGCGGCTTGGCGACCTTGAGATGGTCCTGGCCCCTCCTAGGCGACGCTTCCTTGGTCCTCAGCTGATGGACCTTGGCTGCTAGTCGTTAAATGCGGTTTCAACCTTGGCGGCATTATTCGCAGCATCGCCGAGTTGTTTGGAGATGCCCTCAATCAGGGCCTTGACCCCTTCGAGCTCTTGCTTGAGGTCGTTATTGTCGACCTCCTCGTCGTCGGAGTCAGGCGTGGGTCTGGCCGGGTTGGACATGGTGTCGTTTTACCTTCAATCCTGAACTGTAGCAGAGTTAAAGGGAGTTAGCAACGTGTGACGAACCTACTTCAGGACCCTGTCCTGTTAGGGTTCAGCTTCGGTTGAAGGTAATCTCTCAAGGGTGCTTAGGTTCGGTGCAGCCAAAGGGTGCACAACAAAGACTTGTCTCAACAGTAGGCTTCACGAGCTTGTAGCGAACTGTAGTTGTGATTGCTAACTGAAGAACTCCCAGAGCTCTCCAGAACGAGTGGCTATATACTTGTCTACTTCCATGGTGCTCAGTGTGCTCAGTTCCTCCAGATACTGATCACCCTGATCACCTAGACCGGTTCGTACATTCTGATTGGTGACTTAGTCGTGGTGCTCAGTGTGCTCAGTCTTCTTGGTGACTGAGCTCACTGATCACCCTCCCGTCCTCCGGATTGGTCCGTTGAATGACTGCCTCGGGGCGTCCCGCGCCCCCGAGGTTCCACCTGTTGGCATATTCGTGACACAAAACTACTCTCTCATAACTAATATTTCATTCCATCTTATACAGACGCTATACTTTAGGAGATATATATATTATACGGGTCGAGGAGCGAGGTTGCCTTGTAGATAGATACCTACCTCCATTTCACTATTTCAGATCCTCTTCCTCGTTCCAATGCTATTTCTTTTCATACTTTTCAGGTTCGAATTAACCACGTTGCAATGTTGTTGTCCATGCTGCATTTGCATGCGAATTCATGTGGCTAAACCCCCTACACCACTAAAAACCCTGCTGATCGCGTTATTGTTCGCTATTGAATCATGATTCTCACATCTTGCTCTGGCGGTTCTGCACCAAGATGCGCTCGAGCCCCTCGCGCATATTCGCATCCATGCCTTTTGGGTTCGGCCTTGCAGTTGCTCGATCAACAAAAACCTGCACAAATTCACCGACGGACTTGACAGCGTCCTCTCCCTTTTCGAACAGAGCAATTTCGTAAGTAACGCTCGAGTTCCCAATGCGATTGACCCGCAGAGCGAGTTCTGCACAGGCGGGAAATGAGATAGATGCAAAATAGTCGTTGTGAGAGTGAACGACCATGCCATATTGTGGAGAAGACGATGGATGGAGCCCGCAATGTTCCATCAGATAGGTGTTGATGACCGAGTCATAGAGGAAGTTGTAGATGGAGTTGTTCATGTGGCTGTACATGTCGTTGTCGGCCCTGGATTGGTCAGTCCTGTCAGGGGCGAGGGAGTCGCGGGACGTTGCTCACCACCGAGTCCGGTACTCCAGGATGTATGCGTAATCGGCCCTTGTCCGCCGCTTTAACTGATTGATGTCGGCCATGGCGGACCGTCAGGTGGGGCGTGTCGGCGAGTCGCAGGTTCGTGTTTGATGGGGAAAAGGTAGCGCTCAGGATTGATTCCCTCGGCCGAGAAAGACTGAGGAACATGACATCAAGGGACCGCTCTTTTGTAAGTAAATAAACGAACGGCGGCCCGGGGTCGGGTTGGCAAGCCGAGGCCCGGGGAACCGGGTCCCATCGGTCTTGGGGTTGGCAAGGCGGGGAATCCCTACCAGGAACCGCGCTGTTTTGGAAATACTGCCCTTACTGACCGCCCTTTTTTCGTTCCTGAAGAAGACAAAAGTTCAGTTTCAACAGCATCCCATCAACCGCGTTGACACGAGAGAAGCGGCATCACGGAAATACGAAATTCTACGACACTGGCGGTACCACGGCCATTACTAGGTCTTCTAGCATCCTGCAGGAAGATGGCGGCTTCTGTGACCCGCCTCGCCGGGTCGGGCGCGCCGCAGCAGACCCAAGATAATCCCGTTCCAGGTGGCTCCGCCTCTGGACCTGTTCTTCCTTCCCCAATACTATCGGAACCATGGCCGCGGCCCTATTATTTTGAGGACGGCTTGCGCCGCGTTTCGCCTTACTTCTATACGTACAACACCTGGTGCAAGGAACGATGGCGGGGTCGGCAGCTCATCGAAGTTTTTCAGAGCGAGTTCCGTGACCGACCTCTCGAGTACTATCGTGAAGCCATGGAGTCAGGCCTGGTTGCTGTGAATGGCAAGACGGTTGGCCCGCACCACATATTAAAGAACGGACACCTCATATCCCATACCACCCATCGTCATGAGCCCCCTGTCACTTCCGATCCTATCGGTATCATTCATGAGGATGATGACATGATCGTCATCAACAAACCGTCAGGCGTGCCTGTTCACCCGGCCGGGCGTTACAATTACAACTCTATTGTTGAGATCATGAAGGCAGAGAGAGGCCTTGATTTCACCCCACGACCCTGCAACAGACTTGACAGGTTGACGAGCGGTATCATGTTCATTGCGAAACACACCAAGGCTGCCGAACAACTCGGGGTGCAGATTTTCCAGAGGAGCGTTCGCAAAGAGTACGTCGCCCGCGTCATCGGCAAATTTCCCGACGGAGAGGTCGTGTGTGACCAGCCCATTCTTCAAATCTCCCCCAAGCTCGGGCTGAACAGGGTGCGAGCCAACGGCAAAGCTGCGAGGACTGTATTCAAGCGCCTGGCATACTATCCCCCAGCTTCCGGCCTAGCCGTGTCCCCTAATGACGGTGGGACGACGGGCCCGGCAGAGGAACCGGTTTCTGGGCGGTCAGAATCGGCACCTCGACCGACCGGCGGTCGCAAGGCCGATGAGGGATATTCCATCGTGCGATGCTTGCCCGTCACAGGCAGGACTCATCAGCTCAGGGTGCATCTCCAGTTCCTGGGGCACCCAATCCAAAACGATCCGATATATGCCAACCAAAAGGTCTGGGGCTTGGGCTTGGGTTGTAACGATGCTGAGGGGACGCTGAACACCGACGAGGACGTAGTCACCCGCTTGTCCCGCATGGGCAAGGATCAGGTAGCTGATGCGGTTGCGTACTACGACGAAATGGTCGACGACTATTACAAAAAGAAGGCCGAGAAAATGTCGGGCGAGGTTTGCACGGTCTGTAGCACTCCTCTTTACACCGATCCTGGAGATCAAGAACTCGCGCTGTGGCTCCACAGTCTCCGGTATGAGGATGCCGAAGGGGCCTGGAGTTATGTCAGCCCTCTGCCTAATTGGGCCTTGCCGCCAGAAGGAGCCAGCGGACCAACCCAGGTTGGCGGGATGGAGGATTTGGTCGGTGCAGCTGGGGACGCCATTGTTGAATAAAATCACAAGCCGTGGCATGAGGAGAAACAGCCCCGGCCTACCCGGCCGACGATGGGCAAATAAACGAATATCCAAAGACGAACGAAAGGAGGTGAACTGGTCGCCCCCCCACGATATACCCCCACTTCATGATACCTTATCACAACGTATGTTCAGATCTTCCCTGGCTCGTTTCTAAGTCGGGCAGCCGTCCTTGATCTTCGGCCTCCTCTTGCATGGGCTGTGACTTGATTGTTGACTTCCCGAGTTAGCTTCACCCGTTCGTTCTATCCACCCTGTCGATAAATGCTTCGCTTTCCTTTAGTACCAGAGCTGCAAAGGTAGTGGGTGGGCTCCCAACGCCACAAGTATCCCAGGGTTCCCCTCGTCGAACATGAAAGCAACCTGGTCTTTTCTGAGGTGGACTTTTTGCCCGGCGAAGTGTTTGGTTGGTGGGGGTAGCCGGGCAACTCGTCAACCGTTGTGTGGGTGCTCAACTTGAACGGCCTAGAAGGGCTGGATAGAGACAGATCACTGTCGGCAACTAGCCACACTGGCTCGCCGGTTGTCCGTCACGCCTATCAATGGTCACACTGGTCCAGATGGTCGGGGGGGCCCGGTGGGCAAGACGCCACTTACCACCGCTTCCTTTGGCGAATGCCGCACTCGAAACATGTCGTCATCGTTAGCGAGGAGAGTTGAGGTGGCCCCCACGGCGTCTCGGACACCTCCTGGCTCCAGGGTGTTCGGCTATGGCAATGTCTTCATCCAGTGTATGTATGTACATATTTCTGTCCTTTTGGAAACGGCGGCGTGGAAAAGCCACAGGCCAAGGCGGAGCTATGCATCTGGAACGCGGTCTCTTGCCATACCGTCGTGGCAAAAGCCGGCCTGCTCGGAAGAAGCGTACGGTACCCTCGCCAGAGGGTTTATTGCCCACGTATCTGTGCACCGCCATTGAATCCCCGAACGAGCAAGCAGTGAAGTTGAAACCGAACACGGTGCAACGCCCCGATGCGGTTTCTGTCCAAGGGTCCATCACGCGCACGGCGACGCAGCCGGCGATATGGATCTATTCGTACAACCAGGTTCTCTGGCTGCTTGGCGGAGCTCGGTGGAGCCACGTACCCAGTGTCTTCCCAGACCAAAGGCATGTCGTCACTGTTCCACTGCCCACTGCCTGTGATCGAGGCGCTCTGGGCCGGTGGAGGGCTGCTAGGCCGTTCAGCTTTCACATGTTACCTATCCGTCAAAAAACTTTTTTGCCTCCTTCTGCAAATTAGTAAACCGTGGTGGATTACTCTTGCCTGGAGATGATCTCCTATATAGCAAATACCCAAGCGGGCATATTTTGCAGAAGGGATAGAGATCGTGGTGTGTCTGTGCATACTCTTTTTCTCGGTGCTCCCCCATTCGTAGGCCACAACTGGCGGGGGGGTGGAAACCGAGCGAATTAGAGGTTCTCTTCGGCGTCAACAGAAAGCCTTCGCCAAACCCTCGACGGCTGGCTATGCACATGACAGCCACCAGGCTATCTCACAAAGATGGATGCTTGTGACCAGCTATGTACCATAAGAAGTTTTGGCCGATCTCCATGCATTTGGTAAGGCAAGATGCAAGTTTCCGGCTTCCTTCCTTTGGGTTCCTTTATATCCCGATTTTCCTCCCCTTCGGATTCGGCCCCCTTCGTTTCCCTGTCCAAGGTTTCGTCGGCATCTACACTTGGAGTTCGGCCTTTTTTTGTTTATGGGGTGGTGCCCACGTATATCCCAATCTAACCCACCATAACGCCCGGCTCCTACTCGCGGACTCTTTCCAGCGCTCCAACCCGCGAGTCTTGAGGCCCTTATCACATGCTCCCACCCCTCTGCCGTCATGTCCCTGCGGTGTGGTCGTAATGAACAGGTGGAAGCCTCTCCTGGTGCCCGGATGGACCGGACTTTGGATGTCACAGTTGCAGGACTGTGGTTACGGTTACAAGGGCCCTCCGAGCCATCTCTTCCCCGCGACAGAACAATTACGACACAGTCAGCCGGCTACAGTGTGTGGGCGTGCGTGCGCGCTGTGAACGTCCGATCGCCCCCGTTGCCGCACAAGTGAGCCTGGGCCATGTGATCGTCGTGGTCGTTTTGGCTGGGGAACAACTGCGTGCAATACTGGCAGTAGAACATTGTGAAGGTAGGGTGACTAATGGAAATGTGAGGGCGTGTTCGGGGGCCACATTTCTTTAGAAGTAGTTGCTGTTCGGGTAGCCCGGCCAGTGTCCTTCTTGGAGAAACGCCGAGGATGATTGGGCACCATGGTTGGTGTAACGGTCGGTCGAGGGCCCTAGCAAGAATCGTCAGCTGGCAACGAAAGTAATCACGTAGCGGGGCTAAACTTCGGCGGCCATACCTCCCTCCGGTTCTTCGTACTTTGTTTTGGCCGATCCGAGGCTAGGTGCAGACGTGTGGGCCGCCATAACATGCCCCTCTACCATCGGCACTCCCGCGTGTCCGCAGGTTGGCGTAAGATCCTCCCCGGGGGCCGACGGTCTCGGGCTCGATCCGGCCGACTTCACCGCGGCCGTAGTTGATATGGGCACCACGCTGTTCGGCCAATGGTCGTAAGAATTTCCGCCGCCGTAAGGAGATCCGTAGTCATCATGTGGTACATAGTATCCGCTCATATTGCCCCCAATAGCCTCATCTTCTACATCGATGCCTGGGTTGAAATGCGGATTAGCAAGAGGACCCAGCCTAGACTCAAAACGTGAACAGGTATGGAGGGGAGGAGGTGCATACCTGGCGACTGATATTGCTGCCCAGTGTGAATGTTAAGGGTTTTTCTCAGAAGGCGGACCTCCTTTTTCAGTCGGTTATTCTCACGCATGACTTCACGCACATCGGTGCCATCGTTCTGTTTTCTGAGGGTGTCCACCTCTATTTGAAGATTCTCGATCAGCTGCTTGTTGCGGCGCCGGATGTTTTGCTGGGCTATTCGGTCGTTCTCTCTTTTTCTCTTCCGTTGCTCTTCTGAAAGATTACTGACTCGTCTGGCACCTGCTCAACACAACGTCATCGAAGTCAGCAACGGCAAAACCTCAGGGGGATGGCCAGACGGCAGCCAAATCATCAATAACAATAACTTGCCCTTTCCTTTGACCCTGGGGGGTTTGGGTGGCTCTTTACGATCGGGCTCTGGTGTCATGTTCAATCTCACTGGTTGGAATTGTCTGAATCGTATGCGAGAACCGCGGGTGGGCTGTGTCATACATGCATGTGTAGTACGGGGCGGAAGGGGGGGATGAGGTCACAACACAAAGGCCGGGGCGCGATGTGTTAAAGCTGACTTGATAAACCCTCAACTTCCTATGCCGGAAGATTGCCCTCGACGGTGGAGCACGCAGATTCTTGAAGCAGGGCTCCCCTTCCACCTACCCATCAGCCCGGGACCCATCCTTGTCGGTTGGGTGGAACGCACTTAGTGTATTGCAAAGCTGGTGTTGGATGGTGGCAGGTCGAGTGATCACCATGTAGGCCCTGTTGATAAACCAGGCTATCCGCGAGTTCCTGCACAAGTACTTCGTGTCCCGCAAAGATGGTGTCGAGCAACGATGATCGTGGTGCGTAAGGTTGCAGTTTCAATCGCGGCGTCTCGTTTGCCCTGACCTCAACGTTCACTCAAGCTTTTCGGCTAGAATAGCGTTGTAACACCTCTACCCCGAGTGGCAGGGGGGGGGGGGGCATTCGGGCGGCATTCGGGCGGCAGTCCACACTCGCATGGGGTATTCGTACAGCCGTGTTACGGCGGCCGCCACCAGCTTGCCACCACCACTTGTAGGGTAACCGCACGGCTTTTTGTCGCGTCTCTGGCACAAGTCGAGTCGAAGTTCCTTGCGTCGACGGCCTTTTAGCTAATGCCATAAGAATGTAATAAATGAGGGATTGAGGATCTAACGGGCAACAAAAGCAGTTCTCGAACTTGGATTTCCATTCAAGTTATCAGGCCAAGCTACATGAATCAATTAGCTTTGGGGTTCCCAGAGTCGCGGTGCATGTATCCTATTTTACGAGCGAAGAAGCGGCGAAAGAAGCGAGGAGACCACAATCGAATCGGCGGATGCTGGGATATGAGAGATGGGACGAATGGAAGGTCGCGTGTTGCGCCTCCGAGAATTCCCTCACCGTCATGGATTAGTGTAGTGTGTTTTGACCTGGAGCCACAAAGTGCGTCATGGCGATGAAAATGACTCTTGCGACGATGACGAGGCCCACTAAGACCCCCATATCGTGAATAAGCCCCTCGCGGGGACCTCTTGTATGTGGCATGCACATAGTGTGTTGTGCTTCTGGAAAGTCTGGACGACTCTGGACAAGTTAAGGAAGTTTTTTCGAGTTCACCGACGGTGTTAGCTTGGGGGACATAGCCACTCGGCTGCTCTGCCAGATCCAGAGAGGGTGATTGGCCCCTGAGACGGACGCGGCTCACGTCACCGGCAAAGACGATCACGCTCTCTGCTTTTCTCGGCCGTCCACGGTCATCCGCTTCCTCCGCCGAGCAGCGGACGGTGAGCTCCGGACATCCGGCTGTTTAGCCGGGTGCATAAAGACAACCAAGCGGAAAATACTTTTTGATATTTCGTTGTGTCAGTACCTAATTATCAGGGGATTGAGATTGACAAGGGAGAGGAGTATTTCCACAACTTGCCTCTTGCGACCATAATGCTTCGAGGGTAGGTTTCCTGCAAAGTATGGATGCAAGCGCGATCTGTCTCTATATGTCCCCGGTCTTGCCTAAACTAGAGACCTAACCACCCCGCCCCACCCCCACTGGCGGTTTCGTGAATTGTTTAACTCCGGCATCTCGCTCAACATAGGATGCCCCGACCTGCCACCTTCTCGACATATTTTTACTCCCAGCTTTGTTGCTCGCGTCGTCTCAACCCTGCCCCTCTTCCCAGGCCGAGCATAGAAGTCCACCTCAGCCAAGACCACCTCAAACGTAAATGAACTCGGCCGTTGTTGATCTTTTCGCTTGCTATGGGGGGCTCCGATACACCCGGGACGCTGGAGAACGACAGGGGCGTCGATGTCGGTATGGCGCCGTCCCCTCCATCCCACCGCCTGGGGCAAGGCAACGGGCGCCCATCTCCTCACAGGGAATACGGGATGAGGGGCCCCAGCAACCGCGCAGCCGGGCCAGAAACTGTCTCTTGGAGGGATCTTCCTCGCAAAGACCAACTTTGTGTCATCACCCTGGCGAGACTAAGCGAACCGCTCGTTCAGACCTCCATCCAGTCTTACATGTTTTACCAGCTCAAATGGTTCGGCCCGACCCTCTCTGACGCGGTAATATCGGGCCAAGCTGGCATCTTGCAGTATGTCGTCCCTTCTGGCTCCGTTTGCCGCCCAGGGGTAGCTCCTGACCGTCTCCGCCTCGCCCGTAGCGCAAGTTTCACGGCTGCACAGTTCTTGACTGCCATGCTCTGGGGTCGGATTGCCGATTCCGGCCGGGTTGGCCGCAAAACCGTGTTAATGATTGGCCTCGCGGGAACATGTGGGTGCTGAAGTAATCACATGCTCGTGTTACTCGCTGACGTTGCCCCCCTTCCTGGAGTGCTGTCCTGTGTTGGTTTCGCCTTCTCGACCTCGTTTGAACAGGCCTTGTTCTTTCGGTCTATTGGGGGTATTACGAATGGCAACGTGGGGGTACTTAGGACCATGTAAGGCCAAATCCTATTTCGTTTTACTTTGAGCGGTGCGGCCTGTTAACAGCCCCCGGTGTGATAGGATCAGCGAAACTGTCAAGGAGAAGAAGTAAGTCGATGGCCCTGCCCCTATGGGACGGACTGATGCTCACTAACGTCGGTGACTGTTTAGGTACCAGTCCAGAGCCTTCTTGTTGTTGCCCATGACATTCAATGTCGGTGTTATCATTGGGCCCGTATTAGGGGGCATACTTTCCGACCCGGCCGGGAGCTACCCGTATCTATTTGGTCATGTCGACTTTTTTAGACGTTTCCCTTACGCCACGCCAAATTTGGTTGCGGCCCTTTTTCTTCTCTGTGGGCTCCTTGCCGTATGGTTGTGGCTGGAGGAGGTGAGCTCCACCCACGACTGCGTGTTTCCAGCATGGCCAACTCGCTAATTCTGGCTAGACATTAGACTCGAGGGTGAATAATCGGGATAGGGGGCTGGAACTGGGGCAAAAGCTGCGTAAGTGGCTCTTTAAGGGGCGCTCGGGAGCAGCCTATACACCTCTGGCAAACCAAGAGGTGGTTCTCGACCTCGACGATTCAGGTGTGACAGGCATGGCACACCCGCGGCAGTCCTCCACTTTTGAAGCCCTCCAGAGGCCGAAACGGCCCGGGCGTAGGTATACGCAGAGACTCGCCTTCCGACGCATTTTCACGCCCAATGTCATCTGGACATTGATCGCAAACTTTCTGATAACATTCCAACTCGGCACCTTCAACTCCCTTTGGTTCGTATTCCTCTCCACGCCTGTCTACGACCCACAGAGCGACTCATCGGTGCGCCAATTACCCTTCATCTTCACCGGGGGACTCGGCCTCCGCCCTCCGCAGGTGGGACTGGCAATGGCTATCCTCGGCGTGATTGGACTCTGCCTCCAAGTCGGCGTTTACCCCTGGCTCTCGACGCGTCTCGGCACGGTTGGCAGCTGGCGTCTCTTCCTGCTGTTTCCGCCCTTGACGTATTTCTTGGTACCTTATTTGAGTGTTGTCCCGTCGGCTAGTCCGCCGCCGCATCCCAAAGACGGTGTGACGGTTTGGGCCGCCATAATCGGCGTTCTCCTTCTCCAGGTCCTCGGTCGGACCTTTACGCTTCCCGCACAAACCATCCTCGTGAACAACTGCACTCCCCATCCCAGCGTTTTGGGTAGTGTACATGGCATTGGGCAGAGCGTGAGCAGCTTTGCGAGGTCGGTTGGGCCCATTATGGGCGGTTTCTTATACGGGCTAGGCTTGGCTAAAGGAGTTGTTGGTGCTGTCTTTTGGTGCCTTTCCGGAGTTGCGGTCTGCAACATCATAGTGAGCTGGTTTGTGCGTGAGGGGAATGGACACGAAATCTGGTTAGAGGGCGACAAGGAGGAAGAGGAAGGGTACTGATATCGTGCATACGGGTTTTGCGGTGTGTCGGGAGTAATGGGCTAAACAACGGTCCGACCACTTACGGCAATGGCACTGATATATTGAAAACATGGTGTTTGACAACATATGGCAACTGGCCGTAACACACAATACTTAATGTTGCAACCGCAAACAAGCAGTCACTTCTTTGTCAATCTCAGTAGTGCTATGGCCGAACTCTGGGTTGTCCTTCAGAGTACCTAACCTCCAGGCGCTGATGCCTGGGTCCGGGCTTAGCCAAACCATCCGCCAGACCTCCAGCAGGCGGTAGCGCTTGCTGTATTTGTGATGGTGGTAACATGCGTTTGACTGGAGGATTTGTGAGCAGGTATCGACGATCAGGGCACTCGGAGAGAACCTACCCGACCCACACGGTGCCAGAGAGGTGGCTTGTGAGGTATACGACATCTGTCCGTGTCACTGGCGTAGGGTTTCCTCTGTTGATAGTGATTGTCACATCGGGATTTCCCCCAGTGCACACGGTCGAAGGAGCCGGAGTGCTGTTTGTCAATAGTTAGAGCCGTGGTACGGGGCGGCAGAGGAGGGAAAGCGATGAGAAGGGCAAATCGGCAGCTCTTACATGGTGGCAGTGGTTGTTCTCAGGACTATGGTTCCGTCAGCTGGTAGGCACGCAACTAGTGTCCGCGGTACTTACCAAGCTCGGTTGTTGTCCTACCCGGAACCGTGGTCACGACCGTTCTGGTAACTGTGTAGGTGGTCTGCGTGTACGTCACCGTGACTACAGCTACGGCGGCTGGGTCGGCCACATCTAGTTTGTCTGCGGTGATGGGGTCAGCACTGGACTGGAACTGTCAGGGCAGGAGGGGGAACCGACTTGATGGATAGTGGCAGCTAGCCGTTTCCGAAGCCGTGGTCGTCCAATAGCTCGTTACTTGGTCGTCTGTCACTGTTCTGATTGCTGTCGACGTAACTACAGCTGTTGGGCCTTGTTGGAGACCTGTGACTGTTCGTGTTGCCCCGCTGCACCGGGTAGTCACAGTTCGGGGAACTATGATGAGAGTCTCAGTCAATACAAGGGTTGTCAAGACAGCTGCAAGGTTATTAGCTTCCAAGGCGCCCACGAACTTTGGGTAGACAGGTCAAATACTCTGGGCCTTTGCGGTGGTCGTGTATCTTATGGTAACCGTTGGTGTAACCTGTTGGGTGGTTAACTGGGCGGCCAGCAGTACCCAGGAAAAGGTGACATCACTTACCGTGACCCGCGTAGTCTGCGGCACGCCGACAGTAAGGGTTATGGTACGCTGACTGGATATCTGGTCGCCGGCGAGGATGATTCTCCAGCGTCCCGATGACATGGCAGAATAGGGGATGCCGCTTAACGAAAATGATAAGCAGAAAGCTGAGACAGATGCACACCGGGAGATGTCCTCACCAAGTTGATTTTACTTGGGTGCCGGCAGGCTGAGTTTTGATGTCAGAGCAGGCATACACATTGTCGTCCGGGCTAACTAAGACCGGGCTGATGGTTTCCTGGGAGCATCCTGTGTGGAAATCAGCGCCGCGTTTCTAGCTTGATCCGCTCCGTGGACTTACCCTGAAAGACGGAGATGAAACTGAAGTACTCGTTGGATTCACTGTCAATGTCATAGCTACCGACCATTAGAAAAATCGACGCCATAACTAGTGCATGCGGCGCTAGCACGCAGACCCAGGAGTGCAAGCGCACACCAGTATCCGAGTCTTGACATATACATTGTCGCTTTTGGGAGATATGTGGATTTCTCAAGTCCCAAGCATAGCATGACGGGTGCGCCCATTGGCTCTTATGTAGACCCATGCTGGGGCACCGTCAACCCGGTGATCGGGCGAAAAGTATAGTATCTCTTTAAAGAGATATTAACTGGAGCGTCTAGACACCCGACTCAAGCCGATACTGGATGCGCCCGCCATATACAAGGGCCCAGACAGGCTTCACCGGCAATGTTATCGGATGTTGATGGGGGAAGTACGGAGGGCCTGCATGTGCCAGTGGTGCAGAGATAATAACCGGAACGGGCCAAGGAGCAAGCGGCACGACAAGGTTGGGTCAGTCTATATAAACCGGCCATCCCGCATCGTCGGTTATTAAGTAGTGGGAGAGCTCTGCAGCTACTTTGGAGGGGTCCTCTGAGACTGGATTCCGCCGTGGACCGGCGGTGGTGGGAGTTCGGGATACTTGACCTTTCTTGGGGTATTCGTCGCTCGGGTGTGTGCTGTGAAGAGGCGAGGGTAAACAACTTGAAGCACCGAGAGTATGGCGTTGGAATTGACTCTTGAATTGGCACCCACAAAGTAAACAGACAGGCTGCATCGTGGTGAGTGAGCCTTAGCAGGGGCGGGGTACGGGTGCTGGTGGGCAGCGTCCTGTGTCGCTGGGTGAATCCAAAAATAGGGCAGGCGGTCCGGAAGGTTCCAAAACTGCGGGATCGCGGGAAACCGGGTATTGTCAATCACGAACGAGGCGGTGGACGGGCTTGTGCACCCATGGCTCTCATGTCAATTTGTATACTGCCGGCCCAGTGTGCGGTTCGTTTGGTTTGGGCGACTGGTTTTTGACGTTCCTTGTTTTATTGCTGCGAAAGTACAGATGGAAATTTCGTCTGATAACCTAACTTGTTCCATCCCTTATACAAAAAGAAATGGCTGTCCACCGTTGTACAGAAGCAACTCAGGTAGGGGAGTTATACGATGGAGAAGGAACGAGATACTCCTGGGTCCTACCACTATAGGCGCCTACTCGAGGTTATAAAACTCTTTACAAGTAACTTATGGCCTCTCTAAGTCTTCTATTTATACTGAATGTACTAAAGCTGGCGACGATAATGGTGGCGACTGGCGCATCCTGTTCGAGATAACCACCCACCTCTGGGTTAAGGACAGGCATATAGCGCGGCTTACCCTCTGCGAAAGTTTACCTAAAGCTGGTGACTCATAATACATATGATAATACTGAACTTGGGTTCCATGAAATCATAATATTGCCTGGCTTGATTGAGCCTTTCCATGATAAATTCTCTCTCAGTGATGACAGGTCGAGTATGAAGATACCTAAGGTACTGGTATTCTTATCCTGAGGGACCCCCACCGCGAACAACCCCCCCACTCCCCACCGCTCACCCATTTTCCTAGGTAATCTATCCTTCCCCAAAGTCGTTCCTTGTCCTCCATTGACGCTCCCCCGCCGATTTAGACTACCACCCAAAAACAAAATGAACGATTTAGCCCGAAGCACCATAATCGAGGCGGTTCCCCTCACACCCGAAGCCTTTGCTCCCTTCGGGGATGTGATTGAGAACCCGCGGCCCGACGTCCACCCTTCATCCGCCGATAAGCGACCACACCTCCCGTTCGATGCTATCGTCGCCAACCAAGGCTCGGCCATCAAATACCAGCATCTCTCACGGCAAATAAACCTCTACGACCAAGCTCCAAGCGGCCAACCGGGATCCGCCGTAATGAACATGTTCGTGTGCGCCGCCCGCGCCCGCATCCCGGACCCACCCCAACTTCCAGCCCCGGCCCCGTCTCCGGCCCGAAACCCAACCACAGCGGAGCACCAAGACTCGCCTCATCCCCAACCATCCACATTCCCCATCACCGTCCTCGAACGCCACCCCTACACCACCCAGACCTTCATCCCCCTCGCCGCCAATCCCACAACACAGTATCTCGTCATCGTCGCCCCCACCCTCCCTCCACCTCTCAACGGCCCCCCAAAGAAGGGAAGAGGAGGAGGAGACCCTACCCGTACCCACCAGCCTTCCGCCCTCCACAGACTACCCACGCCCGCTGCCGGGGGGCGGCCTGCCCGACCTGCGCCGCGTCCGCGCCTTTGTGGCGAGTGCCGCCCAGGCGGTCACCTACGGCGCGGGGACCTGGCATGCGCCTATGGTTGCGCTGGGCGAGAAGGGGACGGCGGTGGACTTTGTCGTGGTGCAGTTTGCGAATGGGGTGGCGGTGGAGGATTGTCAGGAGGTGGGTTTGAAGGGGGGGATGTTGGCAGGGCGTGGGGGGGCAGGGCAGGCGGGTGATGGGGGGCTGGTGGTTGCGTTGAGGCCCGTGGGGTGGGGGGGTGGTGAAGGAGGGAGGGAGGGGAAGGCGAAGTTATGAGGTTGTTCGAGCTGGATAGACTACGGTCATCTAGACTTATATAACGCCGAGTGGTTTGTCTTAGGGGATCTTACACATTGGGCACACTGCATATAGTCGCCGTCTACCGTTGATAGGCAGATTAGCCTGCCAAATCACGGAGGGAGTAGAGAGTTGCCATAGATAATAGATTCGTTTGGTGCTTCTAAATATGGCTCAGCGACCACCCCTATTAGTGAAGCGAAAACATCCGGGGGGCACTGCTCATCATCTGGGCCTGGTCCTCCAGCGCCCCTTTCTCTTCCCTGTCCTGCACAGGCTCGCATCTCCATGGTGCCGAGCCTTCCGTACTCATACATGTGGCCAGCCTGACCCGACCCCATCGGACCTCCTATCCACGCCTAGAAACCCGCCCTCCTCACCTCATCACTCTTCCTCGTCGCCTAACCACCATGGGCGGGCGAAGTCCGCAAAGAACGCCCCCACCGCCGGGCTCTCCTTGCCGTACTTGCGCAGCATCTCCTCCTCGATCGTGCCGCTGGTCATGAAGTGGTACACCTGTACCTCCTTGTCCTGCGGGGTGCGGATGCACCGGCCCCTGGCCTGCCGGACCGTCCTCGCCTGGTGCTCCTGGTCGTGGTGCACGTAGGGGTTGGTGAAGACGACGTGGTTGGCGATGGTCAGATTGCTCCCAGCACTCGTCTCGCTGTCCATGTCGAGGAGCAGGACCCGACCGGCCTTGCCAAGCTTGAATTTCTCAAGCATGGCCGAGATGTCGTCGTCCCCCACCGCCGCGAGGTTGAGGAATTGGATGCCGGCGGCCGTGAAAGCCGCCGCAAGCGCGTCGATCACTAGGCGGTACTGTGCGAAGACGACGACGAAATCCTCGGCGGGGATTTGATTGGCGATGAGCTCGGCGACGCGGTCGGCTTTCGCGAGGGGCTCGCCCTGTGGGGGTGGCGGGACCTCGGAACATCGGAGAACTGGGCGCTTATAGATGAAAGCCCAGCAGTCCAGCACCGGACAGTAAGACTTTGCAGCGGATTTGCATCCGCTGCACAGAAAATGACCACACCCAACCACCAGGAATGACGTCGACGCCGACGTAAGAGGCACCGAGCAACCACCACAGAGCTTGGCCCGCACAACGGCATCGGCATCCTGAGCATTGGCCAGCGAGGTATACTCGGGGAGGAATCTGGCCTCGAGCCTCGTCGCCCTCAGGTCTTCGACCGTCTTGGCGAGATGCACCATGGTCCGCTTCAGCTCCTCGTTGGCCGCCGCCACCTGGGCCTCCTTCGTCGCGCCGCACGCCGTCGCCTCGGAGAACGGCCGGAACTTGTCGGGCGGCGCCCGGCCGTCGCGGTAGAGATCGGGGATCCCGAGCCCGTTCTGGTGCCGCCAGAGCTTCTCCTTGAGATTGTCGACCGTGTGCGCCGACGTGTACTTGACGTTGTGGCTAGTGAGGATCTCTTGGAGAGAGAGCCTCACTGCCTTGGACCCGTGGTCGGGGAGCTGGAAGGTTCGCTTGGCCTCCTCCCACCTGGGAGGCTTCGGCTTGGCGCGGATGCATACTCGGATGAACTCTTGGAGTTCACCCTTGCCCAGGCCGGCGAGGGCGGCCATGTCGCTCTCTGCCAGAGCCGCAATGTCCCCCGGGATGGTTCGGCGGTGGGACTCCGCGGCGAATGTTTTCTCGAGCAGCGGCACGTCTCGAGCTTCGCCAGTGAAAGGGGGTGCATCCGGCATGACTTTGTACTTAAGCCAGCAAATGTCTTTAGCGAGCAGGAGGAGTTGCCGCTCGCTTAACCCTTTCACGTCCCGTTCCTCCAGCTCGAAGAAATCAACCCAGGTGTGTAACGCTTTCTCGACGTCGTACTTTTTGAGCCAGTCTCCAAAGAAGTGCTTGTCGACTAGCGCACGGGTAGAGTTGATGTTTGGCTGGGCGTCGGCCGCGGTGGTGGTCTCTGGCTCTGTGATCGGTAGCCCTGCGATGACAGCAGCCTCCAGCTGGTACATCTCGATACCGCCAAAGTCCCCGAAGTCCCCCGTATCTAGCGCCTTGCTCATGGCGCCGCATATGGCTTCTACTCGGTTCAGAGTACTATCGACGGGTGTCTCCTTGGACTGAATGATCTGCCTGGTGTAGAGAGGGAGGATCCAGCGCCAGAGCCACATCATCTTGTCCCAGAGCTGCTTCATCTGCTCGCTGAGTTTCTCGCTGCGGTCCGCAAAGTCGTTGGGTCGGGTCAGGGCCTCGCGCTGACCGAGGCCACAGGCGAGCACGCCCAGGAGCATCTTAGCCGCGGCCGATCCATCCATGCCGACCAAGTCTGACCCTCTCAGGGCCACCACGTCGCGAGCGTGTACGGGGAGGGCGGGGTAGTCGGAACCGGCGTCGAGGACCTCCTGGTTGACCACGTGATATCGGACCGAGTCCGACGTCGTCATCTCCACGGGCAGGACGTGCTCCCTGAAGCGGATGTTGATCTCGGGGTCCATGGGGTTGCCGCGCAAGTGGGAACCCAGGAACAGCGCCGCGCGGTCGTGGCGGTGGTGGGCGAGGCGCGGCCGACTTCGGGACGGAGGAGTAGACGTGGAACTGTTCGCTCTTGGACATCGGTTCCAGTCTCACTCCTCGCGTCACCGCCGGCAGGCCGGGCAGCATCCGCGGCTCGGGCCGGGCGACGTGGATGCCCAACGCCGCGGCCATCTGGCAGACCTCCTCGAGCCCGAAGAGCTTGGGGGTCGCAGAAATTGGCCACTTGGCGTTGGCCACGGCGTTGGCAACGAAGAGGCCAATGGGCCCGGCTTCGTAACAAGAGCATTCGTCCCAGACGATACGGGCGAAGCTGAAGTTATGAAGCCAGGATATATCCCATGACCTCTTCGCTGCGTCCCGGCCCTCCTTGCCCTTGCTGGCCCCGCGCTGCTTTTTCTTTTGGCCGGCGTCGTCCTCGCTCTCGCCGGCATCGGCGAAACCCGCGGCTCCCCCGGTCCCCTTCCCGCCCTTCTTGTACCACCGGCGGTTGATCTCCGACACTTGCTTCTTGACCACGGCGGCGATGTCGGCCTCCTGCTCCTTGATCAATGCGGGCAAGATCTCGTCGTTGGTCCTCTCCGTGAGCTCGTCGTGGGAGCTCCCGGCGGCCCGGCCAGCGAGGTAGTGGGCGGTGAGGATTCTGTGGTTCCTCAGCGCCCCGCGGTACCAGGCTTCCAGAGTCCGCCCGGAGAGGCCATCCCCGCTTCTTCCGGCGACCCCCTGTAGGTCCGACAGAAATGCTTTAGACGTGAACACCGCGCTGCTCATGATGATGATTTCCGCCTGTTCAAGCCGCTCTCGTGAGTACCGCCCGTAGAAGGCCCTTTGATTATCGATCAGGAGGAGTTTGGGCTCGTCCAAACCGAGGAACTTCTTGGCCTCGTTCATCCACTGGCTTGTGATGTGCTTAGGGACAACCACAAGAGTTGCCGGCAGGTGGCAGAAGAAGGACGCGGTTGGGTAATCCAGGGGTCGCAACTCGAAGACACCGGATAGATCCTCTGCCCATGCGGCGTCGACTTTCTCCCTGCGCTCATCGATGGACTGCTTCTTGTCGAAATCTCGCATGTGGTCGATGAGAGCAAGAGTGACCACGGTCTTCCCATAGCCAATCTCATGAGCGATAACACCACCACGGGAACTGAAGGGGAAGCGGCTGGCCCATTCGGCCTTGCCTAGCACGCGCAGGTTGAGCGGTGAAACGATCTCTTCCTCGACTTCGGACTTAACAAAATCAAGGGGGGCTCGCTCGCGTCTCAACATCCAGTCGACAGCTTCTTTCTGGCTCGGCCTGAGATGGTGGCCTTGTTTCGTCATAAGCGGGGGGCCGCCGTTGGGTAGTTCGTATTCGCTCGTGGTGTCGATGCCATCTGTGTTGTCTTCGCTGCAGGGCCGGACGAAGGTGGTGAAGGGCGCAAAGCCGGTCATTGAGGCAGACGCATAGTCGAGCTCCACCGTGAATGATGTCACCGCATCCGAGTTGACGGCGTTCCGACCGCGTGCTATGCTGCGATGAGCCTGGAAAAGGTATGCGAGGGCTCTCGACGCGAGGGTCTTTGGCTGGAATAGGAGCCTCATATTCATGGTGACCTCTCCTCCCCCGCCTTGAAGGAATCGTGCAGCAACTGCCACTGCCCTGGGGAGGTCCTGGTATTTTCTCTCGAACAGGGCGGCTTCGTCTGGGTCTTCGATGATGGTCTTGGATTGCTTATTCTTCTGCTCCTGTTCTGTGTGGACTGTTATCTCCGGCGGAGTCATGGAACAGTCCGGGCAAGGGGCAATCATAACCCATTTCCTTTCGAGATGCGGGAACAAGGAGAGGGTCTCCGGTGCCGTGGACCGGCAGAGCAGGTTGGAGAGGAAAGCGAACGTTCTCAAGAAGGGCTCGCGCCTTGTGGCGGGGATAATGGTGAACTCGTTGTCGGTCTGATGCGAATCAATCTTGAATAGGTGCGTTTCTGTTCCTGGAAACTCGTTGAAGGCCGCGGTAATTGCCGCAAGGGCGGGCATATGGATGATGGGAGCTTGCCCGTCGGTATGGCAAGACGCCTGCTGGATGGCTTGGGCAAAGCCCCAATGGATGTGGCCAAGGTCTTGCGAGGGACTTGAGCTGGTGAAATCCAAGTTATCAATACAGCCGGACGGGCGCGACCAATATCCAGGCCAGAACACACTCATTGACTTGTCGATGCCGTAATCAAGCCCCCAGGTAAGTGTAGGCTGGGCATGGAGCAGGATCTCCTGATATTCATGGGGCTCCATCCTTCTCGTAGTCTCCGTCCACACGAAATGGTCCTCATCGGGGTCGCGAAGCAACCCGGAATCCCACATCATGAAGACGACATTGTCAGGGGACGAGGATTGGTTGATGTGTAGACGATTTCCCGCCGTCCCGCAGTTGGGGTGATGGATGTAGGTGCCGTACACCTTTGCCTGTACCAACGCCTTCCATTCCTGTAGCGATGGGGTGGGCACCCCGTCATATTGAGGCGCGAAGGACAAGTCGCTGGGAACGAGGTTGTTGTTTTCGGCGTTGCTGAAACTGAGCCTCAAGTCGATGCGGCCCTGAGCCCAAACTGACCACTGTGGGAGGCAGATATCGCCAGATTTAGCAAGCTGTCCTCGTGCTATGGGCTGGTCAAGGTCGGACACCCTGAAGAGATCGGCGCGCCGGGGGTGCCAGGGCGCGATGTAGATGTACCAATGGCAAGGACCCTCGGGGGCGAGGATAAGATGGGCGGTGCTGTTACTGGCTTTGTAGCACACGGTTACCACCTCGGTAACCTTGATTGCATCAAAGTAGTAGACGTGATTCCCCTCTTCGTCCAGAATGTCTTGAACAACTGAGCGATACAACGGCTCTTTGACGGAGCTCAGGGCGTAGTTGACAATGAAAGCTGGGACAGGCAGCTTGAGAGCGTTGGGTAACATTTCGTTGAGTTGGACCTTGCCCTCTTCGGGAGTGAACTCCAAACTAGTGGCCGTCTTGGGTCCGAATCGATGGCTTGGGTTTCCGCGACAAGCAGAGCAGGCCGTGGCGCCGCAGTCGCGGCAGACAAAGATGTCGCCCGGCCGAGTTTGGCAGTAGCACCGGCGCACCATCGCCTCCACCTTGGCGAGGAGCGGCGCAAGGCGTGTGGTGGTAGTTCTCACCGCACCGGGTTCCAAGATTTCATCCCGAGGGATCTCTAGGCGCAGTTCGCGATTCGATGACGCCGGACGGGTTTGTTGAAGTAGCACTGTCAGGGTGGCGACGACTTCAAGAAGGGTCAGGGTGACGGCACCGACCACGGGAACCGTCATGGCATTTCCTGCAAGGTCTCGTAACTCAGCCTCGGTCTCGGTCGAGAGAACCAACTCGCCGATGGGGAGGCCTTGTAGCGCGAGCGTCTCTGTCCCGGTGATAGGACGCATCAGATGGGTCACTACAGGCATCCCGCTGGGTGTGATGCATCCGATGATGCCTAGGTGGTGCCTTACACGACCCCTGACGTCTGGGTCGTATATCTCGGTGCGGTCCACGTTCTGGCTTACATCAATCATGATGGTCTTGTAGCCCAGGTCGATGAATACCCAGTTTGCCATGGCAGACGAAATGTCCATCAAGTCGATGAGAA